TGGCCGCTAGATTGCCACAACGGTAGCAGTAATTCGGAGCTAGAATCAACCTATTAGCACACTCCAAGCTAACTTCATATGAATTGGACCATACCAGAGAAAACCGTAACTACGTTTCTATCATGTGACCAAAGATACCCATCCATTACCATCTGATGTGCTCGCGCGATAAGACTGAGACCGTTATTATGATTGAACGCGTCAGAGATGTCCTTTCCAAAGGTGTACCCGGCGCCACGAGGCGAAATGCCCCAACCGTATCTGTCATCAGGGTCGCTCCAGAGGAGATCACACATCGGGCCTTCATGAGGAGGTTCATGTACTCGGTCTACCTTTCGAACATTATCCAGAGTATCAATGGAGGGACTTAGCCCTCCGTGGAGACAGAAGATGCGGTTGTCGATAAGAGCGGTAAGAGGGAGGTAGTCGAATAGGTCTGTAAATAATGTCCATACCCTGGCGTTGCCGTACTTCCGCAGACATTCGTCGTAGAAGCCATATACTTGGGTGATTTGCCGGGACTCGTGATTCCCACGAAGAATCGTTATGCGCTTCGGGTAGCGGACTTTGAGGGCAAGAAGGAGGGATACCGATTCGACAGAGTGGTAGCCGCGGTCAACGTAGTCACCTAGCAAAGTGTGATGATATTAGCGACATGATACTCAGGCTGCAGCTTTAGGATTGGTATCCCACCCATGAAGAGGTAATTGGTGTCTGGACATGGTCCACTTATTCGGAATAGCTCGATCAGGTCATGATACTGGCCGTGAATATCGCCACAGACTGTAACGGGGCTGGACTATAAGGATGATTAGGGCTGTCATATTGTGTAATGGGGCTGGTAGCTAGTCAGGTGACTCACAACTGGCTGTACGTTTGATTCGTCTTGCACCACCTCCCTTGCCTGAAGAAGATGTCAACAACGGATTGATCATAAGAGCTATTGACACTGTACCTGATCGCATAATCGCTCTATATCATCCTCCGACAAGGTTATACAATTACTCAATTGGTCGATCAATGCGTCCAAGTTCCGGATATGTTGATAGTCCGATCCCCTTGGCTTCGACTGATTATCTGGCCTACTCGTAATGTCGACTATCATTGCTTCGCTGCGAGGAAGACTACGTGTAAGTAAAATTGGTAAATGCAAGAGGGTATCGGGAGTTTATAAAATGAGATACGTGAATGCAGTGCACGAACAACAAAACTGTTTCGGAGATTTGAATAGGCAGAAACTATTTGTGATAGAACCCTGTCCGTGGAATAATTAAGGGTGGCGGCATTAGTAACCTCCTGCGCGGATCTGCCAATCATGATTGGTCGAGCTCAACTCCGACTGGAATGTCGGAGTTCACCTTAAAGCCAAGACAAATCTTAATCTGTTTCTATTTTCATTCGGTACCAATGTGAGCGTGTTTACAGAAGGCCTTGGGATTCTCCGAGCAGCAATTTACGTGACTAGCCCATATCGTCAACAAGCAATTGAGATTGTCAAATCTTTCCAAAGAACATAATCACAAGCGGATCAACCCGGTGGTATGGAAACCATTTTGGCTTGGAAAACTCAAAAGTTTCTCTGAGATTCTATTCCCCGATTGTATTTATACCTGTTGTTCCGGGGTTAGATTCTCCATCTTCCCCAGACTTTCCCGCCAATAATTGCTGCCGATACATGGAGTCCCTTGGTATCGCAGCTGCTTATAGATCCTTAGTCAACACCATGGCAGAGGAGGACACCGTGAACCTGGATGCTCTTATTGAGAGGTTAGTAGCAGTAAGAGGGTCACGACCAGGTAAACTTGTTGAAATAAGCGAGGCCGAAATCGAATATCTCTGCCGCACGGCGCGGGAGATCTTCCTCACCCAACCGATACTACTAGAACTTGAGGCACCTATCAAGGTAAGACTTTTGGCATCACATATATACTGTAACTTACTAGATGATAACTAATAGCCACCAGGTCTGCGGCGACATCCACGGACAATACTACGACCTACTACGCCTATTCGAATACGGTGGTTTTCCACCCGAATCCAACTACTTGTTTCTCGGTGACTACGTGGATCGCGGCAAACAGTCCATAGAATGTATCTGTCTCCTGTTAGCCTACAAGATCAAGTATCCGGAGAACTTTTTCATTTTGCGAGGGAATCATGAATGCGCATCCATCAATCGCATCTACGGATTCTACGACGAATGTAAACGAAGGTATAATGTCAGGCTTTGGAAGACATTCATCGATTGCTTCAACTGTCTCCCTCTTGTCGCTATTATAGAAGACAAGATATTTTGTATGCATGGAGGGCTTAGCCCGGACTTGAGTTCTATGGAACAAATCCGGCGCATTATGCGACCTACGGATGTGAGTCATATCATATGCTCCCGGCCCCGTTTTCTGTTCAGGATGAGTACTGATCGTCAATAAGATCCCCGATGAGGGTTTACTATGCGACCTCCTCTGGGCCGACCCGGGCAAGCATATTCTGGGCTGGGGCGCGAACGAACGTGGTGTATCGTTTACTTTCGGTCCTGATGTGGTCCATCGGTTTATCCAGAGGCATGATCTCGACCTTATATGCCGCGCACATGAGTGTGTTCAGGATGGATATGAGTTCTTCGCTAAGAGACAGCTCATAACTCTTTTCAGTGCGCCAAATTATTGTGGCGAGTTTGATAATTCGGGGGCTATGCTGGATATTGATGAGGAACTTATGTGCTCGTTTAAGGTGAGTCGCTTATATGTCCTCCATTTATTGAGTTGGGTAGAACGAATGCTTATAGGTGGTTTGCCTTCTATATTAGATTTTAAAGCCGGCCGAGAAACGGAAGCAGATTTTTGGAAAGCGATCGGGCAAAGAAAAAGGTCGTTAAGCCTTATATTTCAATGGAGTTTTGTATTTCATACGCCTGTAATTATAGCTTGGTTGATTCAATATCGCTTGATGAAGAGCTGTTCCTCCAGGCTTGTTCACCAGTGGATTCCGATTCTAAATCATCGTTACAATGTTTGAGCTTGTTCAACCTGCCCAGACATAGAGACTTTGCTGGGGTGTGTGTTCTGATGGAAGTTCCGAATAAGCCCACTCCGAGAGTTCTCACTTTGCATTTCCAGACTCGTGTCGTAGTGAACGGATGTAAACTGTCTGTAGGGGTGATGCTCAGGGGTAGACGCAGAAGAAGCAATAGCATTCTGTCTCGATCGCTTCAAGGGCCACCGACCACCGCTGGCGTGACTGCTGCCACTGAGGCCCTGCTCCTGCTCTGCGAACCGTCTTCTGCGGCTAGGACAAATGACCGGGCCAAAGGTGGGTGCACAGGTCACCATGATTCCAACTGCCATCTCCGCCACAGTCAAAATGGCACTATCAGCCGTGCAGTATGTAAGGTCTTAATCCAAGGTGCAGTCCAAAACTTCAATGAGAGGGATGAGGTTTATAACAAAAATACCATTGGTTGAATTTTGGTCAGAAACGTCCCCAGCAGGGTGAGGTATGTGGGCTGACTCACACTAGTCCCAGACCAAAGGTGGCCGTGACAGCTACCTTTTTGTCGATGGCCATTGTAAATTCCAAATAACTGGTACTTTCAGTAATACGGCGATGATATCAAGGATCATATTAATGACGGCCGCCGCGAGTTCCGCAGTCACTGCATTGTCACATGAGCCCTCGAGGCTTGGATTCCAGTAGTATGCTAATGGGCGACAGAGACGTAGTGTGGTGGCAATGCTACCAATGAGATACAGCACGATGGTTCCTTCTGGTACATATGCCGCGATACAAAACCTTTGAACTGGGAAGGTGTGAATGTAGAGGTCAGGGATTGCAAGACGGAAGCAGGCTATTCCAATTGCCCAAAATAGCTGGGAGGCGAAGAAAGTCTATACAGGTACATTCGTCAGTAAGATAGCCCTTGTAGTCTCAAATACGAACATACTGACCTTCAACACGCTCGTGATGATAAGCCCAGGTGCTATATCCTGTGTACCGACGCCTCCATTGACCGTAGCAACTAGAAGACAGGTTGTGTAGCCAATGAGCATAACCAACGAGATGATCGCAAGACTATTATGAACTTGGATTTCTCTCCGTATGAAGGCTCGAGCGTAGAACCTCAAACTCACGGCTATCAGAGCCAATGCATTCAGTGTTGCGAAGCTGACAATGACAGGTACTTGTCTCGATGCGAGGGAGGACATGGTGGAGCAGTGAGTACTCAAGGCAGACAACTAGTTTGGCTTTACCTCCCCCGCAGGCTAAACATAAAGAGTAATAGGGTTATGAAGGATGGAAGCAAGGTATTGGACGAAACAATCGCTCTGGTTGGTGTTGGATACTTCGTACAAATAACAGATCTGGAGTAGATTACCACTATAATAATTGTACCTCCACCACTCCTGATGGGCTGACGCAAAGCCATTACCAGCTTGCTTGTCGCCATGGTCTGGCGCTCTTTATCAGCGATTCCCGAGGCAGAATCATCGGCGACTGTGAGGGTACTGTAGTGGGGGGGCCAGAGTCAGTGGGGGCCAGGAAGCGACGGGCCGCAGCCGGCACGCACGACTCCATGGCACTCTGATTGTACTATGACGAAATGCTGGTTGGTTGGGTTACTGCAAACCAAGAACACTAGTTGCATAGCTAATACAGTACAACCAAGGCCAGAGCCCTGCTTTGTGCTGCGCCGCAAATGCCAGTGATACTTGTTCAGGTAAGGAATTGCACCCTACGGCTTAGAAAAGGTCTACGAGCTTCCTGATAGGGAAAGACCCACAACAAGTGTTTTTGACGGGAGTTGCTGATGAAACTCAATCTTACGACCTTATCAAGATCTGGGATTGGAAGACTGGATGTTAAGCCAACTTGCCCTGAGTGAAATGTCACGTGAGGCTTTCTTAATAAATCCAAGTACGTACCGTGAAGATCACGATGGTGAATCTTTTTGAATATGGCACTAACAACTCTGTGTATCTCGAATACAAACAGCGTAGCATCCATCAGTCGCCGTGAGTACATCTCATAATGGCGAAAAGCATTGTTCCATATTCATCAAGGTTCTGCAGCCACTGATCCACCCTTGCACGCCTCCTTGCAACCCCAACCTCCCCTAAATCATCAGGCGTGGGCCATAACTCGTCAATGGTTAGACATCCTTCCATCCAGTCCGCCATATGTACGTTATATTCCCTCTCCCACTCATACCGCGTTTCTGCCTGCCACAGTAGCTTATTGGCCGGAGCAGGCAGACCCCGTAGCTCAGTGCCAAGGAAGGTAGGAAGACCCTCCTGGCTAGAGAGGATACTATCGAACAAATACATAACGTAAAGTGTCCGACGCTTGGCCTCCGTTATAATCCATTCTTCCCACTTCGGTCGCGCTCGTCGTTGATCAGCCGCACATATTAACCCTTGCCGAGATGAAGCGCAGGCTAGCTCTTGCAGGCTCGTCATTATAGCGCGAAAGTCATCATCGCATGATTGTCCGAGTACGAAGAACAGAACCATGGAGTATATCAGGTAAGACTGGAACGCGGCAAACAGACCATCACTGGTGTATTTCACCCGATCATGATCCAGAGTTTGTAATTCTCGACGTAGGACACTAACTGCTGCCTGACTACTGCCGGGAAGCTGGTTCGAGCATATTCGTACTAAGCTCAGGCAGGTAGTGAGGGGTGAACCGGCTGGCTGCGCGATCATCTGCTTGGGATGAATGAAGGGCAGGCTCCCCCGGCCACTGACAGCCATCGCAGAGTACGACCTGAGAGTCAAGTATATATATGATCTAACACCATCAGGGTAGTTTTTGACTGCTTGTCCAGGCATCGGAATATATGCCTGGATCCAACGATTCTGAATATCATCGGCATTGATAGGGCACACCAGGTCAAGAGATGAAAAGTCTAAGACATCTTCCAGCGCAGATAACCCGTTCTGAGTGTTGACAAGCACGGTGCCCATAGATGATGGTAGTGTTGAAGTTGACAAGTTACTCATGGCCAGAACGCCACTTCCCAAACCTCTAAGTGAGGAATCCGACACCGAGAATGGACTGGGTGGTGCTACCGGGCTTGTTGGATTCCGCTCAGAAGCATCATCTTGAACATACGAGCATGAGATGCCACGATGCATGCATCTCGAGCATGGCTCCCTGCCTCCAGACCTGCGGTCACAACGAGCTTTCGCACTAGCACACTGCTGACAGGCCTTTTGCCTAGAGGTGGAGTATCTAGAAGGTTTCATCTTCTGTACAATACTTCGACGTTATTGAAACTAGTACTTGTGGTGGAGTCGCTGATCGCGCTCCTTCTTATCCTTTGGCCGTTATCTCCGGTGTTTGTAATGGAGAAGTTGGATTGATCTCCTTCTGATCGGAAGTGACGGAGGTGTCGGAGCTGAGAAGTGGGTCCGGGCTCGGACTTTAATTTGGCTTCCGCATACAGACTCCTCGTCACATGATCTCATTTGAGCTCTGAAGCCATGACCTTTCATTATCCTTCTTATTTTGCGTAGTTTGGTGCTTCCTGAGTTTTAGTTCATTTCCACAGTTATACATAGATGTCTCGATTTATATAATGGTTCTAAATTGCCAAATGAATTAGGAGTAGGGCATAAGCTCTGAAAAAATACAAGTCAATATAGACAATTACATATCCACACATTCTAGTGTACCCTCACATAAAGATCAGCTCAAAGCATTAATTGCCTCATCCACCGAGATGACTTTGATGCCCATCTTTGGCAGCAACATATCGAGCATAACATTTGCGAATGCCGAATGCTGCTCAACTGGTAACTCCAAGACATTTTCCCTGATAACATAGACATTGTAGTCCAAATCAAAGAGCCGATAGATCGTAGCCATCACCACGCCAGAAAGAGTCAACCCAGACTGCTCACGGCGTCAGCACATTCTCACTTTGTTAAGGTACCTTTCACATACAATGATAACCGTCTTGACACCATGTGCCTGCAAGATCTGCTCCAGTACACTTCCCGTCATTGCGGACCACCTAGTCTTTGGGAGAACTATATCTTGACTATCCACACTGAATGCCTTGTAAATTTGGGTTTCGGGGGAACCGTGTCTGAACTCTCCGAAGGGAGCGATGAGGTTGGCAAAAGGAGTACCGGGTTGGACTTCTGGCTGTCCGGGATAAAAGGAGAGTGTAGAGAAAACGGTTAGAGGACGAGACGCGCTCTCATGAACGGCATGGTTCCATTTGGCCAAGTTTTCGATCAAGGCTTGGCCTTCAGGGGTGTCTTTGACGGCGTCGATAAGCACCGTGATCCAGTCTAGGTTTAGAACGGCATAGTTTTCGCCAAAGTCGATAGAGCTGTTGGCAGTGCTATCCATTTTGGTCTGATATTTGAACTGACAGTGAGCATGAATGCATCGGTATTGATTCAGATTGCTAGATTGCACTATTTATAGGATGCATTGGAATAAAAAGGGCTAAAATGTACTTTTTGATGGAACGGACCTGAGGATCGGAAGTCCGGGGCTCAGGTCCGAACTCCGCTAAAATACTGCGGGATGATCACGGGATTGCCACGGTGACGTTGTATATAGGAAGGGCTGCTCTCTATAGCAGTCGCATTACATCCCAGTCCATTGCCAACAAATAATTCTTCAGAGACACGAACAACAACATCATGCCTTCAGATGACAATACGACACTGGTTCAATCGAATAATTCGACTGAAATTGCTACTCCCGAACCACCCTACAGTATCTTCGATAAGCGTCAGAAGTGGTTGATCATCATTATCGTATCAACTGCAGCAACATGTACATTATACCAAGCCCCTATTTCATGGTAGCCTATTAACGTCTCAATAGTCTCCGGCTTTGCATCCAATATTTATTTCCCAGCATTACCGACAATTGCAAATGACCTCAATGTCTCCATCGAACTTCTTAACCTAACTGTTACCTCCTATCTCATCTTTCAGGGTCTAGCACCCAGCCTCTGGGGTCCAGTCTCTGATGTGAAAGGTCGCCGGACAGCATACATGTGCACATTCATTGTCTTTCTAGGCGCCTGCATCGGACTTGCAGAGACGAAGAACTACGCGACACTTATTGTTCTCCGATGTCTCCAAAGTACAGGAAGCGCTAGCACGATTGCAATTGGATCTGGCGTTATTAGCGATATCACCACTCGGGCCGAGCGAGGTGGCTACATGGGGATCTTCCAAGCTGGCCTGCTTGTCCCCGTTGCCGTCGGTCCCGTAATTGGAGGTGCAATTGCTGGGTCCTTGGGATGGAAGGCAATCTTTTGGTTCCTAACCATTTACAGCGGCGCTTTCCTCTGCTTTCTCATCGTATTTCTGCCAGAGACTCTTCGATCGATCGTTGGCAATGGGGCCCTGAAGTCTTCCAACCCACTGGTGAACTTTCCGCTGGATATATATCAGAAAACGACCAAGGTCGATTGGGAGCATATTCCGGATGGCCAATCGCAGCGCGTAGCGAAGAAAAGGATTGATGTTTTGGGCCCGCTCCGTATACTCATCAGTAACCACGCGGCACCGATTATTATTTTCCTCGCTGTTTATTATGCCGTATGGCAGATGAGCATCACAGCGATGTCCTCCCTTTTCGAAAGCCGCTATGGTTTGTCCGAGATGCAAATTGGTTTGACGTTCATCGCGAACGGTGTCGGATCCATGATTGGAACACTCGTTACTGGTAAAATTCTCGATGCCGACTATCGTCGGGTGAAGGCCAGGTACGAGGCTTCACTTGATTCAGAGCAGGGAGAGGATACCACTGCTGCTACACGCGAAGAGAACTTTCCCCTCGAGAAGGCCCGCCTTCGACTTGTGCCGATCTTCTCCATCCTTCAGTGCCTTTCTATCATCTTGTTTGGTTGGACAATTAATTATTCCCGCAAGGTACACATCGCTGTGCCTATCGTCTCGACCTTCATCACGGGCTGGACTGCTGTCTCCACACAGTCTCTTATCATGACTTATCTTGTTGATGTTTTCCCCGATAGAAGCGCTGCGGCTAGTGCGAGTTTGAATCTTGCACGGTGTCTCTTTGCTGCGGGAGGCACAAGCTTCATCATGCCTCTTATCAATAGTGTTGGGGTTGGGGTGGCGTTTACCATTTGCGTCGCTGTCCAGCTGCTCGCATTGGTAGGACCTTTGATTCAGTGGAGGTTTGCCGCTGGGTGGAGAAGAAAGGAGAGGGATCGGGATGCCCAAAGGGCGGACGTGAAGAACTAAAAGTCGTTGTTTTCTTAACGGGTATCATCATAATTCCCGCTGTTCTCGTCATCACCCAATTTACCAGGTTCTAACCTTTGTTTTCTTTCCTCAAGCTTCATGGCCGGCTTTGTGCCACTGTCGAGGGTTACACATCTTTGGCTTACTTATATAGACTTAACTTACCGACTGATATACTAATTAATAATGAATGGATATATATCGGACTCTACCATGGCCTTTTGCACTTCAATCAGACAAGACGAGAATACAGTGAGTCATATCGGTCACTCTGTTACTATTTGGGTAAATCTGCGGCAATTGGTAGTCCTTGCTTTTTCTTTTCAGTAAGAAAGGTCATGCGTCAAACCCTATTGCTTAGCCTTGGCACTAATCATGTGAGCCGGATAAGGTCCGTAGCACGTGATTAGAATGACTACAGCATCTGACCGATCCTTGGTACATATTGTGGGCCCAGATCGTCAAAGTTTGACTGGGTATAGATATGGGAGCTCGTACCCTAGGATTTGGAGTTTGAGAACCAGGTGGACGTATAACGGTGTGGTGCCACCGAAATCTCGCGACCACCAGGATCGGGCAACGCAACTCACCTAACTCTGTCTAGACAGTAGCAATTACATTGCACCACGTTGCGATGCACGGTCCGTATCGTCTATCGTCAGCAAACGATATATGCAATGACGCCAGGGAGATGAGTAGTGACTAAGTAACGAGTCCATACAGGTTTCATCAGTCGCATCGGGCTGTCCAGTGGTTCCATAGCTGGGCCTCTGGGAAGGAAGGCAGAAATCAGGTAGACAGTGATAAAGAGCATTTCCAAACCTAGGACAACTAGACGACTAGATAGAAACAAGGATGATGAAAGTGTTAACCCTCATCCAATACAAGCAATGGCTTGGCAAGGAGTCCGTTGTGTTAACCAAGGATGAGTTGTCAGGAACCGTGCTGTTTGACTGGTGCGGGAAATCCCGGGATATGAAAAATGAAAACGTGAAACCGAACCATCGCCGAAATTCCGAGAATCACCCGCGCCGAGAGAAAACCGACAAGGCTTACGCTATCCTTGAGGGAATAAAAAAAAAGAAAGAAAACAATAAAATTTTTTCTTTTCTCCCGGTGTGACAAACATATAAAGAATAGGCCAGCCTGGTCATTTCAGGTCGTAGAATCAGAACATCTTCCTCTCCCAATATTCCCATATTTTCTCGTGGTTCATCACACAGCCGCTCAACATGGACTCTCCCTCATCATTAAGTCTCAACGTCCAGGATGGCGTACACCGCCCATCCTCCCCAAACAATTTCAAATCGCGCTTTCGCAAACACCTGGATCTTTGGAAAGCTGGCTTAGCTGCGAAGGAGCACTGGGACGATGAATACAACTTCCAACCTGGCCGTTATGCTGGACAGGGGCGCTAGATGTAGGTGTGGACTTACCCGCAGCTCATCGCATCGGCCGCTAACGTATTCTCTAATTACAGCCCTGTGGGTTCTGACCTCATCGACGCTATCGTATGCTAAGCATATGGATGCACAACGAACACCACTTCGATTACATACCCATCCCTCGAGGATGCCACGAAAACTCCCACAACCACACCGAGGGACGTTCACGATACCACACGAGTTTCTTTCCATGTTGCAAGCGCGTTCTCTCATACCCATCGAATCTCCTATATAGACTATACTATACCACATCCATGCTCTAATACACTTATTTACTTGTGAAATTATCTCGGAATAGAATCTATTTTATATTACTACTTCCTTCTAAACATTATGATAGATACAATATAGTCACTACCATAGATATGACTCACTTCTAGTGCCAAGAATGCTGAACCCGAACAAATCCCGGTGTTCTGATACCTTACAAGGCCTGGACTTGTAGTAGAAACAAGCCCTAACCACAAACAACTATAAATAATTTTCACCGTTGGGTGTCCAATCGGCCCACTTTCACAGACGCTGCCCTGAAACTGAAAAGTAACATTGATCCATGGTTCACAAATATGGGTCGAGACGGGAACCGTTAACTGTCTGCTATGGGTTCGCATTCATCGGCACGGGCCATATCGGGACCACTCGGGAGGGTCTTATAGTTTAGTTACTAGTTAGGCCTTGGACCCGGTTATTCCCGTGCGGTGGAACAGGATCTGCGACCCATTGATTTCTTATTTAAATTTCGATTTTATTTTTGGCTATATTATTATTTTCAGTATTATTATTATCAATATTATTATTGTTTTACCTCTTTATTTCATTCTCGTTACCGTCACATTTCGGTTCTGATAGAAAGAAAAACGAAAAATTTAAAACTGTGCAACACCTCCCCTATCTCATACTAGGGTGCTCCCTATTAGATACGCCGTCCCGAAACCCCGACAGCAGAGTTTGGCGCCAAAGACAAACCCGGACATAATTCTGCAGCATGTCAGCAGCCAAGCACCATCCCAGTGACCTAGCTGCTATCTTGACTCCTTTCCCCTGCGGGAGCACATCAAAGCTGTGCTGGAGTATGCCGTTGCTCTCCGGAAATGACACGTTGGTAATCACCAGACGAAGCTACTGTTCAACAGTTTGGTGCATTTTGGGAGGCCAAGTTGGAGGTTGTTTTGTTCCGCGAGGTGATGAATCTCCCAGCCAACAGGTCCAGCTTAAGTGTGTAGCTAGTTGCATGCTTGCGTCTTTTCCGTATAGCCACAAACGCTTGTTTTCCTAAGTCACGTGGACCGAGCGCTCTGGATCTGAGGGGCTATTTTTAGTACAAGATCATCAGGATTAATATGAGGATAATGATCTTTGGAGTAGTAGTAGCGACGCTTGAACGTGATGGAAGCTTCCAATGATATTGTGGTGCTGAAACTACATGTATAAACGTCAGTCTGCCCGAGCTTCCAGTACGAGAGGGGATTATTGTTGCCAATAGGCCCGCAATATACGCTCAAATTAGGACCCTGTATATAGTGGGGGGAAAAAGCTTTAGATACAAGCTTTTGTTTCAGCAACAACAGCCGTAATATATAACTGGACAGTCTTATATGGCCTTCCATGCAAACAACAGACGAAAACACAGATGACCTTCCGTAAACACATTCAGATCAAACCATGTATCCGGAAACATCGCCAAACGCTCTAGCTGGGGTCTCCAATGCGGCCTGTTCAGCAAGGCGAGCCGCCTCGGTATTCCATTCTTTCGGAATCTGCCAGAATTGGATGTCCATACCATGATCATACCACCGCTCCAACTCACCTAGCAAAAACTCCCACAAGTCCCGATTACTAACAGGATTCCCTGTTCTCGTCTTCCAACCCCTCTGAATCCATCCCTGGACCCAACATGTTGCTCCCTCCACCACATACTCGGAATCCGTCGCGATCACCAATTTGTTGAACCCTTCTCCGGTCCAGCAGCGGAACCGGAGGGCTGCAATTACGGCCCTTAATTCAGCTCGCTCGCTCGTGTGGGGATGTCTTCGGCCGCTGGGTCCCTTGATCTCGAGGGGGACCTTGAAGTGATTGAGTTTGCCTTCAGGAAGGTCCACGGGAGACCGGTAGACAACACCACAGCCCCCTCTGGGCTCGCCACAGCCTCCTCTAGGGACGGCTCCGCCGTTCTCCACACAGGTGCCATTCGTGTAGGTGAGGAGCTCGCGAGGATTGTTTCGTCGAATGAAGCGATGGACCTGGGGCACACAGTCGACTTTGATGCCAGGTGGGAAAAGAGAATGTGGTGTATCGTCAGGATAGGGAGGATTGAACTTGGTAGGAAGGACAAGTCCTGTTCCGACTCTGCGATCATTGTCGTAGCCGCCAGCGGCCATGATTGGGTTAATGACTACCATGAGGGTACCCATTTTTGACAGAAGTCTGCCACAGGAGGTGCTTGTGATAAGGGGCTTCGTTTTCGTCGAGGATAGAGAAGGAACCAGATGGCAGAAGATTGGAAAGTGGATGCTGTGATAGGATGTGAAAATGATCGACTGCTGTCAAGCTGAAAGACGACCGGCAGGTGATGAAGGGGTTCTATAAATGCTGAATGAGAGCAAAAGCAATGTTCCAAGAGTATACGAGGGATTGGGGAGGTAGAGTTGGTCTAGATGAGCATGCTGACAAGCTGATAATCACCTGACCTGTCACAGCAAACGAATGAGTGAAACCCTCCGATGCCGCGCTGCAGATGTCCCGGGAACATGGATCTACTGCTTCCCATGCAGGGTCGTAATGTATTAATGGGCTACTCTTCTACTATTGCCATTGTTACCATCTTCTTCTTCTTCCAAAGTATCATCTGTGTCATCCGGGAAACCGTGTAAACCAGTCTTTATCTCCCAATTTCATCAAGATCTTTACAATTGTCCGCGGTTTTCGTGATATTCGCCACATCTTCCGCTATTTTTCCGAGCCGGTCCTTTTCTGTCGCTTAGCCCGATGATCAGTCAAGTTGATGGATCTCAAACCCAATATTGCATCCGCTACGATATACTCCAACTGGAGTAAGCCAGATATTATCCGCCATGTCTTCAGTGACCATACAGTCGTGTCTTTACGGCCTTTATGGCCTGTTCATAAAGTAAGATACGTGGCCATCCTTGGGAAGTCATTTAGTTCTTTCCTGCAGATTACCAATTCTCCCAAAAGCAACCCGTGGAAGGTTTACACTATTGGACGCCAATGGCTCGTATTTGAAGCAATAAGGTGTTGAGTCACCTATACGTCTTGGCTATATCCCACAGGCGGGAATACCTCCTGTTACATACAGTTTATTTTACTAGCTTTAGCCACAATTACTACTAGCGCCAAGAGCTGCAGTATAACGAAAATATATGTAATCTGGAGGGATAGGGATTTATGCGTACTGTATAATTGTGCATCAGTCCAAGCCTCCCTGGGTTGATCATGAGCCCCACATACTATCTATTCTATAGCGTGATTGGATATGCCAATGTGTCCCGCAGGCTTAGAGCCATCGACCTGCAAGACTGTGCATTAGCGCCATTATGCTGGTCTGTGCAGAGAGTGGGTACATAAATCCCTGATATCTAACACTTTCATTGGTTACTTGGGCAAGGCCCACATATTTAGAGCGACTCACTCAGGCCGTGCATGAAGAATGGCTCTAAAAGGTACACTAAGGCAGCTCCGTGCAGATGGCAGCTGTCAAATGTAGGCCCATGCATATGAATGGCTCTAAGAAATGGCACTAATGCACGGCCCCAGGATGGCTCTAAAAGTAAAGCTAATGCAGTGCCGTGCATATGGCAGTTCAAGATCGTATTACCAATACTATTCATCATGACAAGGTCACTGGTTAATGGTAGTATTCATGCAGTTCGTCGAGAAACTGTGAAGTAGAAATTATCTAAAACACTATGAATATTTCGGTTCTGGGTGGGCATGAATAGTATAGATTCGGGTGAAGACGCTGAAAGTGAACCCCGTCAATTCATCATATCGGATCAGCTGAAGGTATATATTTTCTGCGTTTGAAGGCTGGTTTCCTTTTATATTCGAACAACTATCTGCTATATATATGTATATATTTTACTCGAGAGCTGTACCACAAGCAATGATATACTCATTCCCATATATACAAAATATCGCTCGTTATTCTTATAAGTTGCCCAACAACTTCAAAGTCTATATGGTATATATTAAACACTTCTATACTACCTAAGGTCAGTACTTATTTCCGAAAGCTTTCGAATGGCCGTCGCCAACAGCTCTGGTCCCGTATTCTGAAATTGATTACTGAAGCAGGATTCATGACTCTAAAGCCGGGAAATTATAAGTTTACACTAAACCCCACTCAGGTTCGCAACTGGCCAGACTTCACCAAGGAGATAAAGGGCCTCGTAGAACCTTACTGCGGTAAATATGAGGCATTCATACCTACCATATCTCGAGAGATAATTGGCGTGGCGAATGAGTTGGGGGTGCAGGGTCGCTTCGGAAATAATGTGCTGCAATTTGTTGGGGAGATAATGGATCTGATGGAAATTGGAGTCCGTTTCGGAGACGCGCAATATGGTGTGTATAAACGCCAAGATCCTGTAAAGAAAAAGCAGAAGCGAAAGTGCGGCTTGCAGAAGATCACAAGGCAAAGTCGAAACTCATACCCGATATAGTAATGGTGGATCGAAAGACGCATACTATCAGAGTAATGGGCGAGGTTAAGACATTCTGGACATTCGCACCGAAGAAACGCCAAACGCAGCACAATTCCTTGTCCAATAAGCTAGGCAAGTGGTCATTTGCCTATCTGAAACAGGATTTCGGAAGCTGACTGTACTACTAATAATATAGGTCAACTCGCACGATACATGGACGACCACTACTGTCGCTATGGCTTTCTCACGATCTAAGAATATACATGGTTCGTCAAGCGTCAGGATGATACCCACTTCCTCATGTCTCCACCTATAAGCGCAACGGCGCAATCGTCTGCGTACGGCGTTTCTCTTCGCGAATGTCTCTTCGTCACGGCAATTAGAGCTGCGGACGACAAAGAAAGCGACTACGGTTTCCGGATGTGGACTGCAGTTGGTAGGCTATGGCTCTCTAAAGATCTGTAGCGTTTGCTAATATATTTAATCAGACAGTTCGTCGATACACACCTTCTTTGATCGGGCGGTACTCGCGCAGGGTAAGAAAGAGGCGACAGTAAACCGCGTTGCTTAGGGTAGCCTGATAATGCAGCATGGATTGATTGAAAGATATTCTTATACTCAATCTCTATAATAGCTCTACAATTTAAGTTGACGCAGCGTGACAAACATGGGAGGTCAGGTCTACGTTGGTAATTGGTTATATCAGGGTCAAGCTCCATAGATAGATTCTATGCAGGCCCATGCATACAGAATCGCTCTAAAAGATAGCACTAATGCACGGCCACAGAATGGCTCTAAAGTGGCACTAATGCAAGACCGTGCATATAGAATGACTCTAAAGCATGGCACTAATGCACAGCCGTAAAATGGCTCTAAAAGTGTCACTAATGCATCTGTCTATAAGGGGCTCAAGCACGTGATGCAGATCAGGTTGGAAGACTGATCAATAATCTTTTCTACTAGTAGCACTCTTCCTCTGGACCTTTCACCGAACTAGCCCGGCTAGCTCAATCGGTAGAGCGTGAGACTCTTAATCTCAAGGCTGCGGGTTCGAGCCCCGCGTTGGGCTGTTCAACTTCCTCTTTCCCTTTGCCCGGCTAGCTCAATCGGTAGAGCGTGAGACTCTTAATCTCAAGGCTGCGGGTTCGAGCCCCGCGTTGGGCTTTCTTTTTTGTTTTTATCACTTCTGGTTGAGTTTTTATTCGGATCCTCTATCCCCTGCCCTTTTTCTTTTTTTTTTTTCCCCTACTTTTCCTTTTTTTAGCCTTGTCATGTCTGGATCAGCATTTATTTGCTTTGGGTTTTCTTACTTGATGGTCGCGCGGTGTAGTGCTAGGTAATGCGTGACCTACTACCGAAATATATATACCTATAGGAACCATTATCTTACACTTACAACCTTAGGCGTAATGGTACTAGTAGCGGTATGTAAAACACCAAATTCGGCCATCATTGAAAGGATAGAGATATTTCATTGAGTATAACCTACTCAGACATTCTTTGTAGCATTTCGTGTCTACTGCAAGCAGTAGAGGAAGGGGCCTTGCAGGTTTTAAGAGTTTCTCTGCCGAATTCAAAGGGAACTTGATGCGATCTTGCTTCATATTGCAATGTAATTTATGGAAAGGTAAACGCCAGAAACCTTTCACATCTCTTTGCCATTATTCTCATTTCCTAGCGTTCTTTACAAATCCTTTTCAAGATCAGGTAAAATCATCGGTCGCCCCCTCCGCCGAGATTCATCGCTGCACTCACACACGCCAGGTGGCTAAACGCCTGCGGCATGTTGCCGATTTGCTCTCCGGAAGTCGCAACCTCCTCGGAGAACATTCCCAGATGATTTGCAAAAGAGAGAATGCTATCGAACTGCGATGTAGCTGTCTTGCGCAGTTGTTGGAAGAACGGGTCGTGAGGAAGATATGCTTTGGACTTGGCGGCCTGATGATGACTGTCAGCTATCGAGATGGAATAACTAGGAGGCAAGTTCGGAACTTACGCGCATCATGGCTTCGACGAGCCAGAATGTGACCATTAGGAAAGCGCCTTCGTTGCCTCCAACACCTGGGATGATTGTTAGATGTGAGTCGTAATCAAAGGAGACGGGGGACAGCTTACCATCATCGACCTTCCCAGTATCATACCGTGATACCATATTAGCCACACTCAACCCTCCTTTTGCGGGAACATCCGTAATCTTCTGGATGGTGCTCAACAACCGAGGATCGTTTGGCGCTACAAAAAACACCAACGGCGCAATAAGCACAGCAGCGTCCATGGCATCTTGATTCTCATAACTCATGCAGAAAAATCCCTTCTCTGCGTTATACCCCTTGGTCATGATCTCATCGTATAGTGCATCACGTTCGTGCATCCATCGTGCCCGGTCCGGACACGGTAAATTGGATCTCTTCTCCGCTAGACGCACGCCACGATCCAAAGCCACCCAAAGCATAATTTTTGAGTAAACAAAGTTCTGCGGTGGCCCGCGCACTTCCCAGATGGACTGGTCAGGCTGATGGCGGATCTGGATGACGAAATCGATCATGCGACGGATAGCTCGCCACTGGTCGTATGAGATATCGGCTGCGTGTTTGTTGTAGAGATAAATACTGTCCATAAGTTCTCCGTAAATGTCGAGCTGGATATGAGTCGCTGCACCGTTGCCGATACGCACCGGTCGGCTCCCCCGGTACCCCTCTAGATGGTCGAGTTCCATCTCGGGGATCTCGCGCTCACCATGAATAGTGATCATGATAGGCAGAAAGGGCTCCCCTGGCTTTGGATTCTTATCCATCGGCGGGAAGATACGCTCGAAGATGAAGTTGATGTACGATTCGGCTTCTTCTGGATAGCCGTTCTTCAAGAACACATAGACGGTGAATGCGGCATCGCGTACCCATGAATACCGATAGTCCCAGTTGCGACTCCCACCTATATGCTCAGGTAGTGAGAAGGTGGGAGCTGCCACGATTGCTCCGGTTGGCTTGTAGGTCAGAAGCTTCAGAACGAGTAGACTGCGCTCCACTTGCTCGCGGTAGTGGCCTCGGAAGGTGCATTTGCTGGTCCAATCTGACCAGAAATCGCCAGTCGTTCGCTCAATCTGCTGTAGAAATGGCGCTAAATCCTGGGAATTGCACGTTATGGATTCCTGATCGTGAAGAAGCATAGTGACGGACTGTCCTTCTTTTAAGGTAACCTTCCCAATCAGACCGGGGCCCAGGTGGCCGGGTCGGTCGGACAGTTCAAATTCAATGCTAAGATCAGAGTCGTCCTCAGAAATATCACCCTTGTCTCCCAAAACGCTGACAGCCAGATTCTGACTCTCTGACTGGAAGTGGTAAACTTGGATACCGTCATCCGAAGCCGAAGACTGTTGGGCTATATGTGAATCGCGGGCGTAATTGAACGCTGGGAAGAGCTCGATTTCTATCTCCATTTCACCACGCACGCACTCTGCTTTCCGCACCATCCCTGAACGACATGCCTCCTGTTGTGCAGACCCTTTGTTCTGATAGCATCGACACCACTGGGGAAGCCCTTTCTCAACCACATGCGGCTTGGGCTTTGCGATCGGAAAATAATCCAAGATATTCACCACTCCCTCCTCATGAATCCAACGGGTCTCCAGCATGTTGGTGTACGGGCGATAGCGCTGCTTACTCAAAGGATTCTTCAATCTGAGATCCGGAGTAATCGAAAAATGACCTCCCTTCTCCTTGTCTAGAATGCGGCAGAAGATGGAAGGGGAATCGAACACGGGCCAGCACATGGAGTCGACGCTGCCATTCTTGCTGACCAGTGCACAAGTGTGCATGTCCCCCACCAGGCCATAGTCTTCAAGCCCGCAATATTCGTTTGCCGGATCCATGGTGCAATGGGTGATGTGAGTTGGAGAAACAGAGTTGGTCTGTCAGACGTGCTGACCTCTTTATATCCATATGACGTCAGAGCTGAATATCCGGTGACACCCGGTATGTTTGACCATTTGCATCCGCATTCACCATTGTATTACTGTCATTGTTTTGATCGCAGTTCTAGGATACTACTAGGGGTAGGGTAATGTTGTGGAGTTTTTTGACAATATCATTTGTGCTTAGTAGTGTAAAATACTCACATAAACAGTGCAAGCGGTCTAGGGAATACATAGTGGGTTAGTATGAGTCTTCGTCTATCACTCTTTCCTTTTCTTTCATTCATGTTCCCCACGTTGACATTTTCGCTGTATGGAGCCTTTTCTTTTCTTCTTCATTTTTTCTGCTCTGTTGTTCGTATGCCCTTCTTTTAAGTTCCAACTACATAGTGTGTTCATGGTTGGCGTTATTGATGCGAGCGCCGGCGTAGAGCCCACGGAACCACAGACAAGGTACGTATAAAAGGCGGTCTCTCTGTACACCCCTACCAAGACATATCTTTGTGCATTTAACGCCCAGGCAGTAGCAGACCTCATGAACAATAAACTAATCAATACTATAAGTAATGTCAAGCCGTAGCCAGGCCAATGCGAGACTGATTTTCAGACTGTACAAATAGTTATATTCGAGAGCTTGGTAATTATACCAGAAGTTTGAAATTTTAATAGTTATTGTATACACATCAGGGCCCGGGCACCAAATGCAGTGAACTATACCGTCATGTGCATAAGCATGGTACCAACCCGCGCCTTACCCGAAAGGAGATTTTCTCAGTCTTGCTAAGTAATACAGCAAAACTACTTCGTGTTTAATATTCTATTATTATGTATTATTTGTAAATACCATCTTATTATTTGAGATCATTCTCTTTATAATACTCATCAGGATTAGAGTTATTAGGATAATTATATGTTCACTGCCTCTTCAGAGTATACTACTGTCATATATTAAGTGGTGAGATACCACCTGCTCCCGTGTATACATGTCTATATAAGCAGGATTCTAGGGGTCCGCAGGTAGCTGCGGGTAATGATGGTCTTTTTGGCCTTGTGGTAGCAACTCTCCTAGGTTGTTCTCTGACAACTACAATGCTGCCTACGCAGCAGGAAAACTAAAACGCGCCTTGCGCCACCAACAAACCAACGTCCATTTAAGAAACGTAGTTGGCTAACAACCTGCAACTAAAAAGCCAACTCACCATCATCACCGCCCTAAGCGAGGCGATCTCTACCCCTCTTCCAGAAGAGGAAGGTAAGCTCAGTCTCACCAATCAATACGGCCAAACTGCCAAGAATTCCCTCTTTGGGATTCTGCTGCCCGCTACCGCCCGTCATTACCGTCTCGTTACCCGAGACCCTCCACAATCCCACTATTGAATAGTGTGCTACTTTGGCTTGGTCACGAGGATCAAGTCTGTATTGTAAGCAAAAAGTGCGGGGTATATCATGGCGGCATCCCAAATAATAGATTCTTGAGCGAGACTGAGAAAACTGCCTAATAGGCCACTCCTGCAATGCCAGGGCTTTCCAAGGAGCATAAATAATCGAGGGCAGCCCCGGACATTATTATCTTTTAGACGGATAGTCCAACACAAACAACTTGCTCATTCAGACAAATCATTCGTACAGACGAAAAAATGACTTTCGCTCGCTTCCGCCTGGAATCGATCTCTGATTTGTCTCAATCGCACTCTGTTGTGCCGGCCAGGCCCTCTTCTCATCCATCAGTGCCTTCGGACAAAAAGAAGCATTCCCAGAAGATACACTGTCGATGGCTTTTTCTTACCTACTTCGATTCTTCGTTGGAGCAAGAAGATGATTTTGTAAATAGGTTTCGAGCGATGTTGGAGCAAAGATCCCTCGCTTCTTCTACGTTTTATGGATGTCGTGAGGAGCATGCGGAGAGCGGCGTTCTCTATCATGTCCTTCTACACCTCGAGAAGCAGGTTAATTGGAAAGTCAGCAGTGCTCGCAGATACCTCCAGGTTTCAGATAACCCACATGAGCCTATCAAAATAGTCACTCGTCACCCTAGAGTGAACTACGAAGACTTCAAACACAGCCATGTTGAATACTGCGAGCGGATCGCACTCGACGATTGTTTTGGCACACGTCCAAGTATTTCTGCGGCAAAGGACCCCAGGTACAAGCGGAAGTGGGTGGAAGTTGACCAGCAGCCAACGAAAGCTGCCAAGCGGGCTAAAATAATCGAAATTCTAGCTCATGAATATGAAAGGGATATCGACAGTATGAAATCTGCTCTTGATTATGAGCGTCGCGGGGAGGATTGAGTTGGGGGCACGTTCCCATTGCCAGATTACATTGTGCTGTCTGATTGATATCATGACGAAGATCGAACGATGAATGCCCGAAAGCCTGGAATATTACAGTTAGCAAATGGGTTATGGTCAGTCTTGCTTATGGTCAGCGAGACGTTGCTAGATATAGATCTGTGTTTCATGTTTGCTTCAATTGGTAGAGCTGTTTATTAACACTGAAACTGCGGGTTGATGCGTTGATCGGTATTGATTTTGATTTCGCCAAAGTTCATTCTATATTGTATTAGGTTGGTGACATTAGATTAATGGGCTTTATCATTTACATTGATTGATGTGCCTTACTGCTGCGCATATTCGTGCTCACAACTGAAGGAAATCTCCCCAAGAAAGCCAACTAGTATCCTCATCGTCCTGCAACTCGAAAGCCCCAGGGTTATGTAAACCCAAGCTGGATGTCAAATCACCCAGACGATTGTTACGCTTCTTATCAAAGAGTCGTTGGATAAATCGAGGCGTGGTGACGGATTCTAGACCTCCCTGGCTTTTATCCAGCTCGTAACTGCGAGATTCCCATGCATCCAAAACCAAGTCTGTGAACGAAACAAAGAAAGGGTTACTGTCATCGATAAGCTCGGGATGTTCGCTGAAGAGGTTCTCTACCAGCTGCCAAGCAAGTGCTACGCGGTCCCCGGAGCGTCGTTGCCGCAGCTCAAGCAGGATGTGGATATAAGCGTCCATATAGGTATCTGTCGTGAAGTGCGTGAATAAGTAATAGGGAAATTTGCTGCGGATTCTGATATCCATCATGGATTGTACCCATGTCAGGGCTGATTCAAACAGAATGTCACGTTCGTCACGTGTTATATGGATCTCGTTGCCAGCTGCACCGAACCGTCGGCGAGGATGATGAATTTTAAACCTGAACCGCGCGATTGAGAGATTTGCAATGGCTTGAGTAAGGCTATGAAGGGGGATGTGTGGATCAGAATTACGAGTATTTCTCCAACAGTATATGTCGTTGAGCTCGTCAACCGCCTTGCTCTCCAGTTCGATTATCTCCTTAGACTTCACCGAGCCCTGCATCACACTTTCAATGAGCTGAGTGGCTGTCGGAGAGCGTCGGCGCCAGTTGGAAACCTCCATTTTTAACAAGACACACATCATTTCTGTGGGACCGTTGTGTTCCAAAGGAGCTTCAGTCATGTCCGGGTGCAGATCCACGTCGTTTACGTTAAGTGGGAGGCGGACGTCACCTATCTCGGAAGATGGTGGTGGCTTCATCCCTGGTGTAGAGCTAATGCGACACCGAGCTTCGAGGCCGCGGAGCTGCCACCATAAACGAATGCGCATTTCCTTCTCAAAGAAAGTTATGTTGGGGTCAGAGGTGTCTTGATGTAGGCCCATCTTCTCGGCTAGTCGAAGGGCGGCGCCGGACAGAGTGGTTGTTAAATCACATCTTGGGTTAGAGAAAAGGAATAATACCAGTGCCTGTAGAACTTCGAGGTCGCTGGTTGTGAGAAAGTCTGCTGCAATGAGAGCACGCAGAGTTGCGGTTCGGTATTGTCTCAGAATAACGGCCTTTTGCAGGCCAAAATACGTCTCACATTCGCCGGGTGAGCTAGAGGTGATTGAAATGGTATAGATAGCAAATAAGATAGCTGTCAGTGGTTTGGATGCGCAGTATGAATTGCAGCTAGTATCCAAGACACGCTGCTGCAGGGTAGGCACATGGACGATCTTTGTCATCGGGTGAACTCTTTCTACGAATATCTGCCACAACCGGTAAATGTGTTTTGGCTCGGGATGGAAGTCATGGATGCTTTGCGTATCAGAAATAGCCTCTCCAAGGGAAGGAGTAGGATACAGGGCGGGGTCATCCTTGTATCCGAGGCTCTGGATAGGGGGATACTTGAGCTGTTTACAAAGGGCTATTAGTATTATACGAGTATGGTAGTAGCCGGAAACACATACTTCTGGCCTGAGGTCTGACCACAAACATCTATCACCATTAGTAACATATTGCAGACTGCCTGCTGTTTGCCGGATATCTTACCGTTCTCTTTCTGCAGTCGTGCCATCTGTAAGTAGTGATGATTCTTGGACACTAGCCTCATTGATCTTCTCAGCGCGTGAGCCAGCCGAATGACTCTCCTTCGGTTGAGACTTCTGGTTTGGAGGGATCCAGATGTGGGTGTGTGAGGAGAAATCGATATTGTGACTCCGCATGAGTTCTTCGTAGCGGGCTAGTCGCGCGAGAAGCTCTTCATCAGCAGCCCTCTTTCGTGGTCGAGGTGAGGCAGGGGTTTCGTATATACACTGAGCATGCGCCCTGAGGCAGTTAGAGCAGGGCTCGCTCTTGTCGCATTTCACCTTGCGACGAGCGCAGAGAGAACAGGCGAGCTTCGGTCGATTCGGGCCTGGAGGCCCAGATGGAGGGGTGGACAACATCCCCTAGATAGAGACTGAGGCTGTTATTTTTATAAGTGTTTCGAGCATATTTTGGCAGGATATTGTCCTCATAGTATGGAGTGGACGTGTTCAAAGGGCAAATCGGGCGATTCATGCCCGAGATTGAGTTCTTCGGAGCCTTCGGGTCCCAGAATGGTTTAGCGTGGTTTGTCTTGGATCCCGAGACGGCCGGCTGTATTTCCGAAGGGTATCTGTACTACAGCTGTATCCTCATAAAGATGTCTTCGAACACCCCCACCCCCCGGCCGAGGATGGCGACTTATAATTTGAAAAGAAACGCGTTCCATTGATTCTGACATGAAATATTTCCGAAGTGCGTGATGCTGGGCTCGTCCAGTCTCTAAGTTACTTCTTGAGGTAGTACTAGCATTTGAATCTGCAAGGGTTCACAACAATCAACATGTCCACTGAAAGCAACAGCCGGACTCGAGGCCACAAAGATGAGGATAAGACAACTGCCAAAGATCGCAGGAGCACCCAGCCTGAAGCGACGTATCCCTCGGGCCTAAGGCTTGCAATGATCATAACATCCATGTTGATTGGCATGTTCCTCATGTCTTTGGTATTCTCCAATACTCCGGTCTATATAGTATATCGAGCTGACATATACACAGGACCGCATGATTATTTCAACAGCGATACCTCAGATTACCAACGAGTTCAACTCAGCGGGCGATATTGGCTGGTACGGAACGGCATATTCGCTGACAAACTGTGCGTTTCAGCTGATGTTTGGCAAGCTGTATCGTTCTTTCGATATCAAGGCTGTATTTATGTCGTCTATAATACTATTCGAGGCGGGGTCGGCCCTATGCGGTGCTGCACCGAGTTCCATTACCTTTATCATAGGCAGGGCCATTGCCGGGATGGGAGCTGGTGGAATTTCATCTGGCGCCGTGGGTTGATCAACCATTTATTATGAAAATGTCTTTTACTTATATATCCATTTAGATGGTCATTATTGTCTATGCCGTTCCGCTCCATAAGCGTCCTAAGTACCAGGGCTTATTTGGAGCTGTGTTCGGGGTCGCGTCAGTGTCAGGTCCGTTGATTGGTGGCGTCTTTACCACCGACGTTACATGGAGGTGGTGTTTCTATATCAACCTCCCTCTTGGTGGGGTGGTCTTCGTTGTCGTCTTCTTTCTATTGCATATCCCGGCACAAACATCCACCAATACACCACTGAAAGAGAAGCTGCAGCAGCTGAATCTCTTAGGAATGATCGCGCTTATTCCCGGTGTTGTCTGCCTATGCCTGGCCTTACAGTGGGCCGGTACCACATATAACGTAAGTTAACCGCTTCTCCATTAGGGCAAATATCTAAGCTATAAGGAATTATAACACTGTCTAGTGGAGCAATGGGAGAATCATCGCACTGCTTGTGCTTGCATTCGTGCTTCTTCTCGCCTTCCTGGGTATCCAAATTTGGAAGCCAGAGCAGGCCATACTGCCACCTAAAATACTCCTCCAGCGTAGTATTGCGAGCGGCTTCTGGGTGAGCTGCTGCCAAGGCGCACATACAATGATCATCAGTGAGTCTTCACACAACTTACTGGCAGAAACCGCATACCAATGACCATACTAGTATACTACTTTCCCATATGGTTCCAGGCTATTGAAGGCGTCTCGGCAGTCAGCAGCGGTATACACCTCCTTCCGACCATAATACCATTGGTTGTAGCATCCATCATCACCGGCCAACTCATCTCCCGCATTGGATACTACACGCCTTTCTTGATTTTTGGTGTTTGTCTTACATCAATCGGAGCCGGTCTGATCACCACCTTGGATGTGAACACCCCAGAAGCAAAATGGATCGGTTACCAGATTCTATACGGCTACGGCCTTGGTACATCAACCCAGATCAACAACATTGCTGTGCAAACTGTGTTGCCCCGGAAGGATGTCGCTATCGGAGCGTCGCTTATGTTCTTCGGCCAGCAGCTTTTCGGTGCTATTTTCACTTCTGTTGGTGAAAATGTCCTTTCAAATCAGCTGGCTCGGCGTCTTTCACGAATTCCGGATGTGGAAATCACTCCGCGGGTGATTCAGAGTACGGGTGCGACGGACGTGTTAAGCCTTATTCCTGAGAGATATCGAGATGATGGTTTACAAGCTTATAATGATTCTCTGCGCGTGTGCTTTCAGGTAGGACTTATCATGGCTTGTCTTGCTAGCATCGGTGCAGTTTGTATGGAATGGCGCAGTGTGAAGCAGAACAAGCCTGATGTTGAGCGCAAGAGTGAGAAAGGAAGTGAAGGGGAGGCTCCTACAAACATGGAAGATGATAACGGGATCGATAAGAAGAACGGGGACTGTTAAAGCTGAGCAGTCGCCCAGGAACATCGATGTCCCATTGCTTCCCTCCTGTTTCTACCATTCATCCGGGACAGCTAGACGCCAAAATGGAAAATCACAACTCCTTCTATAATTCTTACAGAAATCAAACAATATATATACCAAATTAAAAACAGGAACAACCATAAATTCTCAACTACCAACCCATCAAGCAAGTAACCTCTTCAACCACCCCAACCTCGCCTCCCTCGCCCTGCGACTAACCTCCGCCTCAGGCACAAAAGCATCAAACCCATGCCAGCACCCAGGCCAAACATGCAACTCCGTAGCGACTCCATCCCTCCACAACCTGGCCGCATACGCAAGATCCTGATCACGGAACACATCCGCCTCGCCAACATCAATAAACGTCTCGGGCAGTCCCACAAAGCTCTCCGCTCTCAGCGGAACCGTATACATATCGGCAAACTCCCGATTCACTCCGAAGGCAAAATCACTCGCCTGCGCCGCATCCGCCTTCGTCAACGGCGCAATATCCCCGAACTGTTCCATCGAGTTCCACTCCACGCTGTCGTCTACCCAGGGGTACATCAGCACTTGGCCTTTGATCGCGGGTCCCGCGCGGTCTCTTGCTAGAAGGCTCAGGCCAGCGGCGAGGTTACCTCCCGCTGAGCCACCACATACGACTAACTTGGACGGGTTGAACCCTAGATCATGTGCATGCTCACTCATCCACTTCAACGCCGCATAGCTATCCTCCAATTGCGCAGGCTGGGGATGTTCCGGCGCGAGACGGTACTCTGCCGTCATGATCACTGCGCTGAGGGATTCAACCCAGTCCAGCACGGTGAAGCCCATGAAGCGGTTTCCAGTGGAGTGCCCGCCACCGTGCATGTGCAGGATCCCCGGGGTGGAGGAGACGTCTAAAGTGGTGTGCTTTGGGCGGAAGATGGTGGCACGCAGGGGGCCAGCGGGACCCGGGATGTCGACTTCTTGGTAGGCGATAGTGGATTCATGGCCCTTGAGGGTGTTTTCGAGTGTGAAGTGTGTGGTCAGGTAGTCACGGTAGACGCGGCGCTTTTCGGGCGTGCTGATGTCCATCGTTGGGATGGTTTGGTGGATGGCAGAGAGGGAGGGGTGGAGGGGTGGGCGGGTGATAGGGGACATGTTGATGATATGGATGTGAATGGTTGTTTGGAGTAGTGATGGCTGATTGTTTTGGTGTTGAGTGATAGTGTTTTAGATGATGTCTATTGTTCTCTTTATATACATCTCGTTTCTGTATGTATTCGGAGTGATTATTCCTGCTCGGGCATATTCTTGGTCATCCTGCTTAGGGCATTGGCGGGTAATGTGTCCGGTCCACTTAGGACTGATAGAGTGCGGGCAAATCATCGCTCCGGAATGTCTCCGTGATGGTGAGATTCCATCCCGAAGGATGAGAGGCTAACGAGTTCAGGTCTAGTTCGGAGTCATCCTTAATAATTAATGACCCGATGGCCGACCGTGATTAGTGTACTGTAATTGTCTGCTTTTAGGTGATCATATAACCCGTTGCCTATCATTCTATCATTGTGCGGCAGGTGTCCCAATCCGCCTCTAGGAATACTTCGCTAATTTCGGAGAGACTCAATTGTCCTTATGGCATTAGCTCAAGCTAGGGTTGATGTTTCAGGTGTATTCGGAGTTTGGAAAGGGGGTGGTTGAGATGCGGAAGGTGTGAGTTGCTTTGATTTACAGAAGTACAGTCAGATCTTATTCGCACCCTTTTTGTTATATCGCTACTTTTGTATGAATGACGATCACTCAATCGCACCCCGCGCTTACCCAGGCAACAGCGCTTAACTGCGCCAGCTACAGACACGCCTTTGTAGTCCCTATACTGCTACAATTTTACCCTTGACACTATCACACTACAGCTAGGATTACATAGCAAATACAAGCTACAATACTCAATCAATACCATGTCCTTCATCCCACCACCCCCGCCCCCCGCACCCATCCCCCCACCAACAATTCAAGCACAAAGAAGCACCCCACAACCACCCACCGTCCCCCCCACCGGCCCCAAAGACTCCCTGCTCCTCGAGCTGCACATCTTCAACGGCCACCCCTTCAAAGACCACTGGGCATACTGGATCTCGTCTCCAGATGATCCCCTGGTCGGAGATAAGATCCACGCAACTGGGGACGTGCGCAACGGGTTCATCTTCGAGATCAAGCGCAGCCACAATCTCCGTACCAGTCCGGATATTCCGACGAAGCGGATCCCATTGCAGTGGGTGGATGGGAAGTATTTTGATCAGAAGCTGATGGATGGAATGGAGAGGATTGAGAATGTGCCGGGTTGTGCGTTTGAGAGGATTTTGTATGAGGTGAAGGCACCGGGGAAGTCGTTGAATAGCGTTGGTCAGGAGAGGGGTATGGGAGAGGCTGGGGTTGGGGTTGGGAGGAGGGTGGTGCAGAGGGATTGTCAGACTTGGGTTGTGGAGTCGATGGGGAATTTGGTTAGGGAGGGTGTTGTGGGAAAGGAGGTGAAGGAGTTTGTATGGAGTATTAGGCAGTGAGGGAGTGCAATAATGGTTGCCGATATATTCTAATTCATTATAACTTTGGATTCATTGTAGCATGAAGCATCCGAGTCAGTAGGCTAATAGAGACTCTTTTCCACATACAAGTGCAATCGAAGAGCATATAGAAAGAATGGTATCCGCCTAGTACTATTAGCATCAGACGTCGAATACCGTATTAATATGAAATAAAAAACATTTACATACCGTCTTATCGATGCGATTTCTTTCTGAAATAGGCAAGTTGGATATTGTGGAGAAGTGTGCCTGGGGCAGCTGATAAACAACGCGTCACGGTATTTTCCGAGAGATCTGAAAAATGCTTGGATTTTCTCGGAACTGACCACTAAAAATCTGAAAGTGCGTGATGGAAGTTGATGAAAAGAAAATGCATAAATGAATTTATATAATCGATGGACAGAGTAGCACAAGATCTTGAGACGGACTTCAAGTTCAGGTACGGGCTCAACCATGGGATTCACGAGATAAGATCATTCTGCGGGAAGTAAACACGCACCTTCCCTATCACGGCAGGCGGCGAGGGCCCGAAACTCGGTTAATCCAGGCGGTGAGTCCATATTGCCTGGCTAACCAGGGATCTGGTCGGTCTTTGTTTTGAATCGCCATCCCTCACATCAATCCTTCCACATCTCTCTGTCTCTCACGACAGTCGGCATACACAATGGCAAAGGTATTCCCAGCGGACAGTCCATTGTGCAACCTCTTTGGCACTGCGCCAAAGAAGCCGACTCAAAATGTCTTCGCAGAGCCAGAATCGCCTCCCAAAACGATCACAGACTATCCCCAGCCTCGTGGTGACAGGTAGCTAGGCCATTAAGACACATGTGTTGTATACGAGCCAACACTGACCGAAGCACTACAGTCCCTACGCCACTCCTATTAACTACATCACAATTGGCCGTACCACTTACGCTATCCCCGAATACTACGTCCTCAAAATCCCCAACTTGAAATTCGCCTACATGAAGGAATTCTCCCTCGAAGAAATGTACGCCGACATTGGACATACATTTATCCACTATCTTTACACCGGGGAATATCAAACTCTCGCCGCATCTCCCAACACCCCTCCCTCCAAAGCCCGAGCTCGGGAATTCAAACGCAGCGTGTACGCCTTCCACATGGCTCAGCGACACCAGATTCAGGGCCTGCTGGACCACGCACAGCGCTACATGCATACCTTCGTCGACTCCGTGTCAACACTGGAACTACTCAAGATTGCACGGGAGGTATATGCTACTATGTACACTGGTAGGAAGTGGTTTGAGGACTTCGTGTATGATCAACTTGCTGCAGCGTTCAAAGTCAGCGAAGAACAGTTCAGAAACGATATTCTGAAGTATGGTGTGGGAAGCGATGCAAAATTCGATCAGTTTTTACTGGATCTCGTCTTGAAGATCTACTCTGGTAGCATTGCCAAGTTGACCAAGGCGACTACCAACGGCCCAGCAGCCAGCCGTGCTGCCTTCATGTCCGACGAGGATGCTTCTACTGATCAAACAACTCTTGTATCTGACAGCAATGACACCAAGAGCGACCCCGAAGTTAGCGTGGATTGTTCGGATGACGGTGTCAAGGATACCAAAACCGCCGACACCGTGCCAGATCTACCAGAAGAGAAACCCAAGTCTCCATCTCCTGCTCCAGCTTCACCTCTCTCGTTCGCCTTCCGGTCGCCGCAGCCAGTGAGGTATCAAAGCTTTGCACCGGAACCAACTCCATCAAAGACAGAGCCAAAGTCAGAGCCGGAACCCACACTAAAGGAGACCTTAAAGCCTGCGGCATCTTCAAATCCCGTTCCGGAAAAAGCGGCCCCAGTTCATCCGGAGAAAGCTCCTCAGCCAGAGAAGACGACGCAGCCAGAGAAAGCAACACAGTCAGACGAAGAGATACAGCCAGAGAAAGCCTCGTTCGATAAGCCAGATCCGAATCCAAAATTCACGCCACGGAGCGGAGCGCAAACACCAGAGGATGCCCCCGGCGATGATTCGAGCCCCCGCAAGAAGTCAAAAAAGAAGAGGGGAGGCAAGAAGAAATCCGGGAACTCAAATACACCGTCGTCTGGCAACCCGAATGCACCATCGAACTCTGTTGCTGGCACACCCAGTAAGTGGGTTCCCAAGTGGAAGACAGAATCAATTTCGTTCTTGTAACGATCACGAACGCTAGCGTCTGGACGAGCTCAACCGACGATCTCACCAAAATGTCCGAAATGACTCACGAAGAATTAATAAAATGTCCACTTTTCTATGAGATAGCGATCCAAAGTAGTATGCAGCAGTAAGCCGTCTGTCTATGGTATAGTTGGAAATAGTGATACAAGCATTTTGTGCGAAATGTGCAAATCGCGCCCAGAAAGTGCAGGGCCACAGGCAACCGTTCTGCCTCTAGCGATTCATGTCATCTTACGCAGTAGATTATTATCAGGCAATTTCCCGTTCCATGGATCCAATCTTTCCTTTGGCACTAGCTTGCTCCACAATAGACCGGACCGCACGACGGTCACACCCGGCTAAACCTTAGTATCCACTATCTTCCAGTCAGTTGAACACCGGTTCAAATGGCATTGCAAATTGTTGCACTTGTGGGTCTGCTATGCATGCCATGGGGCCCGAATTCTACGAGTCACCAGATCCAGATCTTCACAAGTCTATCTCTATTGACATAGCTGCAATAGGAGTGCAGCGGCATTGGTACTATCTCCTTTCACGTAAGAGTTAAGTCGATGGTTGAGGTGTAAGTTTGATTCTTATGGTCCCCGTGGAGGAATTGGATAAAACTGTGGTTTGTGGTTGGAGGGTGTATAGCATGATCGTCTATATTAAGAAGAGGGTATCAATTCTATTAGCAAATTATCTACTCCGACTACCATCTAATCGAATGATGCACCAACTCCGCAGCAGCACGTTGTCCCAAATATGTACCAAAATCTATACCAAATGATACCATGCAGGATAAGATCACCGATCGAGCGCGTTCTCCTGACACTGCAAACAATTAGCAAACACAATCACACAAAATACTTCATTCAATCAACACTCACCATCTGCCAATACGTCCCCTTATTCCGCAACAACTCCTGATGACTCCCCTGCTCGACGACCCTCGACCCATAACCACTCCGACTCTCCCCAAAGACAAAGATCGTATCCGCCTTCTGAATAGTAGCCAATCTATGCGCGACCGCCACAATCGTCATACACCGTTTCGCAGCCAACCGCTCCATCGCCGCCTGCACGACCTTCTCAGACTGCGAGTCAAGACTCGATGTCGCTTCATCAAGCAGAAGGAGAGATGGCTTGCGCAGCAACGCCCTTGCAATGCACATGCGTTGACGCTGTCCTCCACTCATGGACGTCTGGGCCTTGATCCCAAGATCAGTGGAGTATCCCTCCGGGAGGGAGGTGATAAAGTCGTGGATCTCTGCGTCCTTGCACGCTTGGATGAGATCGTCCTCGGTATATTCGTGTTCATCCAGTCCGAGGGTGATGTTATCGCGGATAGTGCCTTCGAAGAGTCGGGGTTCTTGTGCTACGAGGGATATCGAACGGCGGTAGTATGAGGCGTCGATGGAGTGGATGTCGTTGCCGTTGATCAGGACTGTTCCTTGATAGGGGGTGTAGAATCTCTCGAGGAGAGATATCACGGTTGTTTTCCCGCAGCCGGATGGGCCGACGAAAGCGACGAATTGGCCACTTTCGATTTTGACGTTGAGATTCGTGAATAAGGGGGTGTCTTGGCTGGGGTAGCGGAATGCGACGTTGGTGAATTCGATGTTGGCCCCGGAGTGGGTTCGGAGGGACTCGGGCTGGGATTTGATGATTTGGGCTTCTTGTTGTTCGGCTTTATCTGGACGGAGGCTTAGTATGCGGTTTGCGGCGGCTATGGCTTGCGCGACGTTGGATCCGAAACTGAAGAATTGGCCGGCGGATTGGCCGCCTTGGATGATTGCGATGTAAATCACGAAGAAGTCGGTCGGTTGGTATTCTCGGGACGCGAGGAGTTGGCCGCCGTACCTGTCGAATTTTGTTAGATGCAGTGATGGACGGTTGGTTATGGAGAACTTACCAGAATGTGAGTGCCATGGCGCACAGCTCGACACTGTCAGAGAATGCGAAGATGAGGGTGGCGTACCAGGCCTTTCGGAAGGCTTTCGTTTGCTGGTCTCGTAGGAGGTTGGAATACCGGTCCAGGATCACATCTTCCATTGTCAAAGCCGAGACGGTACGGAAAGCGTCTATGGCTTCAGCTGCGAATTGCGAACTTCCAGAGTAGACCTTGGCGTTCATTGCCTCGAATTGAATTTCGTAGCGAATGCGCATGAACGCTGCAAGGAATGTGCATGGCAGTGCTGCGAAGACAGCAACGAGACTGAGCTTCCAGCCGAATGTGAACGCGATGATAATACATCCCAGAATACTAAAAATGGACGATAGCGGAAATGCACCGTTAATCCCGACTATCTCTTGCACTTGCTTCGGGTCTGTCGCTAGCCGAGAGACAAGGGAGCCAGAAGCGTTTTCGATCTGATCGTGGAATGGAATAGGCTTGTTGAGCACGTTGTGGAAATATTGCGTTCGATAGAAGGAGGATACTTCCTGCCCAAAAGTCAGTTTCAACATCTATAAGATTGGCATGACACCCTTACAAATGAGAACCTGTTCGAAGAATATCCCATGAGTCCGTAGGATGCAGCTGTCCCTAGGGCCAGAATGAAAAACATCAATGCCCAGAAGTTGGCTGCGTGTGCCAGACTCTGGCCAGTCAACTGGAACACCGCGATAAGTTTCGCAAACAACCAACTTTGAAGTGGGAACGCAGCTACCAGCATTCTTCGTTAGTCTGTATTGGCAACGCAGATTTGAGCGGGCTTACCTCCAGCTCCAGCCGCGCTAGCCACGACTGGAATGTAAAATCTCCAAAGTGCCCTCTGTTCATATAGGAATAGTCCGATGCTGCCGAAGAAGCCCTTGTTCTTCTTTGTCGACTGCTTGCCATCCTGATTCGTAGACATTCGAACAAGTTCATCTGCAGGTTCGAGATCTTCCTTCAATTCCTCGGTTATGTCGCTGGTGGCCGTGTCATCATCCAGTAGCTCCACCTTCTGAGCATTTACAAGGCCGCTATAGACTCCACCGTCGATTTTGAGAAGGTCCTCATGAGTACCCTGCTCGATGTCCACACCACCCTTCATCACAATAATATGGTCGGCTTGTCGGATGGTCGACAGTCTGTGAGCGATGACGATCGTAGTACGATTGCGAGAGAGCCGATCAAGGGCTGCCTGGACAATCTTCTCGCTGCGCACATCGATCGCACTCGTTGCTTCGTCCAATATCAGGATAGATGGTTGGCGCACAATACTGCGGGCTATCGCAAGTCGTTGCCTCTGTCCACCACTTAACTTGGTACCATTCTCGCCAACTGGGGTGTCATATCCCTGCAAAGGTCAGATTTGATACTCAGGGGATTGTCTTGGTCATACCTTGGGCAGCCGTTGAATGAACTCATCTGCGAAAGCCTCCCGACACGCATTTTCAATGAGTTCTTTCTTTTTCTCATGGCTCTCATGCTCCCACTTCGTACCTATTAGCCCAAGGGAGATGTTGTTAAAAATAGTATCGTTGAAAAGAACTGGCTCCTGTTGTACCAGCCCGACCTGGGACCTCCACCACTTTCGATCCAAGTCATTCACATTATGTTCACCCACATAGATCGCTCCTTGATCCTTATCGCTGGTTCCGCTCAGCTGATACCATCGCTCAAGGAGAGCCACGATCGTACTTTTCCCCGAACCCGAGGGACCCACCAACGCCGTTGTCTTTCCCCGCTGAAATCGAGCATTAAGCCCATTCAGAGCTTTCGTGTCTGGTCGGGAAGGGTAAGCAAAGTGGATATTTTCGAGGATTATGTCTACCTCCGCCGAGGCATCAGATCCATCAAGACCGCTAGCGTCGATCTTTTCTGAATCCAGCATCTCGAAGAATGCACCCGCTGCACTAGCTGCCTTGGATATGATGATCAAAGGCGAGGCAATGTTTCCCATAACACTCACTGCCACCATGACCGAGAAAAATACACTACCTTCGATCAGCACAGGAACCCAACCTCGGCCGATGTACTCACGTGATGACCGTGTTAATGCTCCCTATGTGTCCGTCGCGGAACAACTTGAGTCCAAACCAAAAAGCTAAGGAATAACTCGAATACATGGCAAAGAAGATGAGCCCGAACTGAAATCCCAGGAAGACGGACATCTTTCGGCCTCGTTTACGCGCTTCTTCAACCCAAAGCGCATATTTTGTGGCGAGGTTTCCTTCCGCTCCCAGTGACACCACTGTCCGCACCGAGCTAAACACCTCCGCTGCGATGGATGACTGCTTCTCGTCCGCCTTGTCGACACTTTGCTGGGCTTGCGTTAACCGAGGTAGTGTTATGCTGACGGCGATCAGGATGAATAGGAGTGCTGAACTAGTGACAAGTGTCAAGGCCCATGAGTATTTGAATGCGATAATGTATGCTGCCAAGAGCAGGGCAACTGATTGAAAGAGAATGGCTAATTTATCCGAAATGCTCTGCTGGATGGAATTGGACAGGGTGGTGATCGTGTTGGTTACGGCGCCCACTGATACCTGATCGAGCTTACTGATCGGCTGGGCGAATAGCGTCTGCATGTAATCGTGTCGCAGTGTGGCTGAAACTCGAAGACCAATGACGCGGAAGCAGTACTAGCAAGTCAGTAATTGCTCCGGGTTGTCACACACGCAGGCTTACCATGGAGAAATATGTTAAAGTAAATTTGCCGATAAATAGGTAGACAATATATAAGCTGTCATTAAGTTAGTCCGTGATACCTAAGAAGCTCTATCTTTCATTTGCATAGTATCTTACCTCAGTCTGCTCACAGACGCTTTGAAATCCGCTTGTGTCACCGATGTTCCTGCGGAAAAGTATCCATTGAATTCTCCGACCAGGCTGCCGAACACAATATTCATCAGAGGAAGAGGCTATACAATGCGTTAGGTCTATTATCTCCGATGTAACCTATATGCACATACCACTCCAGATCCGATCGCGCATACCATAGCGATTGCAAGGATCACGCGATCAGTAGAATTGGTATAGGAAAGCAGCCTCTGTAGGCAGTCAGCGACGAAACACGGTAGAAGCAAAAGAATCCATACAATGTAATTACCCAGCGATGCATTTTCCTCGCTCTTCTTCTGCTCCTCCGTGTCCTTCTCATCGACCGTGCTTGGTTTTTCTTGATCTCCGATGACGATGGTGTCTTCGCGTGGCTTCTCCGTCGGGCTTTGCCCGGTCGGACTTTCTCGTGAGTAGCCCATTGTGTATGCCTGTACGAGAGCAGGCTAGAGTATTGTCGACCAAACGAAGCATGGTAGTGTATGAGGGCGAGCTGGATTTATAGGGGAGAAACCCTTGCTGGCCAGAGGTTCAGTCTGCAACCAGAAGCGGGTCCAGGCCACAGTGGGCTGGCCCTGGATCAGTGACGACGTATGCATGGAAGGACCTAGCCTACCTAAAAGGTGCAAGTGGCATCTTGTTTACGAGGAGGATCTGAGTTGCCAGGCGATGACTCGACGATGAAAGTCATTGACTCCTTGGAAAAGTGGAGCCGATCGACGTTGCGGACATTCGGGGATTTCCTAATCCCGGGCGGTCAAAGCAGGCTGCCACATTGCCGCCCGGACTTTCGGACTCTTCACTTTCCCGCTGCCAATCTTCATCCCTTGCAACACAATCTCGTCACTTAACCTAATCGCGGATCCACTGCTTGAGGATGAGCTCCCGCAAGCCTATTTCGGTAGGCTAAGCCCAGTCATTTCTGCAGCCAGTCCTAGGTCGTCATTAAAGCTGACAATAGTCTAGTGCCGCCGCTGTCAGCAAAAGAAGGTATCGGCTCAGCCGCACGTTCCAGCAATGCACCATCTAACGGAAGACTAGATCCGTTGCAATAGAATCGACCCCAGATGCGACAAATGCGACGCCGTCGGGGCAGAATGCACTTATCTGCCGCGGAAACCACGCTCCGCCAAGAAAAGGTTATCCTCCTTTGCTATAAGCATGGAGAAAGCTACTAACGTAGCTTTCGGCATACTAGGCTAATAGATGACAAAGAGATCCTCTCCGAGATCCTTAGACGACTGGAGCGTCTAGAGGATCACTGTATGATTGACTCGGATCTAGATCAGCCCGCAGATGCATCTCGTTCAATGTCTATCGTTTCAGATAATGACACCTCGCAAAGCGCTCTGCCCCGCAGTGTTAGGTCTCCCCTACCGGCAGCACAGGGCGTAGCTCAGACTATCTTGAAAGGTCTAAAGGACGAGAATATGAGGTCACTCCTCAGTTCTAATGTGTTTTGTCACCTCAAGACAGTGGAGTCGCGCTTCTGGGGGAACGAAAAATGCATCCAGGCCATAGAGGTCGCCATGCGGGAGATCTCGGAGTTGGAGAATGTAGAGACCGAAAAGCCCAAGGCATCACCCGCCATCACCAAAGAAACCGCACACAAATGGATTGAATGTACAGTCATTCGTACAACACCTGGAGAGCCAACAGTGTGCTAATCTGAACTCAAGTATATTATGATACATATCAGTTCGAGGGTTTCCGAATTCCCTTTGAAAAGGAGTTCATTCTTTCACTCCCAGATCTGCTTCATAACCCACATGTTCATCTCGACCCGACAATACGAATTGTCTACTACAATGTTCTCTTCCAGGGCTTTTTGGTAGACCCGGATGCCTATCACAACAGAGGCGCCATCGTGGAATTTCTTTGTCGCTCCTGTATGGACTTAACAGAAAGCTGGCTGGCCCAGATTAAGGATACGCCTGCAGACTTGTTCGCTGCCTTCTTTATGGTACGTCCTACCTTGGATACGCGTCGGCTGAAATAGGAGCTAAAGGAGTGCTTAGATGTCCATGTCTCTTGAAGCTTGCAACAGTGAACTATCTTGGAGGATCGTTGCCGAGTCTGTAAAGATTTCCCGAGCTCTGGGGTACTTCTCTGTTGATGCCGACCAACCAACCCCCAGCCAGCAGATCGTTCGACCTGGCGGTCCCCCCAACCCTGAAAGCGAAATTGAGAAGAACAGAATGCGCTTTGAATTTTGGCACTTGCTACGAACGGACTGTGTCTTTCGTCTGTCCTTTGGTAAACCGGCGCTCATCACCGACGGGTCCTGGACGGTGAATTTCCCGGATCCTAGTATCACAGGAGTTGATCACGCATCCACTCGGTTTATACAAATTCACTTTTTCGCTTCCATGCGTCTCACATTGGTCTTGATTAAATATCTGGACCTGGTAGATGCGGAGCCCGACGTGGACACTCCGCAGTACGATAGGACAATCGATGGTCTTATTGCCGAGGTGCAAACCATCATGTCCGACTGGTCGCCGGTACGTTAATCTTCAATAGTCGGCTTCAGCAAACCGGAAACTGACAAGTTCCAGGAGGAACTCCTCACTACGACGACAAACCGCATGGATACCTGGTTTTGTGTGGACATTCTATTCAGCAGCTACAAGATGCTCATTGTTTTCTATCAAGCAAAGAAGTGTAACCAAGACAGTCAGTTTCTACCATATCACACGGTTGACATTGCACGGAAGAGTCTGCAAATGTCCCGGTCTATCATGTCATCCTCTACACACCCATATTGGGGTATCAGGTATGTTACAGCAGAGATTCTACACATAATGACGCTAATCGTTGGGGCTTTGTTTCTATAGTCTGATCCTTCTTCATCAATTCGTGCCACTATTCATAGTCTCCATGAATATGATTGGGTCTCCTGAGTGTGAGAATGCAGAGGCTGATCTCGATTTGGTGTCTTGGTTTAACAACTTCGTCGTAACAGCCGCGCAGGAGCGGAGCGAGCTTAAACCGCTGAGTATTATGATGAAGGCAATGACTATAGCCTCTCAAAACTCTGTGGCAGGCTCACATTGATGTTTACTCTTCATGGAGTTCTTCCGCCGAACGGAAGGCTGATGTTAATTTGAAGCTGTCCTAGAACCTGTTTCTTTTGTGAACAGAAATAGAATTATAATTTATAGAGGGCATATGAAAGAGAACCTTCCTCCGCAGTTTAGACATAGATTCAGCACGAGTGTTTTCATACTGCGTCTTAAGTTATAATACTAAACACGAATAGTACAGTAATGCTAGTTGCAGAAACTTAACTATAAGTGCCTTCTCACACGGGCAGGCAAGGACTCGGAATATATATCTTGGCTAAGCACAATAATGATCCTCCAACATACATACCAAATATCATGCCTAATCGGTAGAGTACTATAGAAAACCCAACTCAATATGAACTAACCTTACCTAACATCTTCATCAAACTTCCACCTACTTCTTTCAGAATCTCCGACCTGTAAGCATTTTCTCTCATTATTACCCGAAAACGGCAATTTCTCTCCAACTGACACAAAACACGATGGGTCGATAAGCCGATAAGATAAGCCACTCCCTCGGCAATATGGCGGTGTGGCATGTGCGGGGAACCTGCCATTATGCCGGCAGAATACTGTGCAATGGTCTCGTTACAATGGGTGGGAATAACATGAGCTCTGACTGGGTTGCGATGTTTGATATATTACTTACCAGACAAGAAAGCTCCTTCCAGTGAAGAGCAACTGATGGCTCCCAGCCACTCAATTCTCCGAGTATACTGTGGAGAAACCAATGCAGAAAATCCTGAAGGCGGTGTACAGCCCAACAAAAGTCAAGCCCCACCGAAAATCTCTCTTTTTTAACCCAATCGGGAAATATTTCTCTACCGGCCCTGAAAACCATATCCTGTGTGGCAGAACAGTCAAATCTCGACAGACTAAGAACCAGATATCGACGATACCCTTCGGAATGGATTCCGATGCTGTATTATAAAAGCCCACGATGGACCCGACGTAAATCTCTCAGCAAGTATCGATAAAGTACACTTTCCCCCTATTCTACGGCAGCATCTCCAACATGACCTCCCGAGACGGATACCAGTGGACACCCGAGAGCGGACTCACGCAGGGAGTTCCCTCTTTGGGTGTCATCTCACCACCTACTAACATCAAAGACACGGATAAAGATGGAGCGTGGGACGTCATTGTCATTGGTGGTGGATACTGTGGGTTGACTGCCACGCGGGACCTGACAGTCGCAGGTACTTACCCTATCCCATCCCATCCATCTACACAAGGTAAACACACTAACAAGGGCAGGCTTCAAAACCCTCCTCCTCGAAGCCCGAGACCGCATCGGCGGGCGCTCCTGGTCCTCCAACATCGACGGCTATCCCTACGAGGTACGTGCCCTCTCCCCTTTCCCACTCCAACCCACATAACTAACCCTGAATCCAGATGGGAGGAACCTGGGTCCACTGGCACCAATCACACGTATGGCGCGAAATAACACGCTACAAGATGCACAATGCGCTCTCACCCTCATTTAACTTCAGCCGCGGAGTCAACCACTTCCAACTGCGCACCAACCCCACCTCATCAACCTACATGACCCACGAAGCCGAGGACGAGCTCCTCCGCTCCGCATTGCACAAGTTCACCAATGTCGATGGCGCCAACGGACGGGCCGTCCTCCCCTTCCCGCATGACATGTTCTATGTTCCGGAGTTCAGGAAGTATGATGAGATGTCGTATGCGGAGCGGATTGAGCAGATCAAGGATGAGTTGAGCCTGAATGAGAGGAGTTCTCTGGAGGCGTTTATCTTGCTTTGCTCGGGTGGAAGGATGGAGAATAGCTCGTTTGGAGAGTTTCTGCATTGGTGGGCGATGAGTGGGTATACATATCAGGGGTGTATGGATTGCTTGATCAGTTATAAGTTTACGGAGGGGCAGAGTGCGTTTGCGCGGAGGTTTTGGGAGGAGGCGATGAGCACGGGGAGGTTGGGGTATGTGTTTGAATGTCCGGTTAGGAGTGTGGTTGATGAGGAGGGGGGGAAGGGGGTGAGAGTGACGGCGAGGGATGGACGGGAGTTCGTTGCCAAGCGGGTGGTGTGCACTATTCCGCTTAATGTTCTCTCTACGATTCAGTTCTCGCCTGCGTTGGCTACTGAGAAGGTCTCTGCTATGCAGGCGGGGCATGTGAATATGTGTACGAAGGTGCATGCAGAGGTGGATAATAAGGATATGCGGTCGTGGACGGGCATCGCGTACCCGTTTAACAAGCTGTGTTATGCTATTGGTGATGGGACCACCCCTGCGGGAAATACCCATCTGGTGTGTTTCGGGACTGATGCGAATCATATCCAGCCTGACGAGGACGTGCGGGAGACGTTGAAGGCGGTTGGGGAGTTAGCGCCTGGGGAGTTTGGGGTGAAGCGGTTGGTGTTTCATAATTGGGTGAAAGATGAGTTTGCGAAGGGCGCGTGGTTCTTCTCGAGGCCGGGGATGGTGAGTGGGTGTTTGGACGGGTTGAGGGAGAGACAAGGGGGAGTGGTGTTTGCGAATTCGGATTGGGCGTTGGGGTGGAGGAGTTTCATTGATGGGGCGATTGAGGAGGGGACGAGGGCTGCGAGGGTGGTGTTGGAGGAGTTGGGGACGAAGAGGGATGAGGTCAAGGCTCGGTTGTGAGGGATTAGGGTATTGGAAGGGTATTTATTGTGAACATGAATCTCATACTACATTCAACATAACTATACACGTGAGTAACTGGGGATATAGGCAGGCTATGTCTAATAGGTGTCGTTGGAGGTGTAGTTCTCGCGAGCAGCGAATCTCAGCTCAGTGGCGCCAATGTCGAACACGGTGACCACGTTCTTCTGGAAAGTGTCGCCCAGAATGTAGAGATCTTCGGAGGTGTCGCTGCCACCGTCAACGATACCGGTGATGCAGACAGTGTTGCCCTCGTCATCGGTGCCAGCATCGAGAATCATGTCGAGGGGGTTGATGTAGAAGGTCTTGCCGTTGATGGTGATGCCGTGAGTGGGAGGGGTGGCGTCGCAGTCAACGATGTAGGCGCCCTCGTCGTCGGAGTATGTTGCCGCAGGGGAGAAAGCGGCGTTGATTTCCTGAGAGATGGAAGTGGGCAAGTAGTTCAAGGTGGTGCCAGAATCAACCTGCATTTGTTAGAGTCCGATAGATAGGGGAAGGTGTGAGTAACATACGATGTACTGGATGTCGTCGCCACCAGCGCCGGTCAAGCTCTTGCCGTTCAGAGTGACCGCGTCAATGTTGATGGTGTAGAAGTCGTAGGCCTTGGAGTAGCCTTCAATATTGGTGACCAGGATGGAGGTGTTGGTGAAGTCTTCGACAAAGTCCACTGGAGGCAAACCGCCCAGAGCAAGATAGCCAGCAGCACCGGAGACATCGCGCTCAATGGCCAGACTGAAATAAGGGTCAATCAGTCCCTCCTCCCACATGGTGGTGATGATGTTGCTGTAGACGACTTGCTCGTCGGTCTTAGTGGAGTAGGCGCTCGTACTAGCAGACGTCAGATGCCTCCTTGTGCATATGTGACAAGGGTGAATACATACAGGGCAGGGTACGCAAGACCAGTCAGGCCAGAGGTGGTTCCGTCGCCTTCCCAGGCGGCCTCAGTGACCACGGCGATGGTTTGGTCCACAGTGATATCGGCAAGGGTGACGGTCTCGTTACCCATCACTCCGTAGAGGTACTCACCATCGCCATACTCGATAGCGAATTCTTCTCCCTCAATTTCCACGAAGGAGCTCTCGACAGTCCAGGTAGAGCCAAAGTCGCAGCTCGACTCGGAGGTCTCGCGGCCGGTGTCGAGGTCAATACATGTGAAGCCCGTCTTGACCACCCAGGTATCACTGGAACCGGTGTCGACGATAACGTCAAACGAATCACTACCAATAGTGATTGAGGTAGCGAACTCCTCGCCTTCGAAGAGGGAGATCAAGGTGGAGCTGCCACTGCTGGTGGAGCGCGTGACGTACGCAGCGCTACGAGGGTTCACGTTCCCCTTGGACTTGGTCTTGCTCAGCTCGAGGTACTTGGAGGCGGCCTTGTGTTGACTGGGAGCGGTGAACGGAGTGGGCTTGTAAATGGTGTGGCTGCCGCTTCTGCGGACGATGTTTCTTGCCTTGAGCGGGGAGGGGGTGGGTGCAGCCAGAGCAGCCCCGGCAAGGAGCGAGGCAGTGGCCAAGGTACCGATGGGGATATACATGGCGGCAGTTGAATGAGAAGTGATCTAAGTGATTGCTTGACTGACAGGAGAGAAAGCCCATGCAGAAGAGGGGTGCGTTCGGGACATTATATAGGGTTGGGAAATTACATCCGGTAGTCGGACTAGACCACCAATCTAGCTACAATTAAACCTGCAGAAATGAGAGACATACGCTGGATTGCAGAATGTCGCTGTTGTCGACCAGCAAAGCTCGCAGCTTCCGGAGTGGCGGCTAGCAATGACGCGATGCGAGTGGTTGACAAGACAAGGCGGGCCTGTATAGTGCTGCCTGATAGCGACGAGACCTGGCTTCCCACTCGATCGCTAGGAACAATAGCGCCGTGTGGGCCCGGCACCGATATTGCTGATAGGGAGCGTTGCGTCAGCACTGGCCCTGGATTGGTGCGAAGCCAGGCCCACAGCAGATAAGACGCAAGGTGTGCGTCGGAGTCCGCAGGGGAGGGGTCAAAGGTTGAGGATTGAACAGAAGATAGATTGGAATATACCGCAGTAGTTAGTTATTGCTTCATGCAGTCGGTGTGATCGTGTTGCGCTTTTCCCCTCCTGTAATAGAGTTACCGAGTCTTGAACAATTGTATCGGGCATCATCTCGGGGATAACCCTGAGGGCATTAGCGCCCGGAGAAATGTTGACCAGTGCAGCATACGGCCACTGTCATCCGACAAAGCCATTGTGTCGAATCTGAGGCACACATAACTCCCTTCATTTTGATTTCCATTTAAACACGACCAATGACGGTCATCAGGAGGATGGGAATAGAGTCCTCCCTCGTCGAGACATGTATCAGCTGCTTGGCCCCGAGACGGTTCTCTGTTTGACATTAACATGCTTGCCGTGGTCCCGAAACCCACAATGAACACCTGACAGGCCCATGACCGGGTACAAGGGAGGCCAAGCATCGGAGACAACCGAGAGTGGGAGATGGCTTCATGCTTGATGCTGTCAAGCTCAGATCGGCGGATTATCGGAATAGCTGTCAGATCACGTGGTGGGGCGTGTCCAACAAGAACAGCCCGGTGTTGTTAATATGCGACTTTTTTAAAGACTATCACCAAGCTAGCTCACACTGCAGAGTTATTAATCAACTGTGCGATAAGGGAACTCCTTCTTAGTCCCTGCAGTGTATAGCATGGACGGAGATGCCGTGAAGAAAGAAGGGCTGATACCGCATTGGGAGGCAAACACGTGCGGGGAACCTCGGAAGGGAAAGACCCGCTCCGCTCCGGGCGGCCATCGGACATCCGCGGAGTTCATTTCAGCGTCCTTGAAGTTCCCACAACCCTCCTCATATCAGCCCACTATCGGATAGCGCCATCAGCAGCTAATATCCGCGCATACTTGCATGGCGTTCGTGCCTTGGTAATCGACAAGCGGGTCCCCATGGTCGCGACGGACTCCGGTAGTAACTCCCAGTCGCGAGGTATGCCCAGTTTTGTCGCATGCGAGCCGATCATGACTAAACCGTTTTAACTTCATAGGATGCTTTCAATGCTCGAAGCGCCGGATTGTCTGCGACAGAGGGGAACCTACCTGCTTCAAATGCCAGAAGAAAGGGATTGAATGCTCAGGATCGGGTCGCTTTCGCTTCAGCCCCGGCCTGGCGACTCGGGGAAGACTAAAAGGCTGCACCATCCCGATACCTGATGTCGACCCCAAATCGGTATACCAAGAAGCCTCAAATACCCCTCGTCCTATTCGGTGGAAGGACGATCGGATAAGAGTCAACAAAAAGCAGAAGCCTCGAAATAGCGGGAAGGAGCCGAACCGGAATGGATTGGCCGTAGAGGGGGGTTCGGTCGTTAGAGGCACAGACCATGCACAGTCAATGTCTGCTGGAAGTCGGGACATTTTCTCTGGCTCAGCACAAGTGGTGGTCAGACATGCACTATGTAATGACCACCGGCCCTCAGTAATGGAGATGGCTGTCGGCCAGTGGATCGCACCAGTCGATCACAGAACCCGCGAATCATTCGACTACTTCGCTAGATATGTCGCTCCTGTCATGGTTGTCCTCGATATATCGAATGGCTACCGGGACATCATCCTCCCCATGGCTTTCGAAGATAGCCTTCTACAGCAGGCTGTTGCTGTTGTTGCCGCGCAACATCTTGGCTCCCGACACCCCTCGTGTCGAGCCGCAACCGAGTCCAGCCGGTCCGCAATAATCTCTCGATTACGACGTGATTCTCTGCTTGGATCACCCGACCTAGTATTCAATTCATCGACTTGGGCAACTCTGATTGTCCTACTTGTCGGGGAAACCGTTACCGGCAGCTCCGAGTATAGCCACTTGTTACGGACTCTCCTTACTTTGGCCCAAAACATGAAATCTGTCGGAAATACCGAGCTGAGAGATTTTCTCACAAAGCAGACGGACATGTTTGCGTTCCTCGGACAGCCACTTCTGAATGAAGACCTAGGCGCCGAGAGACTTAGAAACCCTGTCGACCCAAGTGTCTGGATGGCTTCGAGGGTGAATGCTGATTCGCACCATTACAGAACATTGTCGCTGGTGAAACAAGTCTTCTCAAAAGGCGCACAAATATACCTTCAACGTGCGACCACGAATCAAAGTTCCTGGCATGTGTTGGAAGAGCTGCGCCAGCTTCTTTGTCAGATGAGCCCCACGGAGCCGGGTGCTCATGGATTCGTATGGTCATGTTTCATTGCAGCAGCGGACAGCGTTGACCCCGAGCACAGAGCCTTTTTCAGCGAGTATCTGAAAGGGGTGTATTCACGAACAATGTTCGACAATATTCCTAAAGCTCTTGACGCCTTGCCTGCCATTTGGGATCTGCAGGGTTCCGCAAAGTGGACCGAAAACCTGCCCCGTCTGTCACCTATTTTGATCATGTGAGCAATACATCCCATAGGGGGATCCAATCGCCACTGCCAGAATAATTACTGGTCACCTCCAATCTCAATCTCGTAGCCGCTGTTACAGCTTCGGTCGGCAGGGGTGATGTTGACATGTCTCCGAGTTGGCTACAGCGTCTGCTGAAGTGAACTTTATCGTGATTTTCATTACTTCGACATCGACTAATAAGCGCCAGTCTGGCGACTTCTCCAAGTACGAGGTGTTATAAATGGGTGTTATGAATGGGACATACTGTTATTCACAAAGGTGATCCGAGCTATATGAGCACCACTGGCTGCCGCCAAGAGCTCATCACGAACGCAATCACCGGTCCTAAGCCACTAGCCAGCCTGGCTAGGTATCACAAAGGAACTGTCTGTCGGGTGAAACCTTAGCTAGCAATATTTCCGAGATGCATGCGTTCCCTCGGCTCACAGGATGCAGGGTATATAGCCTCTATAGGGCACCAATTAAAATCGACTACTTGACAATTCGAGTGGACTTCGCAAGAAATTCGCAATGGTGCCCTTTCTTGTCACTGTTTCTGCAAGTGATCGCGCAATGAAAGTGTCGCACATTCCGGATACAACACAGCCAGATAGTGAAGTTGCTCACCCCGGCAGAGAAGCTGTGTAGAACGTTGGGAATAAGTCTTCGCCACTTGTGAGAATCTATTTTTCCCACACTTGAGAGCCGACTAATACACATTGTAATTCTCAAGCCTGAAACTTTTGTAGTGTCGGGCCATTGAAGGACAGAAGAACTTATGAGGCCGCCAACTGTTACACCGAAAAAGGTCAATTACTTGCATGTGGTACATACGTAATGTGCGCTATACTCTATGAATGTCGATGGACACCGATCGCAGATATACACACGAAAGCTCAGCTGGAACGCAAATCACAGACGAGAAGTTGTGCAAGGGTGCAGACAATCAGTGTTCACCATGTTGAGTCACCATACATTGACAACCTCAGGCGTGTCTTCATTTCCATTGTAGAATAGAGGAATTCACGCCAATGCTGTCAATTTGCGCTGAGCGTCCCGATTGATGTCTTTGGAATGCTACCTACTTCTAAATCGCAGAGTAGCGAAGCAACTAGCGCATGTATGTGGTAATAAGCGGCTGACATGGATAGCAACATTTCCCTCTCTGGGTATTAGACTGGCTTTGAATTTAAGCTCGGAAGTCTCCGTGATTAGGACAGAGTGAGGTCCCGGAGACTCAGGTCTGGAACTAGGAGATATTCACAAAAGATAGGAAAGCCCCGATCGAGCTCCTTTTACTACGAATAATATAAATACCAGCCAATATCCGCTCGATAGAAATTACTCTACCAGCAAGCTCACCAAGAACATGGTACATAAAGGGAGGGCAGGACGCCAGGCCCTAACTTCTATCTAGAACCCATGAACACCAGTGCATGATGGAATTATATAAGTTGATACAGCTCCTATGATGCATGGCCTTGCCGATGCCTGTACGAGTATCTCGACACCACCGCCTAATGGGTGGACTGGCTAGTCCCAGCTGGGCCCATCGCTAGTTTGCTCTATAACATTATTTGCGGCTTTCCACTCCACGGATGGAAATCACTACTGCCCTTCTATGAGAAGGACCGACATGTATATCTGTTGTGGTTTGTCTCATCTGGTACCATTTTCATGCATTGCTTCAAGTATGAGTCCTTGCCCTTCTGTGTCGAGTGCGACCAAGTGTCAGAGTCTAAAGAGAGTGAGACAGAAGAGAATGTGTGCAATGATTTACATTTCCATTTGGAAGCCCTCTACTCTCCTCCCGATGTTATCAATCTTTGAATATAGAGTACAGCCCATCATATCCCCTGTATGCGCCAAACCTGTGGGTCCCTTCATGTCCAGCAATGGTGTCGCCTTTCCAAGAGTAACCGGCATCACAACAGACCTCAACCTGGTCCTGGAAGGAGAGAATTTAGCTGGTTATCTTCTTTTTGCAATCACAGTGGTGTCTGGTGCTTGGTCACCACTTCAAAGATGTGCGACCTATTCTATGATTGCACAGTCTGTCGGTCTAGATCAGTCTTCGGCTGTTAAGAAGGGTCAGGGATGCAAGCTATCTCTATCATTTTCTAAAGCTTATCGGGGGTGGTGAAAAGACGGCTAATAGGAAAGATGACTTCGCGCAACATCACTTGCCAGAAGAATCATTCTGTATAATCCATATATTGTCTCTTAATAGATAACGGGTGACAAACAGCAACAGGGTGCATCAAAACTCTTCCTACGTCGATCATTCTTATATCTTGTGCTTGGATTTACCCGATATCTTTCTGAAATAACCAACGATTATCCTGTGTACAAGGCTGTTCAAGAGAATTCTACTCATAAAAATATTGACTTTCCGCAGGAGGTTAAGGTGCTCGGAGGCAAATTGTGGAAAATCATTCAATGTTCTGATCTCAAATGATATATATCTACTGTCTATAACATGACACCTGGCTCGCGCGTCCTGTGTACAGATTGCCATAAAATGTACACTCGCAAGGACAACATGATAGATCATTACTGACTAGAATAAGATCATGAGGGAAGACAATGGGATGTATGGCGGGGTGCCCGCTCCTCCGTTGAAGATTCTTCCCGAGTGTGGTACACAACCTATGATTAGAAGTTTGTCGACATTGACCACGCCAGATGATGCTCATCTACCATGGCATATTCTGGGTTCCTAAGTTGCGAGATGATATATATCAGGGCATAGGATATGAGGGTCTATCGTTCGAATTCGATGCAGTGGTATGGAGGTGGGACCAATATTATATATCGGTTCATAAGCTATTACAGGCAGCATCGAGGTTTCTGGCACTACCTTTGCCTGAGGCTCTAACTTATGATGGGTTTTGACAACTCTAGCATTTCACTCTACAACATACAGCATCTGTTGAACATGGTACTAAGGACATCTATGCAGTTCGAAACGGTTTAACCATCAATTCACTCATGATTGGAGAACTTTCAAACAGAAAACACAGAATAGGTCCAGATACACAAACCATAATAATAGATACGTCATCATACACCTTGCCACTACAAAATCAGGTATTTTCTAGACATTCACATTAAACTTATGATTTAGTAAACGCATAGCTCCCCCCAAGTTCTGGCACAAAGCTATCACAGACAATGCCTGAACCTTGATGAGTTACGTCGACACATCCGCGTCAGTTCGCAACTCACATTATATACAATTAGTGATCGCCTATCAATGAGGACCAAGATACATTTTGGTTGTATCATAATGTCAAAATGGTGTAATGCTGTACGCCATGAATAGCAGAAATCTTGAGACAACGAGCTACATGGTATATTGTAAACTCCATACTGCCCCCTGCTATTGATCGTGTTCTCTAACCGACAACCAACAAGGTATTGTTCCCAGCTATCTAATAGTAGCCGCCTTGCCCGTAGGAATTGCCATATCCACCATATCCACCATATCCATGGGGCGCCCAAAAGTCAGCGTTGTCTTTGCTCGCTGTCTCGTCCTCTGATCTCTCCGTTTTGCCATCTTTCTTCCAGCCGCGGGGAGGGGAAATCCCCTCATCGTCACCAGCATATCCACCATGTGGCCCCCAAAGGTCAGCGTTATCTTTGCCCGCTGTCTCCTCCTCTGATCTCTGTACAAGGTGGCTGCCGTCTTGGGATTGGTCTACGGCCACAGTGCCGGCGGCTAGGTCATTGTTATCTAATCCAGTTAGTCATCGCGTATTTGTGAAAAGGTAGGATATATTATTACAGGTTAACATACTCGGTGGGACCGTGCGGGGCAGCGCTGAAGCTGTGGCAGCTAGGAGGGCCGTGGCCAAGAGTCCGAGGTTTTTGGGATACATCTTTCTGGTTAGATTGACACAATAGAGGTCAAAGTAGTAAGATGAATGGATTTAATTGGAAGACCAAAGGAGTCTGGGTAAGATATGATAGATCTGAGCTCGGAGAGACAAGAGCGAGAGAAGAAAATGACTTCTTGAAGCTGTAGAGAAGTCTGCTCTTTTGGAAGACAGTACTGCCTCTTTATACTTTTTTGCAGCAATGTTGACTGGCCTATGTGCCCAACATGGAAGGGCTTCTCTTGGACGCACAGTTCTAATGCGGAGGGAGTATCTTACGCCGCCATGCATAAATAGTTACATTGGGCTATTGAGAGACCGAAAATTTCCGTAGATCTCCAATCAAGGAGACTTGACGTGTCAATCATCCTTTGAAAATCCGCGATACTATCGAAGTGAGGGTGTAAGGATGACTCCCGAGTCCAGTGGCAATGCTTGCTTAGCATCGAGATGTGGATCAACGGAATATGTACCTACCTTACTATCGATTCCAGATCTCAGCGGAGAAGGTCTCCGAGACATCACACTACGTAGCAATTTGTCGGATAAACTGCAAGAGAAACGGGTAAAGTTTATGATGATCTAAAGTTAAAAAATAGACTAACCGAGCATTTTGCCGATTTTAGTGACAATATCGACCCACTCTGGCTGATCATGTTCGAGATGCGGGAAGCCCCATGCATGGCCTGCCTATCATTGACAATAGTGGTTGATCTGGAGTATTTCTCGCCGAGCTGTCACTTGCCATACATAGGGATGGGAAAAAGCAACACACCAACCTTAAAGATGATTTCCTTCCTAGTGGGCCTCGGAGATCTGTGAAATGGTTGGACAGGCGGAGTACGGAGTCACGCCGATCTTCAATCTCTCCCCGTCCGCTTCAAATCCCTTTCTCAGTTGCCTTTTTTTCGTTTCTTTTTCTTGCTCTTGTAATATTACCTCCCGATTTGATGGCGTAATGCAATTGATTTTCTCTTTGACGCGGAAAAGTGGCAAATTAGATATATATTCTTGTCGATCCCAAATGAATAGAAAAGAGAGAAATCATTGCCTTTACCCCTTCAGTCGCACCTTGCCTGATCCGTGAAACGGGAGCAAACATCATATTCCTTAGCAGCAAATGGTCATTTACGGAAAGAAGAAGGTCGCATTCTACACACGGACATTCTTATTTCTGATCCCAAGATGTCTTACACTTTACTAAAAGAAGAGGAGGCGGGCATCACCGCCTCGTAAGATATCCCTGCCTACGTACACAAGGGAAACCAGCAGAACTAGAGCACTCTCAAAAATTGTCGCTCTCACACTCTTAGTCGTGGCAGCCTCCTTTCTCGGTAGTCGTTTTGCCCTGCTGGGATACCGCATGCCCACATTTGCCATTCCTTCATTATCATCATCATCCTCTTCTTCTTCTTCTCCTTCTCCGACTCACCCCTTCTTTCCAAAATCAACACCACACAAAATCACCGAACTACAATGCGGCACCTCCCCGGCTGAGGACCGGTCTCTCGGCTGCGTACTAGACCTCCTAGCCATGAGCTGGATACGTCCCGCCTACTACGACAAGGAGTTGACTGAGGAGTTCCTCGCCGTGAGGAACTGGACCTGGACCACAGACCCATGGGGCAAGCACCATCTCCATAAGTCCGAGGTGCTTGACGGTGATTGGGAGTACGTCTACGTCGACCATTGGTGCCATGTGACACATTGTGCCTTCTTGTGGCGGCGTATGGCGCGGGCAGTTCACGCCGGAAACCTGGGTATGTTGCATAATTATACGGCGGCCTATGACCACATCGAACATTGTGGTGATCGGCTGGTGGCTAATACGGGCGAGGAGGTGGTTGGTGTACCGGCCATCCTCATGTATCCATCTTGTGGACCGGGGAGTCTGGGTCAGGAGCCCCCGGCGTATTGGATCTATGAGGGAGAGGTGCAGTATGATACAAAGAAGCAGGAAGGGCTTTTTGCGGATCAGATGAAAATGGAGGAGTAGGAGAATATTCTATGACCCTGGTTGATGAAAGCAAATATAGACATCGTGTACGAAATAATTGCCGCTTAGATTCGGAATGATGGACATTATATATATTACCCATCTCGCCCGTGAGCCCCAAAGTAACAAGAGAATTGTACCATAATAAGAACCTTTCGCTTGATTACAGTACAATTTTTCAGTATTCCGTTACATCGGTGTTTCGCAACACAGTCAATTCTGAAAAAACTGGAAAGATTGAATGGACCTGCTATGCAAGCATCAGAATGCTTTAGCTTGACCAAATACAGCAGTTACCATGTATTAAGGTCGTCATGTCGTGGCTATATATATACCCTACCTGACAATTAAAGAAAAGGACGGCTACCCTCTATGTCTATTCCCCTTGCTTTGGTGGATGGTGAGGGATGCTGCTATCTGTAATCACATAGACATCGCTCTTGATCTGCTCCCTTAAATTTCATGGGCCTAAGGAGAAACCCATGACCTACTGCTATAACGGAGCTTATGCCCCTAAAACCCATATTAACGCTGACTGCGTTCATCCCCTCAAGGCGAAGAGGCGACCCCGCACTAAACCTGTTTGGTCCTTGAGCTCTTACTGGGAAGGATGATTGGTTATAGACGATTGACCGCCGACAGGTGGGGCGGCGGATGAATTTCGAACTGAACTCAGCGTCGATTCCTGCCGCAGTTGCACCGTGACTTTCTTCTCCAAACAACGTGTCAACCCGCGCATGGCAGGTTCTCCTTACTTCCAACGAGACATTCGTTCCTACTTGCCTCACTGATTTCAAGAATGAAAAATGCCGCCTCGGGCAAGTTTAGGCATGGTGAGATGGACGGTCGGACGCAGCCCAATCTTGTTGGAGCTTCTCGTCAACGCTATCTACCTTTTCGGGTCTCCTTGAAGAATAGTAGTCTCTTTACAGGGCACAAGGCATGCCCGCTCTGCTACGTAGATGCAGCCTTTTGGGTACCCGATATGGTGATGATCGCAGCCAAATATCCGATAGGGTGAACGTATTCTCTGGGCCCACCTCCAATGTCCGTGCTTGCACAGTAAGGACTCCGAAACTTAGCCTTGAGTAGAACAGGTAAGTATTTTCATTCGACAGACCAAGAGACCTTAACGTTCGGAGTAATGCATACCATTTGGCAACTGCCAGAGGAAGGTCTGAGCGCAGTACGTGACTGGCCTACATGAAGGTCTCGACACGGTCACATGACCGAATTTGTATGCATGTCCCTCGGGGAGCAGTCACTGAAATCAAAACAGCGTGGGTGCACCCACCGGCCGCATGGATTGTCGCCCACAAATAGCCTCAAAGCCATCTCACTCATGTAGTGGTATAAATCTTACCCTTCATCACGAATTGCATCCCAATGTGTTCTTTCTCTCACCCCCCAGCGTGAGACATGTCCATTGGAATTCTGGGACGTCTCTCAATATTTCTCTCTGGAAGCTTTCATATCTTTCACGATGTCAACCAACGCAAGCACTTCTCATACTATGTCTCGACATACGGCAGGATTAACGAACGATCATGAAAAGCGCAACCCGCAGGGTGGTATCTACACCCCAGAGTTCGCCTCCTTCAACCCCAGTCAACCATGTGACTCGTTTATTTCCGCCGCTGTTCTCCCGCATCATCAGGTTCAAACACACATCAGCCCCACCTATCCAGTCATCCCCCGCATTCCTGAACTCCCTGCTCAATATCCATGGTATGGTGGAAGCGGGTACAATGCGCCTACCGATTTGGAGCATTGGGACTTTGTTACCAGGCTTCAGCCAGGTATCGTACCTCAGAACGATTGTCACCAACCTGGCACACTACAAGAGAATGTTCCTTGGAATAGCTTCGTCATCCCAACAGCAATGTCTTCATCAACCGGGAAAGCGGACGGCCAAGTTGAAGGGTATGCCGACCCTCCTGTCATCCAAAGCAACCCCTGTGGACCTTTCGGCCGACAATCAAGCAGGGATACCTATCTCCGGTGCGGCTGGACGGATTGCACAGCCAGGTCAACCTTCAATAGATGGGAGGACTTGAGCAGGCATATCAAGACAATTCATGTATTTCCTGCTTCTTATGTTTGTCGATTCTGTGATCGAACCTTCAATCGCAAGGACAACTTGGTAGAACATCAGTTACGCACTCATCGATCCCAATAACACCTGCCCTGCATACTTTCCTTTTCCCGGCATTTCTTTCTTTTCTCCCCTTTCTTTCCTTCCTTTTCCCTTACTTCTTGCCGTGTCTCTGTCTTTCATGCCCATTGTCTTTCACTTCGTTGATTCTCACCCTGCTTTTGCCCTGAAGCTTTGCTGTTATTCTAGTTTCTAGCGTCATATATTTTGGGCTACTTATTCTTCAGACCTGTTGATGCCGTCTGTAAAGCGAGATGGGCCTTGTGCATGGCGTAGCTTTCATATAATAACCGGTGTTTCAAAGTCACTTGCAACTATGTTACTCAGGCTAAGTTATCTCCTGGTTAATGCAATGATTCCAAGCCCGCTTTCACAGTTGATTTGGAAAATGCAAGTTCCGGCATCGTACCCACGTCGTATCAGCATGCCGCCGACCGATGGGTATATGAGGGACACAGAGTGCCCTGCACACTCCCAAGCGGTCAAGTGTACACACAATGAGCCACAGCTGAGGCATGCACTCTACAAAGCGTTGGACTTCCCCAGTAAGACATAAGACCTGCTCGAACCCACCCGGGGCCGGCTAAAATCGTTCCGAGAAAGACAGATCGAAACGCATGCGTAGCGGTGCAGGCCAGGTAGCCTTGCGTTAGTCCCTGGCTATTGCCCTGTGCCATAGACGCGTACTACTGCGATAGGCCGTTATAGCCGTAATGGGTTGTTTTGCTTCTTCTGCTTTCTTTCCGTGTCAGAATGTCATTGGTTTAGACGCGCTCACATAACTGTCTGACCAACAATGTTCCTTGACCCGCCTGGTACTTGGACCTTCTCCCATCGCAAGGGAAATAGCAAGCCGTTCGTCCCTCATGAAGAACGTCCTGAAGGACCGTCTAGGCTATCGGAGATATCGTGAATTCGAAAGAGTCTATCATGCACTACGTTCGTGGGTCTGTCTGTTCATGGAACCAAAACCCCCGGACCCACCTGCACAGAAACTCAACCGGTCCGAGCTCGGACCGGCCCACTTAGCCGAGATCGGTTCGAAGCTTATCTTCCGAGGTATGATAAATCTCCGGTAGGGATGGGAATGTGTTCGTTCTATGTCACCTAATATTACTTTAATACGCTATATATGTTTAGATCTATCCGATCATTAGAGTACTATCGATAGTAGGTATCTTAATGGTGTACAGCGTATCTAAGCCGTTCTGTATTCTGATTAGATCTGTTGATCTACCTCGGTTATTCATATAAACTCAAAAGATGAGGAGGGGGAAGCGAAGACATGTTGACAAAATATGAGTCTAGCGGTACGGCGGAAATGGGAAAATGTGGGGGAAAGCGAAAAGACGCTACGATATAGACAAACTTACAACTTGCATAGCAATTGTAATTTTGAATTTGGCTTCATTTATTCACCGTTCATGAACATATTGCCTCTGCTTACAAATCATTTCCCTAAGCTCGAATGTGCCTAGAGTAATCATGGCGTTGATCTCTATAACCTTCGTCATCGTCCGACCCCATGTATGGTCCCAGATATCATCAATCCATAAGGTGTTGAAATGAATTTCCCGAGTCGAGCATCACTGACAAAGTAAATCATGACTGTGTTGTTGCTCATGTAGAAAGATGGAGGGATCGCTTCATGGAACCTTCCATCGACATGACAAGAGCCAATCGGTTGGTCTAGCGAACCACCCCCAGGTGTGTTTTGTGTTCACAAAGCCCTTTCATCTGGATAGGGATTATGACCATCCTCCATTACAGCACTGGGCAGTCCTTGAAAATGGTTGCTTCATGGCTACTGCATAACAATGCTGTGATTGTTTCCCATCAAAGGACTTCTACAGACATCCTGCCACTAGTATAAGAAAAGCGCAATATACCTCTCAGGCGGTGGTTGCAAGAGACCTCCGAGCATTAAATTAGTCATTCCAATTATCACTGAATTGGTAATATTTTCAGAGGGTAATCATTCGAACCCACATGTGTCTCCCTCAGACCTCTCAGAAAGTCACAATCCGACCTCTTCCTCTTCCCGTATTCTAGCCGTGGCGGGCTTTTCGAAACTTTGTAACGTCAAGAAAAAGTTCGCTTTATCCGTGCCCTATATAAAGCGACTTGGACAGTTCGACCTCATAAGGCGAAGCAAGACATCCAAGGAATAGAATAGGCTAACGGTAACACCGATTATATATATAGTACACCCCCGACCCCACTTGGGCTGTGCAATGTTGGATCAGGTCAGCTGCGTCTTTGTCCGAGTCGCTTTCTGCTTAGATGTTGGCAGTGATTGTTACATCATCACGCCTTCATTCCCCAAGACTTGCGTTCTCTCCTTCTATCACAACATGATTTGGCTCTCTTTGGTTCTTAGGTCGCTCCACAGCGCCAACAGTATGTCGTCTTTGCTCTTCTATTTAGAGCTCATGTCTACCTATGGGCATTGGTTGATGTGCGAAGGGGTATTTGCGATATTGTAAACATGATACGCCTCTGTGTTCAAGCAACCAGTAGCCTTGGTAGTAAGCTTCTATCGGGACTCCAAGAGAAAGACCTGTTGGCAGAATGAGATATTGTGCCAGGACCAGAAAATATAGGATAAGTATATATGAAAGACATAATGTATGTTGAACTGCCGTTAGGCCGCGTAGGAGGATGATGAAAGGCTATGAAGTGGAAAATTGGAACATGAAAGATGCTAGCTATGCCGCCACATCAATGGTGATGATTAGAATTGGGATTTCCAAGCCAACGTAGTGGAAATATGGCGTCTGGCAAGTAGCTGAGTAATTAACAGGAGATGGGCTGATCATAAGTATCATGCTAGTATCGATGAGTCGGTCGAACCAGCTTCAGCCAGAGCACTGACGCAGTCGTTGAAAGAGGTTATACATTAACTGAGAAGGCTTCGCTAACCTGAGCAGGAAAGAAGCTATCTCAGGTAGAAAGGCCAGCCGTCCCCTTGGTGTCTCTTCGTGGAGGCTATTCCCATGGGGCAGATCGGAGGCGCCAATGTCCTCAGTGGATTCCTCGACGACAACGGTAACTGCTTCCATTCTCTTGCCTGTGTATATGAGAATGCTGACTCAGTGCTTTGTTCATTGAGGCACCGGTGGAAGAGGGTTTCCCCATCCTTGTCAGAAAACCGGCTACACTTTCAGGTCGAACGAAGATCAAGACCTCAGCCCTCATCCCTTGTCTGTGGGGATAGAGAAAATCAATCGCGAAGAAGCTCTCTAAAACATCAGCTGAAGGCCGTTGATTCTTTTGAGTAGGTCATTTGCCACACTGGATATATTGGAGGTCTTTCGCAAAGGCATAGTCCAGTTATACTTGATGCAGTCATGATTCCGGCCCTTTTCGTAAACCCTTATCATTGATCCCCGTTATGGGAAATGCTAAAGTCAATTTGACCTTGAAATTCATGCCCAAATCTCCATGTACTGCTATTTATGGTAGAATGATAGCGTGCATGGGTGATATGGTGCATTATGAGGCATGGAATACGCCAGTGCCGGGATCTGTGGCTCCATGGATGATTATGAGGATAGCAAAGAGCACGGTAAAGGGCCGGGGGGTTTATATAACGGTTGATGGGGCTTGGTATATCGGGAACTTCCTTGCTTCTCCAGTATGAATCCTCGTGGTCTCTGCGGTGAGAAGGGTTAGTGCATTGGATTTTACCACTTACGAAGATTTTGCTTATATTGTACGGAGACTGCCGTTCGTCCAGATCATCTCTTCTGGCTTGCAAGAATAAAAGCCAGGCCCTTTTAAGGTTTCCATTCCGCGTAGCTTGAACTGACCCTGAGCGGCAACGCCATGGATATGGAGTCAGCAGATCAATTCCACGCCCTATTACCACGTCAAAACCAAGGCATATATGGGAGAATGAATATAAGGTGTCTAGGCCAATGCATGCGGCACAGTACTCACTCAGCTCGGATACCTGGTTGTTCCTACTTGCGTCTCTGCTCACCGCCCCCCTTGCCTAACCTTCTCTCTTTGAATTGTATGCATCTCACAGATTCAACGAGCCACAGGTAGTCTCCAGCTCGTTTGAATAGACTAAAATTCTACGTACTCACATAAAGCCTAAGTCCAGACACTTGTTCAAGCAGATTTAGATTTACCTGAATGATCTTCCTTGTAAATTTACGTGCGATTGCAATAAGTTGGCAACTTGAGATCACTCAGCGCAGCCTTTCTACAAGACTACTACCACAGCTACTACTACGGTCTAGCTAGGTACAGAGTCCAAATAGCAATCGTCTACGGATATTCTGCCGGAAAGACAAAGGTGGGGCGGCATCAAGTACAAAATAATGTCAGTTTCTGTGCCACAGTCTTGAGTCATTCGGACTCCGAATCAATATTGTTAAAATAATCTTGAGCACCGATTCCTGTGCATCAGTTTTGGGAAGTGGCATGTCATTAATAAGACATTGCCAGTGATCTCTGATACTGATTCAGGATAGATTTGTCGGGGATGGCAAATCTCTGCAACTGAAGTAGGAAGAAAGGCTTACACGAACTGTGTCCTGCCTCCATACACGGGCCTGAACACGGCGGAATCGCCTGTGTAACTCGCAGACAGCATCTGCTGGGGCTTACCTAATGACTGTAGGCTAGTATGTGGCTGGTGTCTGTTTTGGACAGGGGCAAATAGCTCGGATTGGATGAGTCCATGCCCAAGATTCTGGAAGGAACTACTAATAGTACAGTACGATACCGCCTTCAGGTGTAAGACCGAATTAGGTAGGTGGGGTAGGAAAGTGCACGAGCGACGCATTCCCAAATAGGTAAGTGGGGCAGACAAAGCAACTCGGGTAATCGACATTTTAGATAAGTGTCTTCTCTCATCTACTATGAGGCTCTGTTGAACCACGTGGGGGATATAGCCCGATGGTTAAGTAGGCTGGAGGTGTATACATGGATTGACTCAACCCTACGGAGTGTCGCTGGCACTGATGTCTCCTCTGACTAGTAGATGATTTACTCTACCTGTTGGTGTTCTTTGAGAGGCACTGGAGAGCACGGATTGTTTGGTAATGAAAGCTGAAGCTGTTGCTGGCCGTATGAAGTCCTGTAATCTGACAGGGACCGGAATCTATTCCCATCGTGTCAGCGAGTCCACCCCCATCGGGTGGAACCACCCACCAGAGGATGGGGATCGATCGTCACAGCTAATGATCCGGGCATATCCGTGCTGAACTATGGAACGGGAGAGGTTGTGGTTCAGGTTTATAAGGTTAATCCTGTAAATAGATGAACGAAGTTAGAAATGAAGCCAGGAAGGGCATAGTAATAGTGATGGAAAAAGGAAAAAAAGCACAATGCGATACAATGATCCAGCGGAGGGGCTGCTACCACTATTGGTTTCAGCCTACCACACTCTTCTGCGAAAGAGAGCCGAGCGCCTAAAGTAGAAAAGGTTGATTCTAGGTTTCGATATCTCAGTAACCCCACCTCTGAAGCCCTGGTCCTGGGCTTGAGAGATCTGATCCGTCCGTCCAACCGGGTGCACACCAGGGTAGTGGTGTCACGTGTTTGATCGGAGCCAGGAATTGAAACCTTCGTGGCTGTGGGAACAGGAGTCCCTAACCGGCCCTTCTGATGATGTTAGTATGTTGACTGCCCGTATTTGAATTGTTTGTACGTCTGGGATGCTCTGATTTGCTCGGCCTTAAGTAGCAGGGCCCCGCACCAGCGCGTGCTTGGGGATGCAGGGCCGGTGCAGGTAGGCGGGACACACTCCATACACCAACGTGCAGTTTAAAGAACGTAGCGCGGACATCAAACAATGAAATCCATCACGATAAAGGTCTCTTATCTGATATCCGGCGACCGTTGCCATTTGATGTGCTGCCTTGGAATCAGAATCCCGTCGTTCCATGGTTCCGTGTCCAAATGTCTGCCCTTCGCAAGATCGATCGATATGACGTGTACTAAACAAGGATTGAAGACTGTAATCGATGGAGGGGCCCTCGGAGGGTGTTCACTGCGCCTTGCGCCTGGAACAGGAATGACTAGCCAGCTAGAGCTACCAAGGACATTGATGAAGTATTTCAACGTCCTAGGCCACAATGCGTGTAGATTCTCTTTGGTGATGGTGTGCTGTTTGACAACGGAAGTGAGAGGAGGGTTCAGTTGGGGTATGACGAAGGTCACGCGTATTAGCAGAAGATCTAATGAAGGGATAAGATCTCGGATCATCACGCCCCCGTCTCGGTAGGCCTGTTGGATAGAACAACTCTTGACAGCCCTGGCACGTATCAAAACATACAATCTTGGTTCAACGTCTGAAAGTCGGACTGCGCCAGGAAAGACAGGCGGCCCGGGAAGAAATCTACAGAGAGTCCAAGTTCAGGTGGAACGGACTTCCGCGCCTTCGAGGGTGTCGAGCGGGACATCATGATTGGCCGATGACGGAGAAGGTACCGGTCAAGGCACGAACAAGGCGTAGTATTCTCAATAAAAATATACAGCCTACGAGCCGCTTCTACTGGCCGTACCTCTTAAGTATTTTGAAGGCTTCTAGATATTCCTTCCCCACCCCAAGCACCGCCAAACATCCGGCTACAGGACGCCTTGCCTCAATACTCCTCATTCTTGCTCAATATCACTCAATATTCCTGGCAGCGGATCTAGTCGTTGGTCGTCAAGCTCTACTTGCCCTACTTTCAGATCAGGCGATCAGATGCCACCCGCTATGCCTCATTCGGACGGGGACACCTCTCCTCGTCAAGACTACTTAAACCGGGTCGGAGCACCTAAATTTGATCCTTTTGCAACCATCGCTAGTGGTGCCGACGATCAGGAGTTCGATCACAGCGGCACAACCAATATTGACCACAGCAGTGCCCACACTACGACTTCTTGGTCCCTCCCTGGGATTAGCCCGGACAGGACCTTCACCGGTCCCGACACTTCGAATCCCCTTGTGCTACCCTTCGGCACTATTCACGATTATGATGAGTGTACCCTCTCATGTACCCCTGACTGGGCCGCGAGTGTCTGTATTGATCCGAGTGCCCTTGCTGAAACAAAGGACGATTATCCTATGGACGAGGTCGCCCATAAGGATTCCACCCCTGCCTCCCAATCTGTATCTCCCTCGCCGGGGAATATCGACGATCATGAGGAGGGCACCGTCTCATGTACCCCTGACTGGGCCGCGAGTGCCTGCATTGGACAGAGCTCCTCTCCCGAAACAACCGACAACCGTCCTATGGACGATGTCGCCCATGAGAATCCCACCAATGGCTTGCAATCCGTGTCTCCCTCGCAGGGGGGGCACCATGAAACAAGCCGTAAATCAGCGTATAAACCACGTCTTCCTGTCTGATATAAATACTGACTTTTCCTAGGAGGCACTGGTGCTCGGAGGCAAATTATTCACTAAACATTCTGACCTGAAACGACACGTGTCTACCATTCATAACATGACAACTGGCTCGCGCGTCCCGTGCACAGATTGCCATAAAACGTACACTCGCAAGGACAACATGATGAAGCATTGCAGGAAGGAACACGGGGATCCGAATGATGCGAATGCGTCAGAATAGGGATCTTGATTGCTTTCAGGTTCCTGCTATTAGTGGTTGTTGATCACTGAGGTGAGAAAGGCCACACAACGTGTTCGTTTCACACTGACAAAGGGTTTTATAGTCCATTGCTATTGTGGCCTGAGTACCACTCCGTTCTAACGCCTCTTCGCCGCTAAAATTCGCTTGTCAATGCGTCCTTTCACTTTGCCCGAATGCGGAACCACCGACTGTGATGAAGTTTTGAGGGTATCACTGACAACAAGAAGGGAAATGAGCAGAATGACGGCCATAAGAATACTTGGTGTCACGATCTAGCGGGGTAGGATGAGAGAGAGAAACCAGCATTGTTACACATGGACACATGACCATCCCCAAACCTCTGATGGCGGTTTAGATGTTTCTCCTTTTCTATTTCTTGTCTATAAAGACAGACCCCATTGATTGCATGGAAGATCTTTGGATTCGACTGCGTGAAGACTGCGGGTTTATGTCATGTGGGGACTTATCTCTCTCTGTCACCTCGCTAGCTATGCCACTTGAACTAAGGTACAGTGAACGCTTGCCGGAGGCGTATCCTTCCACCGACAGGCAAAACATTGATGAGGGGCCAACCTCCTCCAGTGACAGATATAATGGCAAATCCATAAACCAATCGGACGACCGATTACAACTGAGCTCGATATTTCCTAGCCTTCTAGCCACCAGGGCATCCATAACAGTGAATCCCTACGCTACGATGCGGTATTCGGCTACGGCGTTCCCGGTGGGTTTTGAAGCCCAAATCGATGAGATTCACATAACATGTCATTTGCTACACGGCTAGAATGACTCAAACACCCGGTGTTCTGGGGTGTAGGGCGGCATAATCTGGGGTCAAGCCGACTATTACAATATAGAAGACAGTCTGATCTGCCTTGTACGTTAACTGGCTAGGAGAACTTGCTACAGATTTACACGAATTTATATGACCCTTTGGCAACATGTTTAGTCACATTCAGATGGAATTTTTATGGCTACCAGAAAGTTCACTACATCCAATAGCTAATCTCTTTGCAAATTATGGGGCAAACTGGGAGTAGGAAAGCATTGTAAAAAGAACGTACGCCTGAGCAATGTTACTCTAGGCAGTCAACAGTATCCAATGATACGCGATGAGGAAAACCATCAAATAAACAAACATGGTCACGTACAGTGAAACCTTCCGGACTGCGGCTCTGTGGGACTGACAAAGTTGTTCATGATGTTGAAGACGCTCGACATGATCCATCAGATCACGAGGGTGGCAGAACATCCCGTCCTCGCCCTCGTCTACGGACCAGTCATCGGACTCGGCTCTAGTATCGAGTCAATCGCTCCTACTCTGGAGGCTCTCGGATATGACACTAGGAGAATCGTCTTCCACGTACACTTGGTTTGTGAGGGTTATCTCGTCGCGGGGACACTCAATTCGATTGCTCTCATCAATATTCAGCCCGTCGTCGTTCCGAGTAGGTGCCGAGCTCTTTCCTCTGTCCAGCTCGCTGGACTGATTTTCAGAGGCACCTTCGGCCGTCTCCTGACTCTCGGCGCTCTCTTTGCTTGAAGGGCTTGTCTGACTAAGGGCTGCAGTACCCAGCAGAGGTGCATACGGTTCGGGTTCGCTTTGTGGCAAGGATCGAGCAAGGGTACTGTGAGCATCGAAATACTGACTTCTGGACTCGAACTCGGATTCTGGAGCGTACCATGTTACTGTGAAGCTATATGGATTAGAGCCCTCTTCAGTCGTGCTATACCAGGCATTCGGAGAAGGGTCCGAAGGTTTGCTGGTGTCCTGGATATGAGAAGGTGTCGACGAAGAGGCATTCAAATCCCCATGTTTAGCTGTGCTCTCCGGGCCCTTGGTGGCGGGCTCATTCCCAGTAGAGCCAAGCTCCTCATCAGAATTTGGGCTATCAGTGGACGGATACGCCCCCGGCAAGCGTTCACTGTGGCTTCGTTCGAACGGCATGGAAAGACTGCTCAAGTCATTAGAATAAGCCGGAGTTGATTCAAATGCTGGCCAGGTAGATTTGGCTTTGAACAAAGGTTGAAGCAAAGATGATCCGTCTTGAGCAATCGATGCACCAGTAGTCTGGGACTCGGGTGAGTTCAGCTGTTCCGCCTGAGGGGCGGATGTATTACCAGCTGCATTTTCACAGACATAGGTGTCATCGAGCTGTAGTAGTGGTGTTGCAGAGTATACACTCGAAGCACCCGAATCCAGGGCCACAGTTGACTCGTCTTGCGGCCCTTGAAGGCTGGACACATCTTTACCCTCTGTATTACGGGCTTGAGTTGTTGGATGGTCCTCGCTTGGAGATTCGGAGGCGGTAGATGACTCGGAAGTGAGAAGCGCGCTGGAATCAGTCCGTTCCACCTGACGGCGTGGCACCCCAAATAAATTTCCAGCATCGACGTTGTGGACCGCTGCACCGCGGCGATGCCGGATTTGGGGGTGTTGCGCTGCCTGTACCTGGTTGATCAGAAACTGTTGAACATAGTCACTTTCTTCTCTCGTTGAGGATCTGAAGAGGCCAGGGCCCTCGGGCCGACCTGGTCCCGCATATGGTATGCGTGGAGGAGCAGCCTGGGTCAGAGAAGGGCGTGAGGGTTTAGAACTAACCGACAGAACAGATGTAGGTAGTTGGCTCCTTGTTCCTCCCATATCAGAGGTTTGCTCGTTTGCAGGAGAATTGGTCTCGACTTCCGGAAGTGCATCAATCAGTGATGCCGTCCTAGGCCATCCTCCCGCATCATCGTGCTGAGTTTGAGCAAGGTCAGCGGTGGTAGTGGGCGGTGGTGCTGAAGCATTGTCGGTAGCAGGGGCACCAGGGGGGGCTTCTTCGATTTGGATCAAAGGTTGGGACCCGTCACTTCCGAGATCATAACCAGGAGTTGGTCGGCTCGCGGGACTTCCGTTCTCATCGGTAGCGCATTGGCCTTCGGTTGGACAACTGGTAGTAGGTGTGTTGCTCTCAGGGTTATAGGGCGAGCCTTCAGACTTTTTGTCCCACAGTGGTAGAAACGAAGGCATTTTCGCTTGAATCAAAATGGATAGGTGAGGATATTCGTCAATGGGGTAGGGTTCTGCTCGCAGAGACTAGTAACTAGAAAGCGTATCGCCGGTTGTAGCACTAGAAGAGTTTATCTTGTCAATTCGAGCAGACACGTAGGGTCTTATATAACTGGTGGCCCATGTACAATAAAAGGGTCATCGTGGGGCTTCTAGGAATTTCCCTTAAAGAAATACTAGGTTGGGGATATTCCCAATGCCAGGTATACGTGAGATTGGTATGTTCCTTAAGGTAACGAGCAAACTGAGATTCGATGATTCTTACGTCTATTGAAGCTAGATTTACATTGGAAGGAAATGTAGTACGATTTTGCCACTTCACGAAAATCCCATCTCGCTGTTAATTACAATTCGGGAAGATACTGAAACTTAACATAGGTAATTACCAGCAAAGGCGCATGTGTAAGAAGTAGCCTTCCATTTTTTGGAGGATCTAGTCACTGTGCGCTATTACTGAGGAGAGCATACTATCACATCAGACGCCGGTATAATTACTCTCGCCCTTTTCAGACACCTCGAATAGTCAGAATCCGAGTGACATGTTTTTGAAGATACGTTGCAGACGAACCTGTTTAAAAGGTTGGTGAGATAGTCTATATTGACATTTATCGGGCGGGAAGTACCTCCTATCAGGGCCATCTGCTTAAGAGTCATCTGATGGATATGCCGGACATGGGAGACAACAATTTGTGTTGAGGCAATTGGCCAATGACCAACACACGATGTCTTTTACACTCAGAGTCCAAGTTCGACACTACTAACAATGGAGATCTGGGCGCGCGCTACACGAAACTATAGGGCTGATGCCATAAAAACATACATTTAATGAGAATTTGTGTTCATTTGATAGTCATTGCGGTTGTGACCGATTCTCTAGTCTTCTTCCATCAATTCTTCCTTTCTTCCGTTTCCCGAGTAGGTCTAGGTCCACTCCAACTAGCAAGGAATTTTGAGAGCCAGGAGAAGATAATGTTGGAAACCCGGAACAACCAACCAACAATCCAAGACTTATGACATCTACACAACCCGAGAATATAAAATGCCAAAAGATCAATCTTCAATTCTCTAGAGCCTTTCAAGGACTAAACATGCAAACATCACCCTTATGATGATGGTAATCATGCACACATTTTTCGAAACTGCTGCTAAAAGCATGGCGACAGATTCGACAAACACAATTGTCGGGATAGTTGTGATCGAGTTGAAAATGATCGTCCGCTTCATCTTCATCATCGAACACCCTGTCACAGATTCTAACTAAGCATCTGATTTTTTCAGGGCGAGTGGTCAACAGAAGATCATCAGGTCTTATGCCGCCGTATCTTTCTTCTATCTCCTCTCGGAAGGAATGACGTTCGTAAGCAGGTTCTGGGTCTCGCAGCATCTTAAGAAGCTTCGAATCTTTGCACTGACAAGCACCCCCATTCAGCATCCTTGCTTCTGGCAAAGCTTGCCTGTGTTGGGACGCAGGGTGACCTGAGTGTTGAGTAAGATGCTGATTTTGAAGCTGTGGTGTCACTCCAAAGTTGGTGTGACCCTGTTCAGCTGCCGGGACACTATTATTCCACTTTGCAGCAGGGATAGAAGTACCATAGACATTTGAGAGCACGGTGGTATCCATCAGCTCTGCTTCGTCAGGGTTTTGCTTAATAAGATCCAAACCAAGAAAGTTGGTCGAAGTAGGTACTCCTCCCGCTAGTGCCGCGGTGCATGTTCTGGTGCTGTCAGGAGACGCTATGGAGGAGCGACGCTCGACAGACTCGCCATGGTTCACATCAACGGTATGAGAAATTTCTCTCTCATCCATTTCGTTTGTAACAACTAGCAATGGCTCTGTTTTGGGATGCTGGTAGATGAGTAGGTATAGAGTAGACCAAGGCCAAGAGTCTGTGCCTATGTAGCATGCTTGCTTCTATATGTCTCACAATCTTCCTACGAAGCTACAGTGCTACCAAGGCTCATCAAGAGAGGCGCATTTGGACAGTACCTCATGTGAACAATGTTAGGTTTTCCTCGGTTTCACCCGAATTCTAGTATTACTTTCGAAGGCCTAGTCTAGCAGCATTGTTTCTGAGATCAGACATTAGCAGCAAGCCAGCCTTGGCTTCATCTTAGCGTTTCCCACCTATCTCCGTATTTGATCCCAGCATAATGGTGACATTTCCGGTGGCCGTATTCCCCAGTGCTAGGATGTGGGATATTCCTATGTCGTCTGCCACAACATTCCCGTCTGCGATTACCCAACAACGAGCCAAATACTCATTACTGGTATGTTCCAAAGTTCTGACCAGTGGGTGAATATGATCACACTTTCCGATGTTGTCCTTCGGGTTCCTTGTTGCCAAGCCGTCAGGCGTGTAGTGATTACGCCTGATCTTATGGCAGAACCCTGGTTATACTCCTTATCACATAGATTGTTGTGCGTGGTTAATAATGATTTCATTGCCTACAATGTGTAGTATCCTGGAGGTCCCAGCATCGCCACAGAAATTTACCGGAAGACACGACTACTTCTGGGGTCTTCTAAGATCACCAGATTCGGGAGGATTCGGCTGCGAATCTGACTCTCAGTGCGGAGACGTAATAAAAGCGCAGTAGGTGCAAAGACACTCAGATGGATAGTGCCGGGGGCTAAGGCATCCAGAAAACCTTTGCACGTATTCACGGGGCACTCGATGAACACAAAGCCCTGGCTTCGTTTACCTAAAACTGTCCTGGACATCCAACCTCCCGACTGCTCCTTACCTCTATGGTCGGGGAGGGAAGGATTTGGCGAGAGACAATTAAACCTCCAAATCCCCTGAGCGAATATTGACCACAGACACCCCATGCCCAGACTTCCACTTCTCGTTTAATCTCTTGGCATTGTTATCTGATCTGCAGTGCCATTTCCCCATGAGTGTGATGTGTCCGTGTCCCGATTCTCGGCATCGGCGGTCGGAGATTAGATTGTGAATCAGCACCGAGTCCCTGAAACACGTGCAGCCTCGTACCCAAGCGAACACGAAATATAGGGAATAGGCTATATGAAATTGCATTGCCGTGTGTCTGGCTAATTGGACCCTAAAAAAGATTAGATGAAAGCACCACGTGCTGTAGTATAAGCAGACATCAGTCGCTTTGACTGGCCGAGTCTGGCAAATTCTGTCATGTGACACCTTCTCTTCGTCTGTTTGACTGCCTGAGGCATACATAAAAATTTTTATCTTGCATGACATCACACTTTAACTGATGAGCCGATGCAGAATTGGACCAGCAGAAAGAGTGGAACTTTGAATCGCAAGGTAACCGTCCTTGATATTCCTCGAATGTCCGTTTGATTATAGTATATATCTACCAGGGTATTAGAAGAGCTACTTTTGGGCCAATGAGTGTTTACTGCTTACTCTCAGATCGCTTATTGGTGTATTACGATAAAGAGACACGCCTCCCTGATAGTTAAATGTGCATCTTAAATCTTTCCTCTATTTGTCGCAAAGCCATGGTTATGATGGTCTTCTTGCAACCGACTATTCCTTGAATTCATTTGATAGCCTTTATACCTGCGAGGATGAGTCACAGACGACGCGTCAGCTTTGGTCCACAAAACAACCCATCTTACTAGTCCAGTGTTGTGATAACAAACTGTTCTGAGGACGAAGGATTGTTAGCATATAAAGAGAGCTTCTTGGCCTGCTTGGTGTTAATTGGTAGTCGCAGGCTTTCGAGCTATTGTGTTTCATGTTACCTTGCATGACCTGGACTTGATTGGTGCGCAAAACAGTTAGACGTGGCCTTTCCACCCGTAGATAAGAAATCGTATGAACTAGCGTTGATTTATTAGGCTGCAGCAAAACTATCCCTGACTCATCACTGTGGAGTTATATTGAAACACATAAGAGCTCTTAACTTCGTTCTGTTCTATCCGTCTGTCGCATTTTCTTGAAATCGCAAATTCGTTACAAGATGGCTTCAGATGCACAGTCAATTAGCTCTCTAGAGCAGGAAGACGACATCATGTCCTGCGGTGAGAATGAGTATGAAATTGACCAGCACAAATTTCTCAGACATTGGAAATACTGCATCCGTTCGGATTTCGCTTCCCTGTCTGGTGTACCGGCGACTTGGGAGGATGGCCATCCAAAACACTGGGGACAAGAGGAAGCGAAAATCTTCCTGGATGGGGAGGCGACCACCCCTGCTATAAGTCCAGACAACCAGCTGGTCGCCGTTGGAATTGCAAATGACATTCATGTATTCCGTGTGGACACTAAGGAGCGGATCGATGTGTTGCGTGGACATCCTGGAGAGGTAATTACTCTCGCCTTTGCACCTTCCCTAGATGGAGGTTCTATCGACCAGCCAGATGCGCCACAGTATTTATTATCCTCACAGAGCGAAGATGAAGGTGGAGTTCATGGCTATGTCATAGTGTGGGAGCTTGCTCAGAACGGCAAGAAGATGTCTCCCCCGAAAAAGGAAGAGGAACAACCAAACTTCGCTGCATACCACGACGAAACCGGCTCCATGCATTGTTTTCCAGGCGATTTGGGTTCATTTGGAAGCCAAGCTTTCAGCCCCGACGGTAAAACCATGGTTTATGTTGTCCAAAATATGACAAGCGACTATTACACTGGCCAATGCCGATATTCCCCCTGTGTCACCCTCTGGGATGTGAATACCAGGTCAATTCGACATCAGCTATATGGTCACACGGACTGTGTCCTGTGGATCGGTATTAGCCCAGATAGCACCCTTGCTGCTTCTATATCATGGGACGGCACAGCACGGATTTGGGATGTTCTATCCGGCAGATCAATTCATATTATCGGACCCTTGGGCGGCCAGCTTTGGTGTGGTGCCTTCTCGCCAGACTCTAAATTTTTGGCTGTCAGCCGAGGCGGCGAAAACCTCATTCACATTTACAATATCACCACGGCGCAGCAGGTCTCACTTATCGAGTTACCTACATGGTGTCGCTCCATGTCCTGGAGTCCGGATGGCAGCTTTTTAGCCGGCGGGCTTGAGATCGGTGCACTCTGCCTGTGGGACCCGTACACGGGGATAGAAAAACAGCGGTGGTCTCTGAAATTCGATGATTTCATGATGCAAGAATTTGCGACGATTGCGGGTGCGCAATTTGTCGGTGACAGATTGATTTTTCGGATACTTGAGGGAACGGTTGAGGTATATGATTTAGATACGAACCTCAAAAAGCAATTTACTCGGGGACCGGATGATAAGATTAGCAGATGTCCTCGCGGAGAAATGGCTTGCTCGAGCGATTTCAAGATTCTCATCGTTCCCGATGTTCACCGAACCTTACGTTTCTGGACGCTGTAGGCAGTATCGAAGTATACAAGTCAGATGTTGTTACATTCTTGCTGTTTTGAAGGCGGACACCGTCATCCCGATAGATATGTCTCCGCAGCAGCGTAATACGTCATCTGGTGTATCAGAAATATGAATGCGAAAAATGGAAGTACTATGCTGATAGAAATGCACGAGCACATGTATCTTTTGAGGTGGATTTCTCATCCGGCTGTTTGTTGTCTAAACGATAAAAGTCATTCCCATTATATCCCTGAACTAGATAACCGAGATTAATTGTGTCTCAAGTACCGTTTTGCACAGGGACGTACTGATTGAGGGTTAACAGTGTGGCAGAAAGTTTTGTCGCACAATTTCCTTCGTGTTGATTTGCAATTACGACTTGTCGGGCATCATCACGCTGAATCGCCATAGAGAAATATGAAAGATATCACGCAACTGTAGGAAAAGCTCACCTGCACATTTAGCAGAGCCCTGTGAGCAGACAGATATGGTTACTTTCGAACACAGGTGCATGTTGCTCTGTTCTGACTGACACCAATATGATCTTGGGTGGATACGACAGTTATTTATAGTAATCAGACATATCATGAGACCTTTGCAAAGCGAATTGAAGGCTCTCCAGTGACGTTCGGTGCCAGGAATTGCATGAGGCATGAGGCGAAACAGTCGCGGGTGGCTGCAAATGCATGTTGGTTGTTGCCTGTGGGGAAGACGCGGGTGGAAGAAGGTTATTCACCCGCACCCGCACTGATCCCTCGGCGAAGCAGCTAGAAAACTAGTCCCCCCGGCGTGCACGCAACTGTTGCCTGACTCCGACGATCAATTGCCAGAAGCCATCCACAACCAGAACAGTCTGTTGGCATAGAACGCGTCAGAAACATCAGTTGTGAGAAGTTTCGAGGGCAAAATCTGTTGAAACAAAGCATCGAGTGGATCCACGAGAGCGCAGATCATTGCGTCATCAGCGCACACTTGACTTTGAGCCGTCCTTTCAAGGGCCGAGGAATTCAAAGCAGGACCACTTTTATCCCCGAAGTGTGAGGACCGAAAAGGTCTGATTACACTCGTAGTTTCATGAGTTGCTAACTATGTGATAGTAGCCTTATTCAGCAGGTATCGTCGACTCAATCCCGGGTGCCTGACTATCATCGTTTCCGCTGTTTCGCGTTTCTTGACTCCTGTTTTGCTGCTCATGACTGAGCCAGACACAATAATCTAGAATAGTTCGGTGGAAGTTGATCGCGAGAGATAGATAGCAGTAAAGTTTGGAAAAAGTATCATGATGTTCGCTGTCAGAATGTTATGATTTGTAGCCCTTCTTTACTTGCAGGTAGCGATCACGCTGTGTACCGAAAATTGACCAGTGACGGAGGTTAAACCTATTTTGTCTCACACCACGGCTGCCAAATAGTGACGTTAGTCACAATTGACCCCGTGCTTATCTCAAGGACAATCTCGATCACTTCAATATGGCACACAAGATGTCTGCTGCAATTCTAGGCAGCGCAATTAAACCTTGATAATGTCCCTGCAAGTGGCCCTGGATCCTCGACTGCGCCACGGAAGCGGCCTGTATTCTAAATTTGTCCGCCACTAGGAGCTTTTCTAATCTCAATGTCGACTGCTATTGTTCCCAGCTTTACATAATTGAGATAACCGTGTCGACAGCGAATTGGATAAACATCACTATGTGTCGTGGCCACGTTCTTTGAGCTTCCAACCTTCTGCTTTGGTTAGTTCCGACCGAGAGCCGTATACCTTGTGGATATCGTATCCGGTTGGTAGCTATGAATTCGGAATAACGCGACTGCGTGGCGCAGGTAAGTTGAATCCTTTCACAAAATCAACACGGGGATTGGATCTAGGGTCCGGATGGTATCTTCGCTAGAGCAACAACCCGTCTTATTCCGGTCCCCTGCAGCTTCTTGTTAAAGGGCTTAATTTCCGACATCTGCATCCTCCTCTTAGGACGCAGGTGTGTCAGCACGATTTTCCATCATACAAGACGGAGATTTGGCGAGTTGAATGGGTCATCTCCCGCTACCATAACGCGATGAAGAAGTCTGGACAATTCGAAGGTGCACATTTTGAGGGTCTTGATTTGTGCAAACCGAAAAAAAATACCCCATACCCCGCCTGTGACTGGCGGGAAGACAATGGGAGAGAGGGTCACAGCACGTAATACGACGGCGGTCGGTGGTCGGAACGTTCCTGCGGACACGCTCCGACATCCCTTTGGAATGCACCAGGAAGGAGCTGTGGGGCTGGTTGTGAGGGCCCCGGTCCATTTGGCGGTCAGACAATTACGAAGCCGTTGTCCGATTGGAGTTTCTATAGATAACACTGCCCTATGCTGGCACAAAGGATGATGCTAGACATCCTGCAGCCTGCGAGGGACGAGACGGGATGAGGCAAGCAGTTGTGTTAGATCCGAGAGACGAATTCGGCGATACTGGCGTCCAATGGTCGTGGTCGGCATTGATTACTTTTTGGGTCGCTAGAGGACGGGCCAAGCCAACGGCCAAGGCGCCGACGTCCTACAGACGGGCCTGGCGTGCCGTGCCAAGCCGGAGATAATTGATCGTCATCTACAATGGCGAAAACAGGGAAGGAGGGTCCGACAACCGCACCACGGTGCTGATGAAAGTTTTGCTGATCGTTACCTGCTCATCTCGCGTGGGAGAGGGGTTCTGGTGACCCGTGGGAGTCTCTAACTACAGTCTGTCGCTGCCCTTGGGCCATGTCATGCGGTATAGCGAGTGATGTGTCTCATCGATAGTGCATACGACTCCTATTGATCAAGGCTGATTGGGCCTCAATATGATCATAGCTATACCACGATCTCAACTACCAACAAGTGCTGACCCAATTCTGCAAGATTTGCAGGGCTGGAATAGATTTCTTCCGCCTGCTCTCCAACGGATCCCATTATTGATTGATAAGTTAATCCGATCCACTTGGATAGATTAGAATTCGAATTACGCCTATCTGATGGGCCCAGCCAATCCACACCTTGGGGGAGAGTGAGGCTTGGCGAGCTTTGCTACCCCCGAGTTTGTCACGGTCCAAGTAGCCGAGATGAAGGATGGTTCCCCCGTCGTTCTAGCAATACTTAAAGGTGTAGATCCCTCCCTCTCAGGTCCTACAAGAACATCGTCTCTCACGACAATCTCTCGCCAAGTCGCATCAACTATCCTCTTCTTCCGTTCTTGACTGGGTAGGCGACATGCGTATTTCTGCTGCTTTTGCTTTGGCTGGCCTGGTGGCCGGCTCGGCCGCTGCTGGCTGCCCGTACGCGGAGCGCGCCAACAACGCTGCTGCTGCTGCAGCTCCTGCGGGCTGTCCCTATGCTAAGCGCGCCGCTGCTGCTTCTACGAAAGAAACCCCCGGGCTGGCCCGTCGGGGTCCGATTGAGGGCAAGAAGGGTATCTTTTACAGTAAGTGGTTGCCTGATTGACCCTGGTGATTCACGTACTGACGGACTCAAGTGAACCGCATTGGGCCTTCCGGAGGACAGTTATGGATCTCGAATGCCGACGGCACCAACGCAACTCAGCTCATGGGCAACCAGACCAATGCTTTTGACTACCACCCTACATGGTCTCCGGATGGAGAGTGGATTGTCTTCACCAGCGAGCGCCGCGGTCCGGGTCAGTCGGACCTGTACCGCGTTCGCGTGGATGGTTCGGGACTGGAGACACTTGCGGCCACGGACTCTGTTGAAGACATCGGTGTTCTGTCTCCCGATGGAAACAAGCTGGCCTACGTTTCTACTCAGGGCAACTACACCACCAACATCTGGGTCAAGGACCTCACCTCTGGACAGGCCCAGAACTTGACCGATACCGAGGCTAACAGAGCCGACAACACCTGGCCCACCGGTCACTTCCGCCCCTCCTGGTCTCCCGACGGAGAGTGGATTGTCTTCAGTTCCGACCGCAACACCGACTGGACCGGCCACAGCGATGGTACTGGCTGGGAGCACACCCAGACTCTGGGTGTGTACGCCGTCCGCCCTGATGGCAGTGACTTCCGCACCGTTATCCGCCAGGATGGTTACTCGTTGGGTACCCCGCAGTTCTCGCCCGATGGCAAGCGCATCATCTACAACAACATGACTACTGAGAACACCTACGGCTGCCATGGTGTTTCTGCTCAGCAGGAGGCTGTCACTGCACAGATCTACAGCGTAGACTTTGCGACTGGCTCCAACGTCATTGCTCACACCTCCGGTAGCTACCCTAAGGTCGGCCAGCACTACATTGGCAACTCGACCAACATTGGATACTTGGTCAAGGCCGGAGACGAGGGTATTCACTACACCAAACCTGACTTCAGCCACCAGAACTTCAACCTGACCAACCTTCGCGATCCCTGGTGGTCCCCTGACGGCTCCAAGCTGGTTTACTGGATCCCCAACTGGACTCAGCAGGCTGCCGACCTGGAGCTCTGGAGCTACGACAACGATTGGGAATACCGCTACATGGATGTCTTCCCCATGCATAACACCGTCATCAACCGCATCGCATCCACCCAGAAGGTCCTCGGCAGCGCCAATGGCTCTCTGGTACACTCTTCCCCTCTGTATACCGACGTTGTTGATGCTCTCGACTCCTACGACATCTACAACATCAGCAACTCCACCGAGGTCGAGTGGCTCCTGGAAGGTAACTCGGGTGCCTTCCAGCCCTCCTGGAACCCCGACGGCACGGAGCTGGTGTCTGGCTTTGGAGCCTGGTTCGTCAGCCGCACCACAAACACCGCCAAGATCTACCGCACCTTCGCCAACGGTACCTGGCACACCAACCTGACTGATGGATCCGACAACTCTGGTTTCCCATCCTGGTCTCCCGATGGAACTGCCATCGTCTACCGCAAGTGGAGCCTTGCTACAGAGGCCCCCTTGGGTCTGCACATCCTGAACTTCACCACCGGCAAGACCCACCAGCTCACTGACGGCTGGGACAACACCCCCGGCTGGTCCCCCGACGGCGAGCGCATTGTCTTCACCCGCAACAACAACTGGACCGAGTCCTACGGCGCTCGCTGGTACGCCGATCGCTTCGATATCTACACTATCCGCCCTGACGGATCAGAGTTGACCCGCGTCACTGACAGTCTGTCTAACGATGCTCAGTATGTCTATCTCCTATCTCTTATCACTGACTCATAAGCTAATGAAATATACAGCGCTGTGTGGTCTCAGGACGGCCGCATTATGTGGAGCACCGGCATGTACGGCTTCAAGGATGAGAGTGCTCTCTTCGACGACACCTTCCAACCGTACGGCCAGATCATGGTCATGAACTACGACGGTACCAACAAAACCCTTGTGACAGACACTATCTGGGAGGATTCAATGCCTCTGTACATGCCCAACGAGTACCTCGAGTAAGGTACTCTCATGCTTTGATGTAAATACTTCACTTCTTCAGTTGCTGTATGAAAAAGTCGGATCCTGCTAGGGACGTAACTGTATCTATAGCTGAAAATGTGTTTATGATTTTATTACCTTACTATCCTCTACATCACCATTATAAGACTCATAATTCCAATTCCTTATAATTTGTATCCCGATACCTGCTCTAGCCCTCTAAGTCAGAAGCTATCTATGCAGGTGCTTCGCATTTGAAGCAAAGCGAATGGCACGGAACGCCCGCGATCCCTCTTTTCGCCCAAACCAACCATAGAACGCTTGCTTCGACACAGGGATGTCGTTTTGTCTTAGCTAAACAAAGCCGGAAAGACCACACAAAGCGTAGTCATACAGAAAAAAGATGGAGATACAACCAAACGTAGCAGCTGACCAGCCATCCGCCTCCAAATCCACTCTCATCTGTCCTCTGTCCATGCTCCCCCTTCGATTCTTTCGTGAAAGATAACAGCGAACAGACAATTGGACCTTACATATGCCGCCCTACGTGAAACATACTACAGACACCAATTCTAACCGAGGCCCAGACCCTTCGGCTACAGCCGTGACGAACCCCATCGACTCCCCCGATGCCCAATGCCGATCTCAATTGTAAGCTCGCTTAGACGATAGTCAATGTCCGCTCAGACCTCACATTCGCGGAAGCTAAGCCCCATGTGGTACCTCCGTGTCAATCAGGGCAAGGGGAAGCTTGCCGTGTACCCTAAGAGAGGCTTATCTTTTTGTTGGTTCGGTTCGGGAGTTTGGCTCGGTCGAGACCGTGAAGGATTTTTAGCGCGGTCCACTTTGTGTCATGCTGATAATCAGGCTTGGGGACGGGAAGGTGTCTTGGGGTGTGTTGCTTATCGTGTTAATTGATGGGAGATGTTATGTGTAGTCAAATCAAGGGGTATTCCTAATGAATTACTGTCGCGCCAAGGAGACAAAATAGATAGTGAAAGAGGGGGCTGGGAAGAGGGAAAAAAGGAAGGGACGTGTCATATTCTACGAGACTGGGGTTCCCATGCCATGATCAAGAAGCGTTTGGGGGGTCTCTGTTATCCAACACGTTTCTGGACGTGTTAGCCCTCCTACTCCTTAAGTTCATGTACTCCACGATGACAGCGTTATCGAGGTAAAGTTGTGTGTGAGAACTAACCATCTCGCCTTATCGATATTGACCAATTGTTGACCATAATGTGCAGCAAATCTCAGTCCTACAACACGACACGACCGGTGTTGCGAAGACGGCTTCCTTATTTAACCACATGGGCACCACAATCCTACGGTCCGCTATGTTGGGCTTCGTACTGTGCCAGAAACGGTTCGCTCGCGGACGGTCATGGGGGCTTCACGATCGTATCTTGCTTGATCACACAAACATCAGCAGTGGCACAATTTGATGGTACGGATCTTCTTACCTGAGCTCTTCCTGACAAGTTTCACTTTCTGTTGACTAAGAACGTTGACTATTCGAAAAGTGAGGTCCTCGAAGCGCCTCCCAGACAAGAAGACATTAGAACACCACCTTAACTTGCAAACAAGCGCCCATATAACACAAAGGAAATATTCAGTATCAATCAAGATGAACGATCAATTTGATATTCAACTCCCCGTTCCAGTCAACGACAATCAAGAAGGCAAGGACAATCTAAATAAGCAACCTGTTGTCGGGGAACAGTAAAAGAGGAAAAGGAAACCCTGAGACATAAGAAAATGCTGTGGCTCATGTGCGAATGTGGCATATATCCTCCGAAACTCGCAACGGAATATATTTGGCGTTTAACCCCGCTGGACTGTGCTACTTCGTGTGACACATCTCACCAAAAAATGGCTTTCTCATGCCTCGTGTAACCCAGCTCGATCAGGATAATATGGCACTATGCCCCTTTCCTTTGTCTTCACCAAGGTTTGTATTCCCACGGTTCCGTCGCACTCTGTTGCTCTTCCTCTTCTGCAGAAACATGTTAGCTGACTATTATGCGAGTTTGAGAGGCAAGAAAGAACGATAACCATCAAAGAGCCACGATGTGCGAACACGGGACATAACCCGACCGGGATTAATAACAGGGTCACCTCCTCCAACAGCAACAAGGGCAAGAAAGAGCTGCAGAGGAGTATGGCCGGGTGAGAAAGCAACAGTGTTCTTGAGAGATAACCAACTACCGATATGAAACCACAATGTGGTTGAATTACTTTACCTTTTTTGAATCGTAGGCACCCGATGTTCTCCGCTTTACATGATTAGACATGTTATCCTTTCGGTTGAACCGCCTCAGGCAATGCGGACACTGATACTTCCCTGGATAGATATGGATGGACATATGGTGTCGTTGGAGTTCTTGTTTTCTCCCGAAAGGGTCCTCCCTCGTGCAGCCCGGCCAATGACATCGCAGGTCAATCTCGCTAACGTGCAGTCAGATCATGTATAAGCGGCGCTGTGAGCATGTCGATTTCGATTGACATACCTTGGTCCGATCATGTCATCACTTCCAGACGAATACAAGCCCTGAGTCAAGTCATCCACGTGGTCCTGCATACGCGTCGGCACAACTGATTCAAAGACGCCACTAAACAATTCCGGCTGCTGCTGATTGACCCAGGTATTCGGCTGGTAGTTGCTGGGTCCAGGGTATGTGTACTGGCCAACGGCATTCTGCAAGAAAGGAGTATTGTTTCTGGAATAGCTGGCTTGTATGGTGCTCCCTGAGAGCTAGGCAGGTAGACACTATCCTGGAGCATCAAGATATCGGCACCATAGCTCATCGGACCTGCAGAAGCAGCGACGGGTTGCGCAGTGGTATTCAAATAGTGATCGGTCTCATCAGGATAATCAAAGTCGGAGAGTTCAGTGAGCGTGGGGCTTTCAGTGAGGCTGGTGGGCCAAGGAAAGAGAGGTCGCTCCATGATGGACGCGACACGCCTTCGTAGGCTTCTCGGGGGTTTACGATACGAGTCGGAGGGGCCTCGGAGATGGAAGGTCAACTCGGGTGGTTGGAACGAAATAAACGACTAGCAGCTGGAAGCAACAGAGGGCAGATATCAGCTCCTCACGTTCTTGCTCTGACCGAAGCTGAGGTTTCTTCGGCCAGGGTGGGTGGAAAAGGTACCCCCTCCCACTCCAGGCCTCTTTTCCACCTCCGCAGTAGCCAATCATTGCTCGGGGCTCAGTAGTGGGAGTTGTGTACGTTGATGCGGGCTGTCTCAAGTCGAAGGAAAGGTGGGTGGTGTAACCTGAACGGCCTATGAAGTGGCACCCTGGCCCTCTCAGTAGCCAGGGCACCGAAGTAAGCTGCATCTGAGGCTCACGGGTCCACGCAACTTTCACGGCCGAAGAAGCACCGCCACGGTTCAGAAATGGTACCCAACTACTGGCGGCTTCAGTGATGGATGGGAAAAAAAGTTTTCAAGGTTTGACACCCTGGCCGACATGGTTCGGCGTGTCTTTGTGTACGGAGATATCAGAAAGAAAGTTAATCTACAACTTTTTTCTTCGGACCTTTTGGACCATCTGATTTGTTTGGTTTGGCACTTGGCCATTTAGCTGCGATATAATGGTGACCCTTCTACCATACAAATATGATAGTATCTAGTTGCCATCATAGCATGGTCAACTAAATCGAGTGTTTCCATAAGGCACCCACCCCATCTTCTGGGCATACGAAGGCTAAGTCCAAATTCGGTCTAGTCCAGGTTTCTGGGCACTTTTGACGGTGAGTGGCAGCTGCCCCCAAGGCACAATATGTCGCAGGCATCGGCTCCGACGTGGCGTAGCTCATCCCGTCTTTTGGAGCCATGGCGTCACCGGCACTGGACATAGCGCTCTAGACCATTCAACGCTTCCAAGAGCTACTGATTGGGATTTTGCATTTCTGGTGTCTTCTCGTTGTTCAAAATCCATGCTACAGGCTTACCTATTCCTTCGCAGCCTTGGCTGCACGTTAGTCCGTTGATCGACCCTGAACTCCAGCCCCAATCAGTTGCTTGATGACCCCGCATCGATGGGGACCGCCGTGCGGAGCTAAGACGTCCCTCCATCTGCCCTTGGTCGGGACTTTTCAAAGCCACCCAGCAACATGGGCAGACCAATTAGATTTCTATCCGATATGCCGTGCCGTGCCAATGACCTGTTCCAGCAGGCGGAAGTGTAACTGAGGTTTATTTCGAGATATTTGACTGAGCGTATTGGATGCCCTTGCAGTAGTTTGTCTCGGTATAAGATCTACAATTATACATCCATGGTGGTCTGATAATATAATGTTATTGTTCACATTGGCTGCATATCTCCGACATTAGTGCAAGGCACCGATAGTACCTGATAAGCTGCGATAACTCCATCTCATGAGCAGCTCGCTGGTACTAAACATCTTGTAGCAGTATATGTAAGTAGAAAACCAACTTATAGATGCAAATGCCTGAAAGTAGAACAGGATAAGAGACAAGAAGCAAACTGAATTCATGGCAACTGCAAAGCCTTCATCCTCATGCACGTGACATTTCCCCAGTTTCGCATATGAAAGCCCCCAGGAGACTACGTAGGTTATGGCTGTTCTGGAAGAATATGGGTATCTCGCGAATTCTTCAATCATCAACAGTGACATCGCAGATCGGGGATGACCAGTGCGTGTATTTAATGAGTGTGGCGGCGTGGTTTGCAATATACTCTGGGCGGTATGTAGAGCGGGCTTGTACTCTGTTTCAGCAAATTCTGGTGTAGCACTGTCAGTTTACTGTTAGTATAGATTCGTTGGCAATACAAATGCGTTGTGTGTTGGGGTGTGTATGGCTGTTGGATCCGAAAACGGTGAGACACGATGTCGTCCAGAGATACCTCCAGAATTCCCCCGCGAATGAGGTTCAAAATGTGGGCAACAAAAAGCCAATGCCTGAAAGTTAACATAATTACCAGCTGTTTTGCTTACATCACATCAAGAAGCTCGGTACCATGGTCTTGTTGAGAGTAAAAGCGCCTGGTCATGTTCAAAAGTGCACATGCTGACGCTGCACCCCAGTCACGGAAAAGAATTCTTCCTGTCGACCCCGCTGCAATCTGATACATCGCGCAGCCTCTCTCTCCCCCTCTTCCCCCCATCAATGAGCTGTGCCCTCACCCACAAAGCTTGAGTTACATTTGCAACTCAGTTGATTTTATTAAAGATATTGGGAGATTAATCAATTAGTTGGCGCTGCCTTCAAAAGGAGTGAAATTCAGTGATAGGAACAACTCCAGCCGATAATGAGAGACATGCATCGAAATCACCGAGACGAAGAGGGTACGGTCCAGCACTAACACCGACAAGTCAGGGGACGCAATCCCGCTTGAAAGGTCAAGCTAACATATGCACACAAAGTGCTCAGTGAAACGCCCGAAAGGGTAAATATCAGAATGAATGCAAGTAGGAACTGATGATCCGCCGTGAATGGCCGCAAAATGGAAGAGCTGCAGTGCAACCTGTCATGCAATGAACAACGCCGCGCTTCATCTAAAGTAAGGAACGGCCTGTAAGAGCCCGATGAAAACAGCAGAAAAGGCAAGGAAAGTGCAAGAAAAGATCACGAGACATATACCGAGACGTCCTAGCTCCAGGCGTCATGGAAAGCCAGCCACTGACAGTATGCGGATAACAGCATTAGGGATTCCTCCCTATCAAGGTCTGCGAACGTTATGAACGCGCATCCGATGATCGGACATGTTGTCGCCGCGGTTGAACCGCTGTCTACACTCCGGACATTGGTAGGATTGTGGAGTTATATGAATGGTTGCCACATGTCTGACCAAGTCTGTCGGCCGTCTGAAAGGCTGGGTATGTGTGCAGCCCGCCCACCTACAATGTTGACCGTTCTGTCTAGTAGGTTTTCAGCATCTGTTTTAGTTGAAGCCCGGCTCATCTCACATACCTTGGTTCAGCAATGCTCTCTGGCATCCACACAATCGAGCCCGAGCCCGGATTTAGTGCTCCAACCCCCGTGATCGCATCACGCATGTTTACAATAGGCTCGGTATATGGTTCTGGCATTATGTTGGTTGGCAACTGGTGCACATCTGTGTATCTGTGGTAATCGGCAGTGCTCTGGACACTACCAGGAGTGGTCGCAGGCATCGGCGGCGTCCAAAACATTGCCGGTCCACCGCTAGACCAGGAAACACGATTGGCGTGCACGTGGACATCCTGATGAACACCCCCATGGTCTCTATTCTGAGTCTGAGAACCATTCTGAACTGTAGGGATCATCGAGAACATAGAACTGTAGCCCTGGTGTTCTGCATCAAGGTCGGCGTAGTCGCTCAGTAGTGGGGCCCCGACGGTGGGAAGGAGCGAAGGAGAGAATGATGAGCCTCGGCTTGCCCATGAAGAAGGGCTGTCATTAGGGGCCTCAGGCATGGTAGAGACCTCGAGTATGTGGACCAGCCTCTACTCGTTCAAGGAGTGTGATCCGATTCAGACGCGGGAAGTCCTGTAGTTAAAGTACTACACGCGTCACGCTTACCTTTCCCCAGCCTATCTCAATCACAAAGTATGCCGCATGGCCTTTGTAAAACCCCATGATAATTAGCACGATAGTTTTGCTTCACATAATCGGCCCATTGACTCAGATTCGCTCCATGTGGCACATATCTTCCCGGAACCTGCTCCTTGTCCACATGCTGTTTCATATCATGCGTATTGGTCAATTGCCGTGCCAGCCTCGTCGCAGCAGCTTGGCCGTACAAATCTAGAATGTTTTCGAAGTAGCGTGGGTTGTATTCGAAGCTCCGGAGGTAGGGATCATTGTCTAGGATTTTGACGTACCCTCGCGTGAATGGGATGAGGTTCCAAAGGTCGAAGTGGGTGCTGTTGTCGGTGTCGAGGAATAGCTCGGCGTAGGATACTTTGTCGGTTAGGAGCCAGTCTCGGTAGTTCTTATATTGTTTCAAGAGATTGGCCTTGTCGGGAAATCCGTGGCCTTTGACTGCGTGTTCGGCCCATTTGTCGAGCTCTTTGTCGTCATTCAGGATCTTTTTCATCTGTTCAGCTTCGTCACCGAAGATTTCTGCAAAGGTTGCGAAGTATGCTGCTTGGCCTTGGCCGTTACCTGATTCCTTCGGCTTCGTAACTACCGAAGTAGTTGTTTGATCCTGCAGGTTATACCCCACTGGAAGGTCCAACTTCTGTTCGATTCCCGCCGCATCAAGCCAGGCTTTGGGGCCAATCCCCGACCACTGCAGAATAAGGGGAGAGATTGTAGATCCGGCTGCCAAAAAGACCTCCTTCCTAGCCCAAGCATCCCACTTCCACTCGGGCTTCTTATGCACGCCGAACTCCACACCCTTCGCCTGCCACTTTGCCCCCATCCTCAAAGCCGCACCATTATCCAAATGGACCTTCCCAACCAGCTCCCCCGTCAAAACAGTGATATACTTCCTCAACTCCTGATCATCCAAAATCGGCTTCAACCACGACCTCGCAGCATCCGTCCTTACCTGCTCATTGGTAAGCGTATTCAAAAACATCGACACCCCAGTCGGATCCCCACAACACAGATCCTTCTGATTCACCACCCCACTATACGTTTTCTTCACCGTGCTCATCAACGCTCCGATCAACGGCGACCACCCATACCCCCGATCCCTCGCTCCGACCTTAACTCTCCCCTTATCCGGCTCCTTATTATGACACTCAGCATCAAAGCGATGCAACGATCCCTTCGTAATATCATCCGTCTTCGGATCCCTCGGCACCTCAACTTCATCCATCTTCCCCTCTAGCGCATCCCAACTCCAACCCGTATTGCCAAAGACCTTTTCCCACGAATCCAGCTGCGACTTGTGAGGTCTCGTCCACGATCCGCCGTTAATCAGTGTTGACCCTCCGAGCCCATTCCCTGACCGAAAGAGTCTAATGTCCTTGTCTAAACCGGTTTCACCATCATTACCAACAAGCTGCGGACTAGTCTCATAGGCATGATCGACGCTGCTGCCGAATACTTGGCCGTAGGTATTGAGATCATCGATCTTGGGACCGTATTCCCAGGCGTAGAACCCACTTTCGATTACTAGGACGGTGTATTTCTTCTCCGAGACTAACTTTGCGGCGAGGGTTAGGCCGGTGAGTCCCCCGCCGGCGATTATGTAGTCGAAGGTTTGGTTGTGGATTGCGCGGGGGTCGTCGGTGATGCCGTGGGGGATGGTGTCGATCTTTAGTTGGTTATTGGGGTCGTCAAGTAGGTGGTTCTTGGGAGCAGAGGAGTGTGTTTCAGTTGCTTGCAGAGGGGCTTGGAAGTGCTCTGCCAGGGCGCTAGAGAGAAGTAAAGCTAGAGCAAAGAAGAGCAGCTGCATGTTGGTGATCAAGGCGGCCCACGGGGTTGATCTTGTATAGGGCAGGGTAAGGATCTGTCCATCATTTGATTGAAACCTGATTGAGGTAGACGATATATATTCTGAATGTAGCCACATAAAGGTAGATCGTTCCAGACCTTCACTCCTACCATCATCAAGTGGCTTATCCATGGCCTGAAGTCCAGCGGTGGCATGTTCATAGCTGATGGCTAGGCCCTACGCCACATGTTCATGGCATCGGGTATAGTGAAGCTTATTAAAATACCATGGGGGATAAAGTCCAATTGTTGTAATTAGAATCGATTAGGACCGGTCTCGAATATCACTTATAGCAAGCAAAGATTGACTTGGCGGCCTATGTTGTCCGGGTAAGAAAAAAGCAAAAAAGAAAGCCCAACGCGGGGCTCGAACCCGCAGCCTTGAGATTAAGAGTCTCACGCTCTACCGATTGAGCTAGCCGGGCAAAGGGAAAGAGGAAGTTGAACAGCCCAACGCGGGGCTCGAACCCGCAGCCTTGAGATTAAGAGTCTCACGCTCTACCGATTGAGCTAGCCGGGCTAGTTCGGTGGAAGCAGGGACACAAAACTGCTCTATGAACAGTTACTACAATTGGAGCATGTTTTTCTACTTCATTGGGCTCGGAAAGTCCTGAGTGGGCATGTGCATAGAAAATGGAATATGGACGGGTAAAGAATAGTTGCAGGTTTGTAAATTGAATACTGCCAATTCGGATCCGAAGTCATTCATAATCTAAACTAATCTATTTGTTTGTCATTGTTGAACTATCTCAAGGGCTAGTTTCACAGACTGTTCACAGTAGCCAGCAATATTGCCTTTGTGGTAGATGTCGGGCCGGGCCTGGATTGCAACCCACTTGCTGGTTTTTCATTGTGTCATGCAATGACTGACGCTGAAAATCATGAACCTGTTGTTCTAGACATCCCTATCACATTCCACCTAAAGCGTAGTGATTGATTATTGAGCGTGTAAACACAAACGATCATGAGTGGCGATACTCGAAAGTGGCTTCATATCTGACATATCAATGACCCCGACTCCCAACTCTATTTCCCTTCGGCCGAAATACAACACAATCACGATATACATCAAAGTCTGGATTCGAGTCCATTGTCTAAGATGTCAACATGTACTATTGATTGAAGTGCCCAGCTTGTTTCTCTAAAGTCAGCTTGCACGCCATCGACCTTATCCGCAAAGACACGGGAGTCAGAGACCTCCCCCCAAAAATAAAAACCCTCATCGCCGGAATATATATACCTTACTAATTGATTGGTCCTACTACAGTTCTTCCGGATACTGGTGTCCTCACCTACACTCTTTGTTTATCTTACTAACCCCAGCACTAAACCACGCTAGACCAAGCTTGGCACTAGATGAAAGAATGGCTCGATGTGGCATTACAGCATACTGTATGGACATGTACTATGTAAGATGGCAATTGATTACTTATCTTATTATATACGACTATCTAGCATAGCGGCAAATGGCGAACTAACATCAATTACTGTATGATATAGAGATAAGAAGAGTTTGTACTATACAAGACTAAGGCCTATAGGCTCACACATCTGAGTTCGCCATTTTTGAGGTATCCAGAAACCAAGCGAGAAAATTACAGACCTCTGGAATATGTCAAGTCGCTTTGGTCAGGGGACGTAATTGCTTTTTAGCAGTACAGGCTGGATCGAAAACGGTTTGAATAACAAACATATCTTGCTGATTTCCCGGTCCCACCGCCAAGGCCTTAGTGTATATTCATTATTGGGGTGTCCTCGTTGAACAAAAAACTGCTTGAGCAATCTGGGAAATAGTCAATATTACTCTGAATCATGTGCTATATAATATCAAGTTGATGATATTTTAGATTCCGCGCTACTATACTATACGCAATGATGGATGTATACTGTAGACAGTACGCACATTTCCGTGTCTGAAATCGACTGGACTGCTGAACAATCAATAATCGATATAGTTACCAGTCCGTCTCATCACCGCTATCTTCTTCCGAGTGAGCCGTGTTTTGAGAAAACGGCGCAAGATCATCTGTAAGACTTTCATTATGTGCCTCAGTATCATCAGAACTTCGAGAGGGTTCGTCACTGGTATCTTCTTCTAGGTCCTCGCTCTCTGAGTTATCTCCATTGCAAGATTCCTGACTGGGTTGCACAGCAGTATCCTCGGTAGAATCGATACCATCAAAGATGCTGCTTCCATCATAGTCAGTGTTATCGGAATAATCCCTTTCCTGGAGACTATTTCTCGAGGCTGTGCGGCGGCGTTTCGATATAGTTTCGTCTAAGCTGTCACAACCGCGCTTAGCTTGTCGTTCTAAAAGGATTAGTAGGTGACAGACCTCAAAGATAGGGGTAAGAAATACCACAGGTGGAAAGGCAACTGGCAAGTCTATCAGCAGGCTCTGGCAGAGGCCTGACTTCTTTCTCCCATCTCTTTAATTCTCCAGCCAGCCTGGTAAACCCAGTATTTTTTGCAGAGCTAAAACGGACCATATTACAATGATCGGCGTGGATGCTTATCGCTTTAAAACCATCAAAAGTGGCTGAATTCCTCGAAACAACTTGGCCATATCCAGACAGGGACAACTCTTCAAAGAAGCATGTGACTCGTAGGCTTCTGCCGTTGCCTTGGAGTTCTCGAATCATTGATAGAAAGTCGTTTTGGATAGATTGAAGAAACTGATTGTCCGTCTGCAGTATATCAAGCAATAACTTGTTCGTAGACTTCACCAGTCCAAGAGCAGTAGCTGGAATTGTGGCCCACTTTGCCATCCACGATCCCTGGTGGGGAGTACCCATGAAGATGACGCCTGCAGTGTATTTGAAGACATTCTGTAGATGGATGTCAGGGTTGTTTCGAGAGCTCAGAATAGCTTTCTTGCAAACTAATCCGCCTAGACTGTGAGCGACAAAGATGATAGGGCGAGACGCTGCATTATGATCATCTCGATCCATTGTCAAGTCGTTTAAGAGATTTATGGCATGGTCGACCAAGCGATTTGATCCAGCAACCGACCGCCGCACCACATAGGCATCATAGCCGTAAGTCAGTATACGAGCAGTGGTGAGTTCTGACGGAAGAAGTGTTTTGGGCCATGGATCAGACTGGTTCTGAGCAGTCCAAGTAGTGGTTCGGTCACCCGACAATCCATGGATAAAACATATATCGACCGTAGCATTGGGACAGTCATGCAGGACTTCGACGCCGTCAGGGAATTCGAGGGGGAACGAGGCTTGGGCGGACGACTGTGATAAGTTCGGCGGGTCGACCCTTGAGCTAGAGTCCTGGTCCTTTCTTTGCCGACCTCCAACGAAGAAGTTTAGAACCTTGCTCATGGCAGGTCTTCTCGCGTCGACATATAGAGAGTAGCTGTTCGCGTAAACACGCACTCGAAGTAGGCGGATTGTGAATGAAAGAGAAAGGGGACGAGATGACTGTGCCGCCCCTTAGGCGGGGTTCAGCTGAGCTGGGACAGGATGTTAGTGCGTTAGTGTACAAACGGTCCAACCACGTCACTGTATCTAGCGCCCGGATTGCAAGCTCACTTGCCGGGATGGGGTATCAGGCGCTTGGAAGAGTACGCAACGTGGTCCTAACAGCGGTGGGAGATTATCTACCGACCTCGTATTTTATCGTCCACGTAGCCCCATGGAACGGCTTCCTGTACGTCCATGACTGCCAAAAGTAAAATGGAGCCGATATTGAAGTCTCATCAACTTGAAATGACATATCACAGCAAACAATGTAAATCACTGACTACCTTCCAAAGTGGCTCATGCGGCGGCAGTTGTTATGTTATGAATAGATTATCTGTAATATAATATATGGCTCAATATTTTTTTATCTCTGTGCTAGGATTGGCTTAGTATTGTTTTATCTCAGGGTTGCTGAAACAATCGAAGAGTGTAAGTAGTGACACTGGTATCCGGAAGAACTGTTCCAATCCAACCATGCATCTTACCATCCAACCAATCCCTGTGCGACATACAACTTCCATCAGGCAGGTATGCCAGTTCACTTTGCAGCTCGACATGTGTGCCCTACCTATGGTATATAGTTATCCCCAACGCTCTTATACAGCAGGTCTGGCATGATATAGCCGACACTATGGTTATTTCGAACACATAACAACACCGGTCTGTGACGCGATCGACACGATGGTTGTCGGCTGACTATATATATTTATACCACCCATGATGCCAATTCAACGGATGAAAGACGATGTTTCACGAGGGAAGTCTGGACGAATATTAACTCAACATGAGAGGTGATATTTTGCTAAATGATTATGAACCCAGCAACAGCACCCATGAGGTATCCGATCTACTCCACCAAAACCGCCAACTTCTTCCACCACGTATCCCTCACCCTCTCGGGCTTTTCCGCCTCCATGATCTCCCTCAACCCCGTATGTAAATCGACCTCTTCACTCCTCCACGCCCACGGATCACTCCAGTAGACGATCCGATGAACAGCATACAGCACCACGAACGCGGGAATACCGATATACGCCGTGAAGAAGTTACTCGCGGACCACTCGGACGGAAAGAAGCAGGTAAATCCATTGATCAGGGCGAGGAAGGTCGAGCCCGCCAGACCGACGTACATACCCCATGGCTGCATGCGCGATGAATAGGGTTTCTCGACGCCCTGCACTTTCACGGCTTTGTTGAAGCGGAAGTACACGACACTGCAGCAGAACCAGGAGATGAAGCCGGAGGTGTTGGTGAAGTTGATGAGCCAGTTGAAGACGGTGTAACTGCCGCTGCCGACGGCCATGTAGGCGAGGAGGGAGAAGAGGGAGGAGATGGCCACGGCGAAGTACGGCACGCCCCAGCGGTTGCAGGACTTGAAGATGCTGGGGGCGTTGCCGGAGACGGCGAGGGAGTAGAGTGAGCGCGAGGACATGTACAGGAAGGAGTTGCCGGCGGACCAGGCGGAGGTGAGGATCGCGGCGTTGACGATGCTGGGGAGGACGGGGATGCCGGCGTTGGAGATCGCCACGACGAAGGGGGAGGAGGAGGCGTCGGTGCCGGAGCCGGCGGTTAGTTGTTTGGCGTTGGAGGAGCAGATGACTCCGATGGCGAGGGCTGCGAGGACGTAGAAGATGACGAGACGGTAGATGTATCGACGGGCGGCCTTGGGGACGTTGCGACGTGGGGATTCCATTTCGCCGCCACTGATGACGACTAATTCGGGCGCGAAGATGAATGCGATGGCCGATTTGACGATGCACTGCAGAAGGCCGACGAAGCGACCGGCATCACCGGAGACAAGGTAAGTGTTCATGACTCCGGGGTCTTTCCAGTAGTGGAAGCCGAGACGTTGGCGGTTGGGACCTCCACCCCAGAAGAGAATGAAGGACAAGAGCAGCAACCCGACCAGAGTGATGATCTTGATCCCGGAGAACCAGAACTCGGTTTCCCCATATACGCCCACCGGCATACAGTTGAGAAGGACGATAACAACCAGCATGATGGTGATCCACACGGCCAGATTGACGTTCGGATGCCAGTAATCGATGACCATGGAGGCTGCGACAATCTCATACGGCACCAATATTCCCAGCGAATACCAATACAAGTATCCCATTGCAAACCCCATACTGCGCGAGACGTAGCGAAAGCCATGATAGCTCATTGTTCCACCGTGAACGGGCATGTAGGCGCCGATTTCCGCGATTCCGGTGACGAGAGCGAAGACGAGGATCGAAATGAAGATATAACCGAGCAAGAGGGAAAGAGGACCACCGATATGTAGAGCCTGACCGGATCCTACGAAGAGACCGGTGCCGATTGTGCCTCCCAGGGCCATCAGCTGGACATGGCGGTTTTTGAGGCCACGCTGAGTGACCTTGTATCGTTCATCGAGAAGGTCGCGCGCGATCATCTCATGCAAAGCACCCGATTTCAGATCACCGGCTGCGATGCCGGACTCGGGGTCCGGATGTGATGTGGACGCCATTTCTGGTTTCTCTGATGGGGCCATGGTGTACGAGACACTGCGAAGGAGAAGGGAGACGAGGTGAGGATGAAGGGGTGGGCATCTCAAGGTGACGGAAGAGCAACGTCGTGCGACGTGCCCTGGTTATAAGTAACGGGAAAGCATAACGCTGTCCTCGTACCACTCGTGCCCTTGGCATGACATCGCTTACAGTAGGACAATCCCCGCAACCGGAACGGTCAGTGGCATGAACCAGTGAAATACATTTGATTCATGACGGTCGGCGGCATCCAGATGAATAGGGAATAGACGGGACAAGATAAGAAGATGCGGGGGAAATTAGGTTGCTGGGCGTGATTGGTGCTCGCGTGATAGTGCATCGGGCTCAAGACACGCTTATCAGCCACTCTTTCACCTCGCTTCCTTTGCCAATGCGCTCCTCAAGCCAGCCACCGGAAGGGATTATGCAGGATTCCTGGTGAGGTGCAGCCTTGTGGCAGCTCTTCCCCTGACTGGTTGCTGTGGCGTCCCGTGCCTCGGTTCTGTCTAGCGTGTCTCGTCCTGCCCTATCCCAGTCCAGCTGGCTATCGCTTCCTCTCGTATCGCCGAAATCCTAGCCTCGCCCAGGGTCTTGATACCCCTGAACCCTCTTTTAAGCTCTCCCAACGCCTTCTACCGGTCCGGCCACCGGTCCGGCTGCTTGGTGGTGGTCGAGAATCTGTCGTTCTATTCGGGGAGCTACCCGGTGTTGTACATATGCGCCATGCAGGTGTTGAGCCGGGTCAGGCTCGCTTAGTTTGGTATGTGTTTCATATGATAAGAAGTATACTGAGCCAATCTTTGCCAGTCTTCTGGCCTATGTCCGCTCACATGTCAGCCATTGACTAGTAATAGACCAGCCACCGATAATAACACCTCTACACCGAAGATGGGTGCAACAGAAATGCTAGCCTAGCCGTGGCTTATTGGCCAAGTACGGTATCTCCCAGATAGCACTCAACCGGCTATCGCCCGGCAGCTAGGAATAATGATCACCACCCCATCCCAGGAATCGATCCCACTGCATCACGACCACGCCACGCTCTCGTCTCTCTCTCCCCAATGAATCCAGCAGCTGCATCTCTGGTGCCGTCAAGATCCTCCCCTCCTGATTCCGCTCCAGCGCCGCCTGCGTCACCGCCGGAGCTAATTCATCCGCTATGGCAGCCTCATCGCGATGGCGCGCATACCGCGTTTCGCCCTCCTCAACTCGCGAGAAATACCACACCGACCGGACGATATCGTAGCGACGCTCGAGCAAAAATATAATCGGCCACGCGAGGATCCACACCTGTAGGATGATACAGAGATAGTACACCCAGGCATTGTTGCGTAGCTTGTTCACCCAGTGGGGGTTGTATACTATTAAATCACGATTCGCCATGTCAACTGTGATGCTAATGTCGCCTCTGTAGTGCAGACTGCGCAGATGGGATGTCAACGAGGAAATGAGAACAGAGCCATCGAAGCCGACGATGCTGCGAGAGAATTTGAACCTGCACGAGTCAGTATGCCGTAGGTAAATGGTTACTATCTGGGGAAGCGCACGATTTAACAGAAGACGGATCATCGCAGTATCGCTCACACCAGCCCATCAAGCTAGGACCCCCCTCATCCTGTCGCACCAACCCGGTCGCCTCGTGATCAAGTCCCTCCTCCAGTTGCACGAATCGTGAGCGCAGTCGCTCTCCCACTCGCTGTCGGATTCGCTGTCCCAGTGGCCCTTTCCTTCGGCCCGACCACGTCTCTGACTTGAATCGTCCCCCACGGTAGGTCTTTCGCGTATCGTTATCCCGCACGACACTCAGCACATGCCATCCATCCTGGGTCGGGTCCAGGTCCAGTCCCAAGTCATCGTCGTCGCCATACTGCTGGGTTCCATGCTCGTGACGTATTATGTATCCGTAGAGATCAACTTTGAAGGAAAAGTCCACGATCGTCTCCTTGCGATCCTCCTTGCGATGGTGGTCGTGGCGGGTCTCGGTGTGGGAACCGCGCACGGTCAGGTACGGTCGCGGCGGGAACTCGGCTTGCTGGGTGATGAGGGCGTGCAGGGACGAGGCATCTTCGCTGAGAGATGGGGCGAGGGTGACGGTGGAAGAGTCGCGGTTGCCCGAGTGGACGCTGTGGTAGGGTTGACTCTCAGGAATGGGGGCATCAGGGAGATGAGGAAAGGAGAAGGTGGTTGGAGGTGGTGGAGGTGGTGGTGCTGGCCGGGAGGCGGCGGGGAGATTGGGATCACTAGCCACCGTCTCTTCGTAGGATGGGGGGAGATCTTTCGGTCGGCCCATGTTGGGGGAGTATTGCCAGTGAGTTTGGTATTATGTGCTGCTATGAGTTTGCCAAAGATTGAAGACAGATGAATCAATCCAGCGATATTACTGTGCAGCCTAAAGATCTGCTGTTGTGAAGAGTCAGAGAGTAAGACGAGGCTGTGTTGCAGGGCTGATTCGGGCTTGGCGGCGAGGCTGTCCATTGCCGCCTCAGGTTGCTGCCTACTTTTAGGGGATATGCTACAATTGCAGAATATTGCAAATTATTGACATAGGTATCATGAACGTAGTATTGATATACTCATAAACCATAACTCAGTTCCTCACGCAAAGATGCACTGCAAATAACACTGAAAGCACAATTTACGAAGGGCCATCATATAAACGCGCCCTTTCTGACCCGCCTCGCCAAATCATCTATCTTCCCATCTAGATCTGCATGTACAGACCTATCCAAAGGATGAAATCTCCCATCACCAGCCTCCTCCAACGGAATACGGAGTAGCTGCGTGACCCGCAAGAACTGCTGGCGGATCCACTGAAGCTGTCCAGGTCGGAGAAAAGACACCATTCCCTGACCATAGTCCTCTATGAAGAATGCCACCACACGACTCAGCATACTCATAATATGCCACGGCCCTTGGGCAATAATATGGCTTCTGTGTTCGTCTTCCGACTTTTGCGCGGACTTTTGGTGGTTGGCGTTTCCTAGTAAGCGATAGCTAGGAAGCCGAATTGCTGGGTCGGTCAAGTCGGGAATACTCAGCCATCCGCCCTGGTTTCCAAGATAAAACGGTACGCTGTAGCAGACCGAGTCGATCAGTTCTTGGAGAATGTACTTATATCTGGCGAAGTCTTCCACTCCAGTTGAGGTCCCAGCATCTGGATGCGTAAATCGCCCTGGTGGGTTCGTACTAAGCGAGCTGAGAATGATCTTGACGAGCATGAGGCGTTGAGCGCGCCATTCGTTCCATAGTGTTCCAATCTGGCATGAAATATAAACGTCGCAGATGGAATCGTAGGTTGGTATCGATGGGTCAAGGGCACTTCCATCCGTGAGTCTCACGGGATGCAAATGTTGCGGGACCTTTTGGGCCCAAGCCAGAAGTTGTTCGTCAATGCGTTTTGCCTCGGCTATCCAATTTCTGGGAAGGTCTGTTGAAAACATAGGGCCTTTGTGTGCTGCATGCTGCCAATAACTTGCATGTAACTCGGCAACAAACGCGCCAATTGCATCCAGGGCGGGCCCAAAATTACCTGGTGCAATCTTCGGCTCTATGCATCCAATACGCGAATGGGCCGTGCTCTGCAGCAGCCGTTTCTGCCGTACCGCCGAGGAGATTTCAATATGCAGGATATATCGCCGAATGTGGGCCATGAGTGACCCATCGGGACAATCCTGATCGGTGAATGGGAGCAGGGAGAGGGCTGCGTTGTGGTGTACGCTTGTGGCTGATTTACTCCCGTATATGACAGCGAAATTCTCATAGAATTGCAGGGCCAACACTGCTAGAATAGTTGCTGGATTGGTCCACTCATTGCGATCCTCGATTGTCTTTCGAAGACACTGGATGGCCTGGGCATACGTCTCCCGTGATGCTCGGGAGCTACACTCGTGTCGCCAACGCGACATTATCTCTGACGCCACGGCAGTCACGGCGAGTGAGAGCGCCGAGTTCTGCTTCTCAGAAGCATATACTGGGACTAACATCTCGAAAAATCCACGGGAAGATTTCATGTCGCGACCCATCATGGCGTAATGCCGAATGAAGAATGGTACAGAAGGGTCGGGGTCGGTTAGCGATCGCAAGCAAGGAACCAGTTGCTGATTCTGGGCCGCCTGCCTCGAAGCAAGGTCATTGCACACTTTGGAGGTTTGATCTTTGAACCTTATCTTGACAGGCTTCGCTTTGTAGCCCCCGCAGCGAAGGTTGAGGCGTTGACACGTGTGACATTCTGGCTTTGCCTCGTCACATTTGACTCGTCGTGATTTGCATGTAACGCATCCTCCAGAGGGTCCGTGATTGACCATTGTGAGAGTGGGGTGGCCCAAAGAAGAGATGGTATTGCGACAGAAGGAACAACTCTAATTGTTCATGAGTAAATAGATTAAATAGTGGTTCAACATGACAAGGCTGAACTTCGGCCCCCACTCAGTGCCTGAGCACAACGCGGAATCAGGCTAGCTGTGCGGAGGCTGCAACTGCGGCTGAGATTCCGTCCTACGGGATGGGGTCTTGGCCATGTCTGTCGCAAAAAAGATACCAAGTTGGGTATAGTGTGGCACTGCTATAACTTTAAACATGCCTGAGTCTGGGGTTTCAGCTGTCCAGATAAGCAAATCTACAGGGTTCGATCTGCCAAAATTATAATTAGCTGAGCCTCTTGTTTATCTCACGATATTGATCAAGGTCATCCCATCAGAAAACCCTAACCCATCTGGGTAACGTTGATGTCTTCTGAAACGATGCATCGCCCGCAGGAACAAGAGCCCGGGGCTGTAAATAGTGTGCTCGAGCACAAAAGATGTATAAAGTCACCTTCTCAGGAACCATCAACATGATGCTTCGAACGCATCACATTGCAGAATTCAACCCTCGCAACCTCGACATATCTTATCCCTCGACCACACCCATCAACCCATCAAAATGGTCAAACCCACCCGCCCCCCAGCCAACAACTTCGTAGCCACCGCCCGCAAGATCTACAACCCGATCGGCTTCGCCAAAGGTTACAACTTCATCCTATGGATGATATCCGCTGGCGCACTACTCGGCTTCTCCCTCGCCCGACTCATGTACCTCAACTTCGACGGCATCTTCTGCCCAGCAGACCAAAACAAAGCCGATGCCCTGCCCGGCGAATGCTTCTACTACCAAGACACCCGCGGCCGCGTCGGCATCCTCCTCCACCTCGGTGCCATCCTCCCAGCCTGTCTCCTCGCCTTCCTCCAATTCGTCCCCGTCATCCGCCACAAAGTCATCCTCTTCCACCGCATCAACGGCTACCTGGTCATCATCGGCTCTTTCACCGGCATGGCCGGCGTGCTAATGATAGCAGAACATAGCTTCGGTGGCGGTGTGAGCATACAAATCGCCCTCGGCGTGGCACTCATCATCTTCCTTAGCTGCATCTGCATCGCTTATTATAATATCAAAAGACTGCAGATCGAGCAGCACCGCGCGTGGATGATCCGCGCTTGGGTCTGCGTGAGTTACCCCATTACCCCCCACCTTTCTCCTTGAATATTCCGTACTGATACCCAACAGGGCGGCTTCATCATAACCATGCGCATCATCGGCATAACCACCAACAAAGTCCTCGTGGCCCTCGCCCCCAACCAATACTTCGTCTCCTACTCCTGCTCTGAGATCTCCTTCATGCTGAACGGGAACCAATCCGTCGTGCAATCCCTCCATCCGTCCTGCACGGGGACTAATCCGAACCACCACGTTCTCGTCAATGCTTTCAGCTCCAATGGAACCGGGAATGTGGACCAGGCTGCCGCAGGCCTCGACATCAGTTTTAGTGCTGCGGCGTGGCTCGCGGTCGCTATTCATGTCTTTGCGGCTGAGCTGTATCTCCATCTTACTCCGGCCGAGTCAGCGAGGTTGAGGAGGGTGTCGTATCAGAGACAGTTGGAGGCCGGGATGAGGAGGCCTGGGAATATGGGGTTGACGGCGGAGAAGGTTGGTGATGCGGAGCCGTTTTTGATGGTTAAGGGGGAGGAGAGGGGTGAGGGGGGTGGGAGTGAGCATGAAAGTGAGGTGGAGCTTACGAGGGTTGGGGGGAGGTATGAGAGGGAATAGATGGGTACTGGGGGTGGTGGCGCTGGGTTACGATGGGAATGGATAAGATGGTTGTTTTTGCCGTTTCTTTGGTTTTTATTCTCGATTTGTTCGATGTATAGATTGTATTTTTTTATCAATGCCAGTAACGAACAACGTCCCAGTATACTACCTGATCCTAACTAAGGTATTCCTCTCGGATTGCACCCTATCCAAACTTAACGTTCAGTTATCATCCTTCACACCCTCCCTCCGGCGCATTCTTATGTACAACACCCCTCATAATGTATCAACTAGATATATCCACATCTCCCTATCCCCTACGCACTACCAATAGCAGCCACATGATCCGTGACCAAACACTCATAATCGCTCGTCCCATAGTAGATGGTATTTCCATCATCCGGCGACTCGCCCGTGCTTAAATCGTCACCATACTGCCAGAAGAGATCTGCGCTGACGCCCGTTGTGTTGAGAGCTGTCTTCTGCCACGGGCTCTCCACGCTGCAGTGGTTCGAGGTGACGCCGTACTCTTCCAGAAGGCAGGGCTTGCCGGCCGCTTTGCACGCCGCGCCGTGCGCGCTGATCCATCCGTTACCCCAGTCGTCGGAAGTGCCCCCTTGATTTTTGTTAGTTTGGATGTTGATGGGAATGAGAGGACGGAAAGAGGGGGTGTGCGTACAGCTATCAGGATACAAGTGGAGAGTAGCAAAGTCAATAGTATCGATACCGAGGTTCATGGTGAAGTTCAGGCCCTCGGCAAATTGGTAGGGGTAGCTGCCGTCCGAGTCGGTGTTGAGGCCGAAGCCCTCTACTTTTCATTAGCACCCACCTTATCTAAGTCTCGAAGGTTTGGGGGCACTCACCATCACCAATACAAACCATATGATCCGCATCCAACCCCTTAATAAACTTACTCGTCTTCTCAATCCAATCATACAACACAGACGTATCGCAACTGGGACATCTCGGCTCATTCGCCAACTCCCACGCAAACACCGCCGACGAGTTACTATACCGCTCCACGACCGTCTTAATATACGTCTGATACGCAGATTGCATCGTATCACTCGTATAGAAATCCGTCTCGTCGGATCCGCCATACGCGCTGACGTACGCGGACATACCGCCGTAGTCGGTCCAGTAGTTGACGAAGTTGATGATGAGTTTGATGCCGTGCTGTTCGGCGGACGAGACGACGTAGTCGAGGCGCTGGAGGCCGTCGGCGCCGGTGTTGATTGTTGATTTGCCGTCCTGGTGCAGTTGGTACCAGACTGTGCCGGAGGAGGGCTGCGTGGTGACGTCGTTGAAGCCCCATACGCGGAGGATCTTGAGGCCGGATGACTTTAGGTGGCTCATCACCAGGTCGACGTCCGAGTCGTCGGTTAGAAAACCGATCCAGTAGCTGTTCGTTCCGGCGAAGTAGCCGGTTTCGCCATCGATGGTGAATTGGAGGCCCGAGGTGCTGGCGAAGGAGGTGGAGGCGCTGCTGCTGCTGCTACTGCTGCTACTTGGCGCAGGAGAGGCTTTGGGCAGGGCCGTAGAGAGGTTGGCCAGCGCCAGGCTGGCCAGGGTGAGAAGGGAGCTGGAGAACTTCATTGTGGTCGTTTGCTTGGCTGGTTATGATACTGAAGTTGTGTGGGTTAAGCTGCCTTTATAGCAACTCTGCCCGCTGCCAGTCGGTTTCTGCTACACGGACGACCCTCCGTTCTGAAATAAGCAGTGACCTGTAGGACGACTGGGAAGGGGTTCTGTCTCCAGTCTTGGACCTCCAGATACCGAGTTGAGAACGGAGCGGTGACGATCATCGTGGCAGTTAATCAATCTGCAGATGCAGGTGTTTTGTCCGTGCTCGATTCGGTATGGCGAGACCCTCTGCCGTGTTTCAGGTGATCTGAGTGGTTTAGTTCTACATCAGGGATTGCTGGTGGGGATGATGTGTTACATCTCTGTTAAGATGGTTTGATGAAGAGTCTGTTATTTTCTTTTATATTTGTTGCTGGGTTGGTTTCAGAGGTGATGGGTGGTGGATGGATGGTCTGATGGGTGCGGATGAGGTGCGACCGGAGAGGAGAGGCGGTTGTCTATGGATTATCGATGTCAGTAAGAAGACAAAAGATGGGCGGGACTAGGATAGATATGGGTTTGAACAAATATATGGTGATATGACAACAAAGGAATAGTGTCTGCGATATATGGCTTATTTCTCTCACCGGTCGGCGTGGGGCACTCTGGATAACCACGTGTGTGGCAGCGGGAAGATCGGCGGGATTCCAGTGCGTGTGACCCCAAGAACCACTGGAAACCATCCACAAACAAGGGAAAAGGAAAACAAACTATGATTGACATTATCTCCATTGAAAATCACCTGTCGTTGTCGTTAATACTTTCTGCCGAGTCGGAGGACTTGTGTGGTGGGTTCAATGATGTGTATAACGGTTTTGTCAACCCTCTTCTGTTTGTCCGTGCTAGTTATTTATATATATTCAAACTTGGATGGTAGAGTTGCCACGATTGCTAGCTCACCATTCATCTAGTACTGTTGCGACTAGATATCTTACTACTCAAAACAACAGTGATCATGACTCTGATACACTATTTACGTCCATAGAAAGCACCGTTGTCTCGCGAGAGCCAGTGTATCTACATGATGGAGGAGTCAGGCAATGAGTACAGTGATGTCTGGGACACTATCACTGAATGATGATTGATTGATTTCATTGATTTTTCGTTTTCTATCGAACTGCGGAAGATCATGAAATAGCACCAAACAAGACGTAACTTGAACAGTAGAGTTGCACAACTGCTTGACTGGAATATACTGGCATAAGGACTAGCTACAAACCATATGACGTTGACATCGACGGCATACTGATCAAACATTGTAAAGAGAGTAACCTAGTTAGCGTTATCCGAAGATTTGCCGGAAACCACCAAAGCGAAATAAACCAGCAAGTTCTACCCCTTCCCCAGCCGGAGTAGCCCTTTGCAAGAGCCTACGACCATAAAACCACCCCAGACCGAGTCAATTAGTGCTGACACCATAAATCCGACGGAGAATTCAATCTCATCGCGTGGCTCGGAGTTCACCCCACCCCCTCATCTCCTCATTGTACTAGACTAGCAGTCGTCCGACTGCAATGCATGAAGCCGGACAACAGAGGGTAAAGTATGATCCGGAGCGCAGGGCTGAACAACCAAGCACAGTCCCTGAAAAGGAGACAAAAACAGAGTTTTCTATCCAGGGTATCAATGATTGGCCCTTGTTGAGCTGTGTTGGTCGGGCCGACACTAGAGAATACAAGCTAGCGAGGCGGCGTTAAGCATAATTGACTGGGTTAATATCGGCGTAAATTGCGGTGCAGCAGGTGACGAGCCGATGCTCGGGAGACATTCCTCCAGAGTTCGGACGTGGATGGGACAGTCGGAAAAATGTTTCTGAGGAGAGGAATTGTGGGAGGCGGCATGTGGGGAGAAACAGATGTACCGAGCGGGGTGCGGGTTGGGTGTCTGTGGACTGCCGTAGTCTGGTATGGGGTAGGTTTAGTCATCCATTCTTGTGTCACCAGATGACTTACGTTAAGATATTTATCTATAGATTATAGGATATAGATGATGTTGATAGATAGAGTTCGGATGTAGATCTGTTTCTGTCAGGGGTAAGCTTATAATTAGCAATTCCCAACGCTCTTGTGGTTGACAGGGTGGTTTCTGCATTGTCCATGTGTTTGATGACATCCCCAGCCTGGAGTAAGGAGCGGCACCCCACGGAGAGGCAGATGCAGGGACAACACCCCAGATACCCTGTTTCTCTCCCACAAGTTGCAACATCATGCTGTCTGCATATGGCACCATCACCGGTCATGTCTCTGTAGTCGGCTAACCAGATCTCGGTCGAGTTCACACTTGAAGGTTGTTACTTGGAATCTTCGACCAGGATCTGGACTCTCGTCGCTACCGGGTTCCGCGCTACTACGGAAGTGGCGCTGAGGGCTGCCGGGAACCAACTTGCAAACCAGGATGACATTGTGGCTGCTGTTCCAGAAAGGCGGAGGAAAGCTGGGCCGGGCCTCTCCAAGAGTCCGAAGAAACCAAAGCAGGCAGGTTCCACGGGGATTCTGTTAGTCAGTTAGTCAGCCGGGGTGCCGCCGGAAATTACACTCCCCCATATGACATACGTCATCTTGCATTAGCCGACCACGTGTAGTAACCAACCCTAGCCCTCTGGATGACATCTTTTCCGGGCTGCAAGTCTATTAGTCATGTCCCCCGGTCGCATGGGGGAATCTGGAGTGGTCAGGGCAGGGGACCATCCCACGCGAAATGAAGGGGACGGAGGGGGAAGGAAAAAACAACGCATATTATTGCTGATCACTCCTGCGTAGTGTATTTTGATTTGCATAGTAAGATTATCGGTCAATATCCTAGTGGTAAATTGAGCACATCAAGTCAGCCCGCGTCGTCATGCCAAGGTGCAAGACTGCAGTTCGCTGACGATGATGTTGCAGCCAAGGCAGCCACAAAGCTTCATTGGATCCGGTGGATGGTTCCAGAGCCAACCAGTGGTGTCGCCGAGTGCCACTGAAATCCTTGTGTGTGTGCAGTCGGCTCGGTCGGGATTCTGTACCAGCTGCGCGCGTACAGGTTTTCGTTTGTTGGCTGAGTAGTCCCTCGTCATGCCGTGAATCGGGGCCGATTCTCTCGGTCGGCCGTGGTCAGTCCCAGACGTTTAGGGTTGGAATTTTCCTCGTGGGCGCAGCACATTTTCGGGCAGGTGACCGACAGAAATCGGGATCGCTTAGGATTGGAATCGGTACAGAGTGGTTTTGGAATTGCAATGGCCATCTACCAGTTTCCCCAGAATATGCAGAAATGTATCTGAGCGTAGTTCGATCATGATAATGAACTGACGTCTACTAACCTCCGCATTTTCCCCTCTTTTCCCCCCTGCAAGGATAAGAAAATCCGGGATATCGACTCACCGGTCAACGAATATGGGAATCTCCAGGTTGGCATCTCCGGCCCTCCAGGAAATCCCTGCGTTGGGTTCTCTCTCCCACACTCTCTCCAGTCCACACTTCCTCCACCTCCAGTCCGTCTGCTTCCGAGCCAACAAGCGGCGATTTGCCCTGCCGAACTCTGGAGGCCTGCCCGATACGGTTTAGGGCACCGGTCTAGTCCCGAAACAGTGGGTCGCCTCTTTCCCATTAGCCTCGTGACTGGAGAAGGTAAGCGGCTTCTCCACGTTGGGCAAGAATCCCTTTCAATTAGTACGTAGTATTGCTCGCCTCCCCTTCCTCTTTCAACTCCTTGCCCTCCTTCAGCTCGCTTCTCTGCAAAACCTGGCTGAGACAGTTGTAAGCAATGACACGGTATCCCGTCTCATCATCCCGACAAATGTACAATATACGGTGTATAGTCATCTCAATCTATAGACTACCTATGAATCTATCATCTATCAAAACAGGCTTCTAAACGACGCCATATCATTCTGCCTTCTTCCACCCCCCGTTCCATGGCTATTCTCTTACATGCGCCTCCTATCCGTTCCCCATCCTGACCCAATAATGTTGATCCGTTTTCATCTCCTCCGGCTAAAGTTCTGTCGCCAGACGCCAGTGCCGATGCGCTGAACCAACGAGCGTCCGCCACCCGACCCTCCTTGCCCCGAAAGGGCCGTGGAACCCGAAGTTATGCCTGCTCCCCCTGGTACGGCCGGCCCTTCCCCAGCATTTCGGCTGTTCTGACTGGTCTATCGGTTTCGGCCGGCCGTCCATTCTCACTGGTTGACGGCCTCTCGCTCATGAATCGTCTTGGTCGGTCTCCCCCGGCGGCACTCGCTGCGCTGCTGCATCTGATGTCGGCTCTCCACACGTCGGCTCTGACGCCCCCCTCCCCCGTGGATCTCTTTTCCCTGGTGAAATTTTTCTCTCTTTCGTCTCATACGATGGAGGACATAAAAGGGCTTGCATCTCCCCAGATTCGGGCACCTTTCTATCTTCCATCTCAACCCCGACAATCATCACTTATCTTGACTTTTACCCTACGGTGATCTTCAACCAATCCCAACCTAGGGTCTCCTCCTATTACTTTATTTACTATTTCCTCTTCTTTATCTTGTCTCTGACTTGACATCCTTCCCCACTGACAAACAAACAAAACATCCTCCACGTGTCCACCATGGGTGTCGAAACCTCCGTTGACCACGGGGAGAACATCTCCCCGGCGGTCGCTCCCCAGCAGCACTCCAGCCAGGAGTCTTTCCAGAAGCCTCTTGGCGGTGTTGACACCCCTGTCCCCCGCGTGACCCTGCGGGCCTTCGTCATGGCCGTCTTCGTCTCCATGGGTGGTCTCCTCTTCGGTTATGACACTGGTCAGATCTCCGGTTTCGAGCAGGAAACCGACTATCTCCGCCGCTATGGTATGCAGAACGCTCAGGGCGAATGGTACCTGAGTGACGTCCGCTCCGGTCTCTTGACCAGTCTTCTGTCCATTGGTACCCTGGTCGGTGCTCTCGTCGCTGCCCCCATCGCCAACAAGGTCGGCCGCAAGTGGTCCATCACCTTCTGGTGTGTTATCCTCATGGTCGGCTTGATCGTCCAGATCTCCGCCCCCTCCGGCAACTGGGTCCAGATGGTCATGGGTCGTTGGACCACTGGTCTGGGTGTTGGTGCTTGCTCCCTGCTCGTCCCCATGTACCAGGGTGAGAGTGCCCCCCGTCACGTCCGTGGTGCCATGGTCAGTTGCTACCAGCTGTTCGTCACCTTCGGTATCTTCCTGGCCTACCTCATCAACCTGGGTACCAACACCCTGGAGGGTACTGCCCAATGGCGTATCACTCTCGGTCTGACCTTCCTGTTCGCCATCGTCCTCGGTGGTGGTATGGCTTTCTTCCCCGAGTCTCCTCGTTTTGACTTCCGCCACGGCCGCGTTGACCAGGCCCGTGCCACCATGGCCAAGTTGTACGGTGTGCCTGAGAACCACCAGGTCATCCTCCAGGAGCTCGACGAGATCCAGAACCAGCTGGAGGCCGAAACCGGCAGCGAGAAGTGGTACGAATT